GAATTCGTGTCACTTTTTCCCGTACTTTACAGCTTCAATAGAAATGGTAGAAAATACTGCATTTTGTAATTCACAGAATTGAATTTAAAATCATGCCGAAATAATCTTAATTAAATTTATATATTGTTTGGTTCTAATGCTTAATGACATCATAATTCTTGAATTAGAGAAACCTGTAGGCACCTTTCATTTAATACATGTAGATCTTTAATTAAGTTGACAAATCCAAGACGATCTTGTGTAATGAAGTTACAATGTATACAACTTACTGTAATAATGTTAATTGTATGTAATTATTTTGAAGGAATGCAAAAATCCTAATAAAAAACAGTTGCCAACTAAATAGTGTAATATCTTGATTAATTGTGTCTAAGTCAAAGATGTACATGTTGTAGATCCTGTGTACATTTTGTGATATCTATCATGAAATGATGTGCATTCCTTTTCATAATTATTTGTAACATATTCATATTCTTGGAGTTTGATTACAATTTTTTCTACTAAATATGATCTTTTTTAATTTAAAATTACAATTTTTATAAACATTTTTTATCTGAAAGTAACCCCAAACAATCGTTTAATAATAAAATCCGTGTAAGTGCAAAAAGGTCAAGAATATTAGCATCGCTAAAAAACCTCTCTCTCATTAGTTAGAGGGGAAAGGTATATATTTTAATCACTTTTTGTAATCATTTGGGTATGTTCTTTATCATATTAAAGAATGAAAACATTGTGACAAAGACTTCTGAAAAATATTTACAAATGTAGGGTGGAAAATTGACTGAAAATAAATAGAGTTCATTTGCCTATAGTTTTTTAAATGTGGAATTATCTTTTATGTCAAATGAAAACAAGAAAATTTATTCTCGGGAAATATTGCTTAATACTGTTCATTTAATAAACAATAAAAACAACTATGTTCAAAGAAGTAATTTTGTGATTTTTTTGTTTTCTTTGCATGACAAGTACCCCTAAAATGATTGAAATTGTGGAGTCGCAATAGGTAATTATCATTCCATTTTTAAATGGCTGCACTACATTTAATAACAAGGAAACATGTCATGTGCTTTTAACTGATTGATAAGCAAGTGCTAATTTATCATTATGAAAAGTTTGAAAATCTTGTGACAAAGACTTCTATGACATAGGTTCTACCTTAATTTAATCATTTCCCAAGCATCGGGATCGAGATTCCAAACTTCTCGGAAGTTTCCGACAAAATCGGAAATACCCGAACCGTTGAAGTGACGAAAGTACGACGTCAGATAAAAAGTTCTGTTGACTTAGGACGCAAACGCTAGTTTTATGGGAAAGAGATTGCATTAAATCGTTCTTTTCAAGTAAGTTGTTACTATGTTTTAGCCACCATGTTGCTATGCACTGCAACATGTTTTCCGAGTCTCACGGAAGCAACCGACATAACTTCGTCAAAATTCGTAAGTTTCCGGTGACGTCATTTGTATCATTTCCGAAGGGCAAGGTGAAGGCCGGTGTTGTCGCATGGGGGTATTTTTTTGAATAAGGTAAGGCAAAATCATTTCGTTAAGATTTCGGTAAGAAACAATGTTCCTTTAATTATTTTACTATTTTTGATTTATTCGCGCAAAGGACATTGGATAGTGCAGGAATTCTGGGAATGTTGCACAGAGAAATTTGGCTGACGTATGTACAGATTTCAATCCGAATTTCCTCTGTTCATACACGTTAGTCTATTGAGCTCGCTTCGCGAGCGTCGCTTCGCGACGCTCGCTGCGCTCGCTATAATTTTGCTTCTTTTCTAGCACTCCGTTTGACTCATTCATTGAAGAAGACCTAGAATCAGAGGAAACGGCTCTATTGTCTTTCAGTGACTGTGACATTTCTTGTGTTGGAGAACTTACAGTATTATCTCCCAAAGACATTTTATCAAAGTTGAGTCCTAAACTATCCAGCTCAGATAGCAGATATCCCACAGAGGAGATGCAACACCAAGTGATCCCGTAGATCATATATCAACAAAAAAAATAAAAACAAAATACAGACCCAACATCCTCTTCAAGGATTCTTCATGGTCACCAAACCGCAGGAGCACACCCTGGGTGATCAGGCCAGTTGTGCATCCTCAACCAAGGGCGCGACCCTTCACACAGTGTCACCTAGACACTAGCATCCTCCCCACTTCACCATAATCAAAACACAAAAAATTATAAAAAGGAAAATCTGCTCCCAAATCTACCTCTGTAATATCTCAACAGGAATAACACAATGCCCCGGTAGCGGAGGAACACAATTCTTCCCACAGGTACTATGGATACTAAACATTCCTTCCAGAAACATTACTCAATTACTGCGCTGAAGAGACCTGAATTTCTCTCAGCAACCTCCTTATCCATGCTGGCACATCCCTCCCCTTATAAACTGATAAGCGATCTATGTGATATAATTTTGCTTCTTTTCTAGCACTCCGTTTGACTCATTCATTGAAGAAGACCTAGAATCAGAGGAAACGGCTCTATTGTCTTTCAGTGACTGTGACATTTCTTGTGTTGGAGAACTTACAGTATTATCTCCCAAAGACATTTTATCAAAGTTGAGTCCTAAACTATCCAGCTCAGATAGCAGATATCCCACAGAGGAGATGCAACACCAAGTGATCCCGTAGATCATATATCAACAAAAAAAATAAAAACAAAATACAGACCCAACATCCTCTTCAAGGATTCTTCATGGTCACCAAACCGCAGGAGCACACCCTGGGTGATCAGGCCAGTTGTGCATCCTCAACCAAGGGCGCGACCCTTCACACAGTGTCACCTAGACACTAGCATCCTCCCCACTTCACCATAATCAAAACACAAAAAATTATAAAAAGGAAAATCTGCTCCCAAATCTACCTCTGTAATATCTCAACAGGAATAACACAATGCCCCGGTAGCGGAGGAACACAATTCTTCCCACAGGTACTATGGATACTAAACATTCCTTCCAGAAACATTACTCAATTACTGCGCTGAAGAGACCTGAATTTCTCTCAGCAACCTCCTTATCCATGCTGGCACATCCCTCCCCTTATAAACTGATAAGCGATCTATGTGATATAATTTTGCTTCTTTTCTAGCACTCCGTTTGACTCATTCATTGAAGAAGACCTAGAATCAGAGGAAACGGCTCTATTGTCTTTCAGTGACTGTGACATTTCTTGTGTTGGAGAACTTACAGTATTATCTCCCAAAGACATTTTATCAAAGTTGAGTCCTAAACTATCCAGCTCAGATAGCAGATATCCCACAGAGGAGATGCAACACCAAGTGATCCCGTAGATCATATATCAACAAAAAAAATAAAAACAAAATACAGACCCAACATCCTCTTCAAGGATTCTTCATGGTCACCAAACCGCAGGAGCACACCCTGGGTGATCAGGCCAGTTGTGCATCCTCAACCAAGGGCCCGACCCTTCACACAGTGTCACCTAGACACTAGCATCCTCCCCACTTCACCATAATCAAAACACAAAAAATTATAAAAAGGAAAATCTGCTCCCAAATCTACCTCTGTAACATCTCAACAGGAATAACACAATGCCCCGGTAGCGGAGGAACACAATTCTTCCCACAGGTACTATGGATACTAAACATTCCTTCCAGAAACATTACTCAATTACTGCGCTGAAGAGACCTGAATTTCTCTCAGCAACCTCCTTATCCATGCTGGCACATCCCTCCCCTTATAAACTGATAAGCGATCTATGTGATATAATTTTGCTTCTTTTCTAGCACTCCGTTTGACTCATTCATTGAAGAAGACCTAGAATCAGAGGAAACGGCTCTATTGTCTTTCAGTGACTGTGACATTTCTTGTGTTGGAGAACTTACAGTATTATCTCCCAAAGACATTTTATCAAAGTTGAGTCCTAAACTATCCAGCTCTTCAACCTCAGTTTTCTTTGCTTGTGACAGGCTCTCCACATCTTTGTCTTCTGTCTTTACTGTTTCTGCGAAAGTTTTGGAGGGTTTAGGACTCCATTCTGCTTCAGATGTCAGCAGAGAAGTGGGAGAACTTTCACTGGTCTTTTCCTTTTTAATAGGGTTTGCAACTTTGCCATCTTTTTAAACATGCTAGACATTTTCAGTTTGCAATACTTTTTCATCACTTTCTCTTGAACAGTTTGCACTTTGCTCTTTTCAGTTTTTGGTTTTGTTTGCTTCTTTGCTGATAATAGGTGCAGATATTTCATCTTTCCAGCTCTCTTGTTTCGGCACAATTTTGTCAAACATTGCCGTCGTCTGCTTTTCTTTGTTTTGGACAAATGGCAAAACTGGTGGCACTGTGGAGTCTGATACACCACCAACAGCTGCACCGGTCTGTTCACTAACAACCTTTTCTGGTGATATAAAAAATTCAGGAGGACTGTTAGGTTTCTCTGTTTTGATTGGTTGTTTTGTCGGAATAGCCCAGTAGTCATGTTTAGCACCAGAGGCGCCGCTGCTAGAAGTGGTCATCTGATATGCCTTCCGCTGCAGTGAAGCTATAGGGGATTCAGTTTTCTCTTCTGATTGGTTCAGAGACTTTGTGGTCTCTCTTGATTGGACGGAAAACTTGTCTTGTGTATCATGTGATGACAATGAGTCAGGTGACTTCTTAACCTCTGCTTCTTTCTTGACTTGCACAGATTTCCTTGTAATATTGTAAACATTCCAATAATCATTGGTATTTTGATTATTAACTGTTAGGGCAGAAGGAACAGCAGTTATTATAAAGTCTCTTTCACTTACAGAAAACATCCTGTTATTAAAGAATTAACATGATTCTTTTTATAATACTAAGGACAACAGAAGTGAAAAATACCCAGGAATCTGTGTCAAGCCGCAAACGAGGGGGTGAGAAGTTCCGCTTCCATTGTGAAAACTAAAGAGCCCAGGTAAAGCCTGATGTTCTCAGAGGTATGTTTAAGTAAATATTGTTCCATTCCAGCAGATCTCGTAACATTTTTCTGCTTGTATTATCTAGGACTGCAGATCTGCAAAGGAACCAGGGTGTCCAACCATCAACAAAGCTTACTTAACCAGTGGCTAATGATAACAGTGTAAAGAATTTTACTTCTGGCAGTGCTACCAAAAACTTAATGTAAGATTACTTTAAATAGCAATTTGATAAAGCCTATTCAAGAAAAAAAAAATTCCTATATGTGAATGATGTGCAAGAAAGTTTTTAAAAAATGAATTAAATAAATATAATGTGTAAAGAATTTTACTTCAGACAGCACTACCAAAAACCAAATGTAAGATTACTTTATATACCATTTTGATATATACATTTTAAATGTTTTAAAAAAATGAATTAAATAAATATAATGTATATACATTTTAAATGTAGGAATACTGGAATACAAAACAACAGTGAAGTTAAAACATCAGCAGAGCCAAGAAAACCAGTAACAAAATCGGGCCCAATAAATTTTGCTAAAGCTGTTACAACCAAAATGCAAAAGTAAGCTTATCAATATATGTACTTCACATTTCTTATTCATCTTTTCAATTAAATGATTATGATTTTAGGCACCATAATTATATGTCTTTCTTCACATTTAGCACCAAAGAAGAAGAAGTTGAGAACATCTGGGAATCTGTTCCAAAGAAAAAGCCCAAAAACAGTTTTCCATTCGGTGATAGACCAAAGTTATACAAGGAGGAGGAAGTCCCAGAGAGACCTGTTCTTACCACGAACTACGCCAACCTGATACCTCCCCCAGGAGTCCATGCCTCCCCTCAGAAGACAGAAAAGGAATCCTGGGACGACGACGAACAGTATCTGTACGTGTCCTCCAAACTACCCACCGCTGCTAGAGAGTGCTACCGGTGGAAGACCAGTGCCAAAGTCGTGATGTCTGCAAATGAAAACAGGAACAATTCCGCCCATCCCAGTGCTTTGGAGCAAGAATCAAAAACACTATCTTGTAAAGAACATAGCTCAAGTGTTGAGGATGGAAAGAAAAATGATGTAAAATTGAATCAAACTGATTTACAAAGAAATAGACCTGATATGCCTAGGTTTGTGCCTGGAAGTGGATCTTTAAAACTTAGTGGCAAGAAAGATGTAAATGGAAATATTAAGGAAGAAAAAGACCAACCAGAACCAAAAAGGCTAGAAACCCTTGGTCCAATAAGGCCATTGATCATCAATCTGGTGATCCAAGACCTAACGCTGAGTGGTCAGAAAGGAAGCAATTCCCACTGAAAGCAGTCAAGTCTACCTTTAGTAACAGAATTCCTGCTCCTCTACAAAACCCAATTCTTGGGAAAGCAGGAATTTGAAAGGGCCAATTTTATCACAAATTAGCGCCAAAGCCATGGCACCCTTACAGAATAATCTTCAAGGTTTCAATCCCCAGGGTAATTCTAAGAAGGTTGAGGAGTCAACAGTTCCGAGAGCTGGAGCAATTACTTAATAATCAAAATACCAATGATTATTGGAATGTTACCAATATTACAAGGAAATCTGTGCAAGTCGAGAAAGAAGTAGAGGTTAAGAAGTCACCTGACTCATTGTCATCATTACATGGTACACAGGACAAGTCTTCCATCCAATCAAGAGAGACCACAAAGCCTCTGAACCAATCAGAAGAGAAGACTGAATCCCTGATAGCTTCATTGCAGCGGAAGGCATATCAGATGACCACTTCTAGCAGCGGCTCCTCTGGTGCTGTACATGACTACTGGGCTATTCCTACAAAACAACCAATCAAAACAGAGAATCCTAACAGTCCTTCTGAATTTTTTATATCTCAATGTGACAGATAAAGATAATGCTTTGTATTTTCTTCAGGAGGAATGCTAATTAATCCCAAGGGACTCATAGCAGCATTCAGTTTACAATGGGAACATCTTCAGCGGTTATCTTTCTTTGCCAATGCATTCTTATATAAAGTTAAGGAATCTACCCACCACCCTAGCTCCAAACTAAGGGACAAAGAGAAACAAACTTAGCATCAAAATATGTCTTTCTGCCTATTGAACTACCCTGGGAAAAAACAGAAAATTTGTGGACGGGAGACAGACAGACGGACAGCTAGACAGACAGACGGACGGACACAGTGATTACTATAGGGCACCTGCAAATCCTTAATAATAAAAATGACCAGTTATTATGAATCTCTGTTGAATTAACCACCATGCATAGACATTCAAAAGAAAAGACTTTAATATTGACAGATGATACGAAAAAAAAAATTCTTTAAAGAAACAACATTTTAATGAATTTTATTAGGAAAAGCAAAATGGTAAAAATCAACCCATGTGATATTGCTGATTTTTGTCAATGCGTTTTTCCTCATTAAATTCACCTGGCTTGGTATAATTTTTTTTTTTAAAGTTTATACATCGATATCTGTATTACACTTTTAGCACCAAGGTAACATATTCCGAAATTTTTTATCTGTAAACCTTTACCAAGTCTGTTTTGTCCATATCTGTAATTTTATTGAAATGTTACAAATATTTTCCAAGTCTCTTTCATTTTCCAGTTCTTAGAAGAAAAAAATGAAAGAATTATCCACTTTTCTAAACTTGTAACATGATATTAATGAAGTCTCCTCCAAAGAAAAAAAAAGTTTGTATCATCTGACCTAAATAAAGTGCCACGCCACAGCATGATACGCCTGTCAAAAAATTACAATTACAATGTATCTGAAACAGTTAAAAGTGCAGGAAAATCATGTCAATCTTGATTTTAAGATTTCAATGATTTTTACACACTTTAAAAAAATTGTTTATCCATCTCCTGTGGTGTAGGCATTAATTATAACAAATATTGCATCATTCATAGATTTCTATACCTTGCCAAATGCCTATCATTTTAAACAATATCAAATTAGTCTTCACAACTTTATCTATACCTAATTATGTTCCCCAAACGAAGTTGGGGAACATATTGTTTTTACTCTGTTTTTTATTATTATTTTTTTTCTTCTTCTTCCTGGGTACTTTTTTGTCCGCGAGTGATCTTGTAAACTGTTCATCCGAAGTAGGTAAAACCTTTTTAGGGTTAGTAGACATGTTATGTAGATTTGCGGAATCAAGGTCATTTTCCGCGCACGTGCTTGCAAGAGCGTGCACGTGCAACACGTGAAATGACCAGTATAATAGATATAGCCGTAACTTTTCTATTTTTTGACTATATGCTTTGAAACTCATAATATAAGTATATATTAGTTGTATATGCATAATGACATGTTCCTCGCGCACGTGCTTGCAAGAGCGCGCACGTGCAACACGTGAAATGACTAATATAATAGATATAGCCGCAACTTTCTATTTCTTGATGAAATGCTTTGAAACTCATAATATAAGGATATATTAGTAGTATAGACATGATGACATGGTCAAAATAGCAAGATTTCACGCGCATGCACGTGCGCTTCGCTCTGATTGGCTGAAACTAAAGTCTCAATATTTTTCATGTTTCTTGTCATAATCTTTTGAAATTTTGAACAAAGTCTTAAATTATGAAGATCTACAGCATGATATATAAAAATTTTCATGAAAACATGCGCATGCATGCGTGCTGCAATCTGATTGGCTGAAACTTTAAATGGCTATATCTCCTTTGTTTTTTGACGAAATGCTTTGAAATTTAAAACATAGTCATGCAGTAGGATATCCTACAATACGATATAGAAAGAAAATCATGAAATCACGCGCATGCACGTGTGTTGCAATTTGATTGGCTGAAACTTTAAATGGCTATATTTATTTTGTTTTTTGACGAAATGTTTGGAATTTTAAAATCAGTCATTCATTAAGATATCCTTCAATACGATTAAGATAAAAAATTCATGAAATCACGTGAATGCATGTGTGCTGCAATCTGATTGGCTGAAACTTCAAATGGCTATAACTCCCTTGTTTTTTAACCAAACAGGATGGGATTTAGAACATAGATAAATATAAGGGACTCCTACAAGAAGGTGTATTCATCATGCACTTGCTTGCACGTGCGTGCACGTGAAATGAGTAAAATTAAAAATACACTCGAATGAGTGTATTTTTTAATAATTTTGGATAACATATTTGATATCAAGTATATTAAAATATATAGATAGTGTAGGCAAGATAATATGGCCGTTACGCACATGAACACGCGTACAATGCTTAAATTTAAATATATTTTGTATTCTTCTGGGAAGACCTTGATAAGTTTAAATTCCATTAAGTATTTCTTATTTAATAGAGATTACAGGGAATATGGCACCAAAAGGGAGTTGGGGAGCGTTTGGGGAACATCTGTAACGGTCCCCGTTACAATTAGCACTAGTTAATTTTGGAAATAAAAGGCTGGCAATCAAATATAAACTGACCAACAGTTCTGTCTAATTCCCGAAGGATACAGATAATACCATGCTCTGAAGAAATGAAAGCCTTCCTACATTGAACACATTAATTAATCTTTAACTGGATGCTTGTCTACTCATTACTCCCAAAAGATTATTGGATCTGCACTATCTACCATAAAACATTTTTAAAACATATAAAACATCAATGATTTTTTTTAGATTTGATGTCAGTTAATTGTTAATATGCAATTCATATGGACATGCAGATTCCACCCCTACCCCCATAAAATTAATTTTTAAGTTCATAATATTATGTAATATCAAAATAGTTTAATATGCAATATCAAATTAGTTTTAATTACTTCTCATAAAATTCATTTTAAAACGGCTAGCCAACAAGAGCTATTTTTAATCCAACAGGCTTACCCATTTGGCCTAATACTCAAGGGAAATAGATAGCACCGATGCTCTTACAGCTACTCCTCACACTGAACTCATTAATTTCTCTCTCTAATTTGACATGCAATTTTCTGTTATCAAATTCTTCTTATCCAGTGCTTGATAATTAGACTCATGGGAGTGGTGGAATTTCTCTAACATACATTATATTTGTTATAGATTGCTGTCAAGTATATGCTAAAAAAATAAGTATTTTCTTGATTTAAAATTTTTCTAATAAGGTTAGTGCAATAGTTTTACATTTTTTTGAATATGTAAATGAATAGATAAAAAGACATTTTTTTTAAATTCCACTTAAATTAAAGGTCACAGTGACCTTAAAATAGGTCGCATAACACCTTCTACCTAAGATGCATAAACTGGCCAAGTTTGATGATTCTAAGTCTAATAGTTTTCGAGTTATGGACCGGACAGGATTTTTCCATATTTGGCTATAACTTTTTAATTATAGGTCAGAGAGACCTACTTTTTGTGCGCGACACACCTTCTACCAAAGATGTATCAGCTGACAAAGTTTGATAACTCTAGGCCTTATAGTATTAAAGTTATGAGCCGGACACGAGAAAAGCTAGCAGACGGACGGACGGACAGACAGACGGACACGAAGCCTAAAACATAATACGTCCCGTCTTAAGACGGGCATATAAAAACAACACTGATATTTTTAAAGATAAAATTTATTTAAAAAACAAAAATAAACAAATGTACAACCCGCAAATAATACAAAAGCCTTCATATCTAATACTTGACTATGTAAATTTGGACATGACTGGTTTGGTCACATTGGTTGGAAACATGTTGAATGAGGAATAACAAAAAAATCAACAGCTTCAATCAGAAATTAAAACAGTTGACATGGTCTTACATTTAAAACACTGAACTGAAATAATATAACTATCATTTAAGAAATTATAGTTTTGCAAGTCACATTTCTAGTTATTTTCAAGCAAATACCCCTAAACAGATAGATGCAGTTTATTTAAAAAAAATCAAAGAGAAAGGCTTTATCAAGGTTCATTCACTACAAAGGAGAATCATCCACTGGCAGATGGACAGTGAAAACCCTAATGCAAATGGCTAAAAAAAAAATAGTGGAACAATTCACTGAGCTAATTAATATGTGTTATATGTATTTTCCAATCTCTTAATGTCCGTTGTAGCAAAATTTAGAACTTTATTGAAATTAAATCACAACACATTCAGTATAAAAAAAATAACAATGAATATTAAGCACTACAGATCTAAGCTAAAGCACTACAATGCTGCTATATACCGGAGTAAATGTTCTTGGCACAATAGAATACTGGCACATATTTAATACTGCATAATACCCAATTTCAATGTAATACAGAAACAAAGAAAAAAATAATTTGTTTTCAAATATCAGAGAATCAAAATTCTAGTAACCAAATGTAACCCAACAGTGTGTAAATTCATGAGATCAACTTTTAAACTAGGAGGTAATTTCTTTTTACTTAGAATAATTGAAATAAAATTGTTTTGTGAGAGAAATAGGCTGATTCGAAAAAAAAACTTTAGATATCATCAAAAGCATAAAAAAACTCTAATTGAGATTTAAACAATTGAAGTGTAATAAACTGTAGTGATACACTGCATAGATTTACATGACATTGTATAGGACCTTGGCAAAAGGTAAATCTATCTAAATTTCATAAACATTATTAATCAGCATAATCACAATTTATCTGTTGAACAAAATCATGAAAAGCAAATGTAAATATTTTTAGACAAAAGAATCCATGGCAGGTAAAAGCACATATTGTATAAAATGCTAATGTCTCTTTTGGAAAAGGGGAGAGAAATCCATATATGTCCAATCACATGCATTAACCAATGGATCTTCTTCTCTTCTTTGCTGGGAGGTGAAATCAGTTTCTATCCATGTTACAGGAAAGCAAATCAGCCTGCAAACACACAAGTTACCACATTACATTTAATTTACCCATTCATCTAAAAATACTAATTAAAGAAAATGAAAAAAAAATGAATAAAGGAAGTCAATTTTCTGGTTTGTAGACCACAGTATAAGATTAACTTCAGTTACCAGTTAAACACAATGAATTTTGTACCTTTTTTCCCTCCTGGTTTTCTTTCAGGACATGCTGGATCAGGGCCTGCACCGTACGCGTCTGTTCCTTCCTCTTCACCAGACTCTCCGGAAGTTTGGTCACTGGTGGCTTCTCATCAAACACACTTCTAAATGGCAGGCTTTTTCCTCCATGCCACCGATTCTCTTCACCGTCTGTAGAAACGGGTTTGGAATAACTGTGTGTAAATTGCCCCATTTTAGCTGATACAGGTTCATCATGATGTTTTGTGGGAATACCTTTTTGGTTATCTTCTTTAGAAGATTGTTGTCTCATTGAGAAAGCATCTTGCCTCTGACTGTCTATACATGGCATTCTGAACGACTTTTTGGTAACAGGAGCTTCATCTGAATCCCAGCATTCTGTGGTTGGTTTTGTGGTGTTCCTCATCTGTGCTGCATTTAAACCTTGTGGTTTATTTTCATCAGCCATTGAATTATTTGGTTGTGGAAGCCCCAAATTATGCATATGCTCCCTGGTTGACATTGACTTGGAATGCTGAAATTGTGAACCTGACTGAGTGTGGAACAAACCCTGATTTGTTGTCTGTGGGTTGGCAGATGTCTGGAATGGCTTTCCATAGTTATCATGATTTTCAGGCTGAGGCTGACCATGTGACTGCAGTTGAATTTCAGATTGAGGCTGACCATGTGACTGTGGCCAAATTTCAGGTTGAGGCTGACTATTTGGCTTTGGCTGATTTTCAAGTTGAGGCTGATCATGAGACTGTGGTTGAACAGGTTGAGGCTGGTTGTTGTGTGATTGTGGCTGACTTTCAGACATCCCAGCATGTGTTTGAGGTTGATTTACACCCTGTGAAGGATCAACTAGAGGCTGTGTAGGTAGCCCCATAAAATTCATAGGGAGAAGTGGATTTGGCAACAGAGGATTTGGCAACCCCAGAGACAGAAGTGGTGCTATCCCTGGGAGGAGAGGTAAATTTGGCAACATCCCAATTCCTCCACCTAGTGCACCACCTGCTGTGGCAAGATACTGCATATAAGCCTGAACAAGGTGTGGTGGCATTGACAGAGGTAAACCAAGGTTTGGGATACCCATGGGATCTGCTGAAGCAACACCTGATGGCTGTTGAATGGTATTGGAATTCTCAGCAGTGGGAAGGTGCAAACCTGGGGGAAAGGTGTCCTGGCTCTTTTCTGGTGTGTATGTTAAATCAATGAATGGTTCTGTTTTCATCGAAGCCATGTTCCTTTCTGGTGTGTTTGTTAAATCAATGACAGAGTTGACTGGTTCTGGGCTGACATGATCAATGTTCCTATGATTAGAAGTTGTACCTGTGGGTCCAGATTGAATTGAGTATGACTGAACAGACTTGGAAGTTTCTGATGAAGCAAAAGTTGAAGAGACATGATTGAAAATTGAAGTGGGAAGTTCTTGGTGTGTTGTTTTAACTGCTGGAGTTGGAAATGTCGTTTGCGTGGAATGCTGTTCGCTGGTAATTCTCTCTTTGAATTGGTCCCCATTTACAGAACGTTCTTCATTCTGATCATTAGATGCTGAAGCTTGTGGTTCAGAAGTCTGGTAATTTTTCAAGTCTTCCTCATGTTTTGTCAGGCTCTTCAACACAGGCAATCTATGCTCGAAACTGTCTTTTTTGACAGTCCTCATCTTTTCTTTGAAGAAGTTCTCTGCCGCAGCATTGGATCGAGTTGGAGGACCACTCTTTGTGGGTAAGGTGATAAGTTCACTCTCCCAATCCTCCTTATCTTTGGAGCTGGTTGTCTGAGCTAAGCTGGCGTCCTGTGGTTTCTGACGTTTCGGAGCTACACTGTCTTGTACATTCACTACAGGAGGCCTAGAATCAGAGGAAACGACTCCATTGTCTTTCAGTGACTGTGACATTTCTTGTGTTGGAGAACTTAAAGTATTATCCACCAAAGACATTTTATCAAAATTGAGTCCTAAACTATCCAGCTCTTCAACCTCAGTTTTCTTTGCTTGTGGACTCTCCTCAGCTTTGTCTTCTGTCTTGACTGTATCTGCGAAAGTTTTGGAGGGTTTGGACACCAGTTTCATTGGTCGCTGTCTGTAGCCAGGTCTCTCAGGTTTTGGTTCCTGACTCCCCTCTGCATCAGATGTAGGCAGAGAAGTGGGAGAGCTTTCACTGGTCTTTTCCTTTTTAATGGGGTTTGGACTGATGCCAAACTTTGCCATCTTGTTGAACATGCTTGACATTTTCTTTGGAGGTAGTTGCAATACTTTTTCATCACTTTCAGCTCCATCTTGAACAGTTTGCACTTTGATCTTTTCAGTTTTTGGTAGGTTGCTGTTCTTTGCTTCTTTGCTGATAATAGGTGCAGATATTTCATCTTCCCAGCTCTCTTGTTTCGGCACAATTTTGTCTGACATTGCTGTCGTCTGCTTTTCTTTGTTTTGGACAAATGGCAAAACTGGTGGCACTGTGTAGTGTGATGCAGCACCAACAGCTGCACTGGTCTGTTCACTTACAACCTTTTCTGGTGATATAAAAAATTCAGAAGGACTGTTAGGTTTCTCAGTTTTGATTGGTTGTTTTGTAGGAATAGCCCAGTCGTCACGTACAGCACCAGAGGAACCCCTGCTAGAAGTGGTCATCTGATATGCCTTCCGTTGCAGTGAAGCTATCAAGGATTCAGTCTTCTCTTCTGATTGGTTCAGAGGCTTTGTGGTCTCTCTTGATTGGATGGAAGACTTGTCCTGTGTACCATGTAATGATGACAATGAGTCAGGTGACTTCTTAACCTCTGCTTCTTTCTTGATTTGCTCAGTTTTTCTTGTAATATTGGAAACATTCCAATAATCATCAATATTTTGATAATTGACTGTCAGGGTGGCAGGAAGAGAAGGGCCAAGTTCTTCTTTAACCTTAACATGAGACAAAGTGCAGGCCCCTCCAGCTGTCAAAGGTGCAGTCATTGCTCCAGCTCTCTGGCCTGTTGACTCCTCCATCTTCTGAGAATTACCCTGGAGATTGGAACCCTGAAGATTATTCTGTAAGGGTGCCATGGCTTTGGCACTAATTTGTGATAAAATTGGCTCTTTCAAATTCTGGCTCAGGAAAGCTTTCCCAAGAATTGGGTTTTGTAGAGGAGCAGGAATTCTGTCACTAGAGGTAGACTTGATTGCTTTCAGTGGGAATTGCTTGCTTTCTGACCACTCAGCATTAGGTCTTGGATCACCAGATTGATGATCAATGGCCTTATTGGACCAAGGGTTCCTAGCCTTCTGTGTACTTTCTTCCTTCTCCAACTGGGTACTTTCTGCCAAAGCTGGTTGGTCTTTTTCTTCCTTAATATTTCCATTTACATCTTTCTTGCCACTAGGTTTTAAAGATCCACTTCCAGGCACATACCTAGGCATATCAGGTCTATTTCTTTTCAAATCAGTTTGATTCAGTTTTACATCATTTTTCTTTTCAATTGAGCTGTTTTCCTTACAAGGTAATGTTTTTGATTCTTGCTCCAAAGCACTGGGATGGGCGGAATTGTTCCTGTTTTCGTTTGCAGACATCACGACTTTGGCGCTGGTCTGCCACCGGTAGCACTCTCTGGCAGTGGTGGGTAGTTTGGAGGACACGTACAGATACTGGCCATCGTCATCCCAGGATTCCTTCTCTGTCTTCTGAGGGGAGATGTGGACTCTGGGTGGAGGTATGAGGTTGGCATAGTTTGTAGTTAGAACAGGTCTCTCTGGGGCTTCCTCCTCTGTGTATAACTTTGGTCTATCACCTGACAGAAAACTGCTTTTTGGTTTTTTGTTTGGAACAGATTCCCAGATGTTCTCAACTTCTTTTTTGCTGCTTTAAATGCAGAAAGAAAAGTGATTATTGTGCCTAAAACATTCATTTAAATGAAAAAGCCAATGAGAAATGTGAAGTACATGTATCAATAAGCTTACTTTTGCATTTTGGTAGTAACAGCTTTAGCAAAACTTATTGGGCCCGCTTTTGCCACTGGTTTACTGGGTTCCGTTGATGTTTTAACTTCATTGTTGTTTTGTATTCCAGTAGTCCTACATTTAAAATGTATAAATATTATGTTTCTTTCATTAATTTTTTTTCTTTTCTTGAATTGCATATCATTCACATAGAGCAATATTTTCTTGAATAGGCTTTATCAAAATACTATTTAAAGTAATCTAACATTTGGTTTTTGGTAGCACTGCCTGAAGTAAAATTCTTTCCACTGCTATCATTAGCCACTGGTTTAGTAAGCTTTGTTGATGGTTGGACACCCTGGTTCTTTTGCAAATCTGTGGGCCTAGATATTACAAGCAGAAAAATAATACGAGTTAAAAGATCTCCTAGAATGGCACAATTTTTACTTGAGGAGACTCTATGAACTACACCTCTTACCTGGGATCTTTAGTTGTTACAATGGTAGCAGAACCTTTTACCCCCTGATTTGATGCTTGTTTATCAAGTTTTGTGACAGGAACCTCCTGGTTCTTCTTCACTTCTGTTGTTCTAAATATTATAAACATAATCATGTAAATCTCTTATAACAGGATGTTTTCTATACATCAAAGAGACTTGAGATTGATTATTATAGTGTATTTAATGTTGTTATCTTTCAGCCAGATTTGATATCTTCCATATTTACCTCTGTCCTTTAGTGGTGGAGACTTGATCAGAATTACTGGACATCTTTTTCTTCCCTCTATCATCTATAAAACTGTTGACCTCTGTCAATGATGGGCTTTCCAGTCCCTTCTGTAACTGCTCTGGTATGAAGTTTTTCACTGCCATGATCTCTCGGTACCTATAACATTGAATATTGCATTCAGGCGAAATCATATCTTGAATTACTGTAAGTTGTTTTGATTCCACGGTGTTAAAATTTCCCAATTGCGAGTTTTTATTTCACGCTGCAAGAAATTAATTCCGATTTTCGTATAAACATTTAAAAGTTTTTAAAAACTATACCATTCACGATGGGTTTAATTTCGCAGAAAAATTATAAATCTCGAACATAGCAAAATTAAAACCATCGTGATTATTTCCAAATCTATAGTATATGGAAAAAAAATGCCAAGCTGCCATAAGTAATGGACTTTTCCTAATGAAAAAATAAAATATGTGGTAACACATAGTAATTGTTAAATAAATTACTGTTAAGGATTTTTAGTAGGAGGGTACCCCTGTGTCCTTCAGACTTACCTCCTCTTGAGCTGCTCACTTCTGTAGGAGTTACATCCTTACCTCCTCTGCTCCTCCTCTTGAGCTGCTGTCTTCTGTAGGATGGTTCAGACTTACCTCCTTTGCTCCTCCTCTTGAGCTGCTGTCTTCTCACTCAGGAGGAGCACCTGTTTCAGAATCTCCTCCTCCTCCTGTGTTGTCTTCGGTCTCAGTGATGTCACCTGCTGCTGTCGTATATGCTTCTTATGCCCCCTGTAGGAGTTACATCCATACCTCCTATGACCTCTATCTTCACTATAGTAGCTTACCTCCTATGCTCCTCCTCTTTATGAGTTACAGCCTTACCTCCTTTGCTCCTCCTCTTGAGCTGGTGCTCCTACAGGATAGTTCAGACTTACCTCCTCTGCTCCTCCTCCAATTGAGCTATCTTCTGTAGGAGTTACATCCTTACCTCCTCTGCTCCTCCTCTTGAGCTGCTGTCTTTAGTAAGATGGTTCAGACTTACCTCCTCTGCTCCTCCTCTTGAGCTGTTGTCTTCTGTAGGAGTTACATCCTTACCTCCTCTGCTCCTCCTCTTGAGCGACTGTCTTCTGTAGGAGGGTTCAGACTTACCTCCTCTGCTTCTCCTATTTAGTGACTGTCTTCTGTAGGAGGGTTCAGACTTACCTCCTCTGCTCCTCCTCTTCAGCTGTTGTCTTCTGTAGGATGGTTCAGACTTACCTCCTCTGCTCCTCCTCTTGAGCTGCTGTCTTCTGTAGGATGGTTCAGACTTACCTCCTCTGCTCCTCCTCTTGAGCTGCTGTCTTCTGTAGGATGGTTTAGACTTACCTTCTCTGCTTCACCTCTTGAGCTGCTGTCTTCTGTAGGAGTTACATCCTTACCTCCTCTGCTCCTCCTCTTGAGCTGCTGTCTTCTGTAGGATGGTTCAGACTTACCTCCTCTGCTCCTCCTCTTGAGCTGCTGTCTTCTCACTCAGGAGGAGCACCTGTTTCAGAATCTCCTCCTCCTCCTGTGTTGTCCTCGGTCTCAGTGAGGTCACCTGCTGCTGTCGTAGGTTCCTCTGCTGCCATACATTAATACTGGGTGCTGGGGGATCTGATAACATTCAATATTAATTACACAACTACTGTTGCAGACTGAATTCAAATTTACAAATCAGGAATAAAAGCTGATACAAATAATAGCTGATTTGCAGTATTACCTTGGACTTTTGGAGGTGGGACTCGATTCACAATGTCTCTCTCAAACCACTTCTGGGTAGACTCCACTGGTAGTTCTTTCCACTTCTGCCTCCTACAGACAATTGTATATATATCCTGTGCATTTTTACATGAAGACGAAAGTTGTGATAACATATCAAATATATCTGCTTTCAATAATTTAGTATAAACTTTCTTTAAGTTTTTAACTTTCAGTGTCTTGTTACTAACTTCCTATAAGTGTTATAACTTGCTATGACTTGTAACTATTGGCTCATTACTAACATCCTATGAGTTTATATAATTTGCTGTGACTCATTACTTACTTCCTGTAAGTCTTGAGTTCCTGGACCTCCTCCTCCTTCCTATGATTTTTTTAAGACTTACTGTGACTCGTTACTTACTTCCTGTAAGTCTTGAGTTCCTGGAACTCCTCCTCATTCCTGATGAGTTTAATAAATTGCTATGACTCATTACTAACTTCCTATAAGTTTTGAGTTCCTGAGCCACCTTCTCGTTTCTATGAGTTTTTTTTAGACTTGCTTTGACTTGTTACTTACTTCCTGTAAGTCTTGAGTTCCTATAAGTTTTATAACTTGCTATGACTCGTTACTCACTTCCTATAAGTCTTGAGTTCCTGGACCTCCTCCTCATTCCTCTTCCTCTCCAGTTCCTGCTGTTTACGTATGTGCTCCTTCCTCATCCTCTCAAACTCCTCCTGAACTGAGATGTCCATCCCTGTTGACTCTTTACCCACATCTGTCAGACTCGGAGGTACAAACTACAAATAAGAATGATCAGTTGAGGCAGGGAAACTGAAGCCAATGTGTGAAACAGATATTGATGAAAGTTATAAGGATTTCTTGCAATGAATTCCATGTATAAAATATCATTTTGCTTCAAGATGATGAAGTTGAGTAATTTGAAACTTTCTGAGGAAGCAACTTTCACAAGAAAAAACCAGTGGGGTTTTTCTCATGACCCAAAAGTGCTGTTACTAAGCAATTCTGAATGTTTTCCATCAACCTATCAACTATTGTAAATTGACTTAAAACTCTCATAAGCAATAAATATATTAAAATCCTTCTTCTCAAAAATAATAACATACAATATTAACAACATCACCCAAACCTGTTCAGTGTGCCTACTCCTGAAGGAGTCTAGCTCTCGCTGTTGTATCAGCTGCTGTTTCTCCCTCTGTCTTAGGTAAAATGATAACATCCCATATAAACATTACCTGTTCAGTGTGTCTACTCCTGCTGTTGTATCAGCTGCTGTTCCTCCCTCTTTCTGAGGTAAAATGATAACATCCCATATAAACATTACCTGTTCTGTGTGTCTACTCCTGAGGGAGTCTAGCTCCCGCTGTTGTATCAGCTGCTGTTCCTCCCTCTGCCGTGCCCTCTCGACCTTTAGCTGCTGTTCCGTGTGCCTCTGTGGCTGAACCTTTAGCAAATCATTAAACTCCTGTAGGTGGCGCTGTAGTAGACTAGACTTCACCTCAGTGTCTTTTGGTTGATTCTTCCCTGCTGGTCTGACTGTCTGTTTTGGTTGGTTTGTCACAACTCCTTGCTGATTGGAGATTTTGGGTTTAGCACTAGGATTTTCAAGATCATTCTTTTTGGTTTTATCTGGGAATGGATCTAAAGTATTGGCATTGTTGGACTGGGAATTCTGGGTAATATTGACAGTATTATTTGAAGTAGCACATAAATTTCCTATATCACTGAAATGTTTTCCCAGTATTGAGGATTTGGTTTCGTGTTCTTCAGCTCTTCTTGTATCAACTAGCACCTGTACAAAAATTATTTTAGAGCAAATCAATTTTTTTTTCAATTTCTTGTTCGAGTTATTTTAGCTAAATCTCTTTAACAACATAAAGAAGAATTGGAAAACAACTTATTATTCCAAGATTTTTGCTGGAGTTACATTTTCTTTGTTGATGTCCTTATTTCCAAACAAGCTGGTCTGCTTTTCTTCGTGAAGTTCCAGTTCAGTCTTTTTTCTTTTGGGGGCGGGATTAGAAAACTTTTTCTCCTGTAACACCTTTTCAGCTTCCTGACGTAACTGCTTTTTCTACAATAGACATCAATTTAAAAAATGTCCACTTATTTTTTGTCAATGTCATCTCTTAATTGTAAATAATTGTCCAGAACATCCATTTTAAACCCTTCCTATCACCTTTACCATGTTTACACTCTTTTTTTTTTATACTCTTATTTTCCAGGTAACCCTCACCAGTGATTTAACATCTTCGAAAAAGAATTATGTAGAGTTGAAGTCTAACAAAATTATAGCCCAAAAATTTATGTCCCCATAAGCCCATAAATGTTTAGCCATCTGCTAACACTAGCCCTATAAATCAAAATGATTCCACTTTTGTTAACTGACCTTCTCTTTCATGTCTTTGCGTTGCTGCCGTTTATTTTTCTGTCGTTCCTGTGCTTCCAGCAGCTGAAGTTTCTCTTCTTCCTGTTGTTTACGCTGGAAATTTTTCTTGTGCTGGTTCTCTACCTCCTCAGAATGGTCGTCCGTTGTCAACTTCCTGTTCAGACATTGCAAGGTTATATTAATTCCAACGTTTGTCCATATTTTAAATTAATTTTAGGAAACATGCACCTTTCATCCACCTTTATTTGGAAGGGCTGGGACGATATATCGATATATCGTGATATCTGTGAGGACAATACGCTAATCGATACATATGAAGAAATATCGAAATATCGTCAAAAAAAACTTCTGTTTTTCTTTTTTTTATTTAACATTTGGGGTTTAACATATGAAATAAATAAGCTAAATATATATATAGATATAAAATAAATAATTATTAACACCACTTGAGTAAAATATTTTTGTTTTACAACATATAAACAACTATTTTGAATAAATTATTCTTATGTGCAAAGAAATAATTTGTTTATTTCAACGCAAAAAAAGATTTTATAAGTAATTAAACATATTGTGATACATATCGTATCGTGGCTCAAATATCGTGATACGTATTGATATATCGTCCCAGCCCTATTATTTAGAATAATATTTATTATCAACCCCATTGCTTACATCAATGATGTTATGTTTCTAATTAAAGCTACAAAACGGCTGCAAATTGTGTACTTTTTCATTCAAATTTTTCCCAATATATCATTCAGGAATAAGGTAAAAAGTTGAAGTAAGCATTTTGAGAAAAATTAATATTCTCTCCTCATACAAAATGAACGTAATTTAAATCTGCCGGAAAATCAAGGGTCGTACAACTTAGATCTGTTCACTTGTACCACTTGTATCACTTGTGAATTCTAAAATGGCACGTGCATACAATGTAGGGTTTACAATTATAATGAAATATTAGGTAAAAGCAATTTTCAGAATCAAAATATCTTAAACTCTCCGGTAAATTAATAATAGTTAACATTTTAGTCTGCTTTCAGACAAATTTTACAATTAAGTACAAATGTTGACATTTTGTGTATTGGGGTGCAGGAAAAGAAAATCCACCAAATCATATGTCATTGCGGCAAAATGTCAAACAAAATATCTTTCAGCAGTTCCAATACAATTTGCCCTTCAAATGGCAATAATTTTTATATGTCATAAGTGCAATTTTATGTTGAGTTTACACCAATTTTTTTTCTTTGAAAGCCATGGAGATACGAGAAATGTTAGCATGTATCAACAAACCTGTAGGGTAGAACCTTCGCGAGCCCTACGTGAATGTCGCCGAGATCCTGTTTCTTCTTCATCCAATGATTACATTAATCTCCCAAATAATTTTTGTCAGGAAAATTGCTTTTTAATTTCAAGCCCTATTTTTGGTTTTGTTTTTGGTTTTGGTCAACTTAGCAGGCCTACCGGGCTTCCCTCTCTTACCATGCTGTTTTGTTTATGAAAACTAGATGCATGCATGTATAGCATGGAATGTAGAACCTCAAACATGTTGCGATGAATATATTTATGCATCATAAATAATTATCAATTTTAATGAAATAATCAGAATTATTTACTTATAGAATTTGTAATTTTCTAAAAGTGTATACATTTATGAGTATGAAAAGAATTCCAAATCCTATAGGAAAATTTTAACAAGTCTGTTTTTGAAGAGATGCTTTGTATTGTCACTTTAATACAAACATAGATGATGTCACATTTTCTGCAGAATACTTACACCAATAATGGTATATTTTCTGTAGATTTCTTCATTTGCTTCTCCTCCATTTTTGGTAAAAGTGTCTGTCCTATTTCTCTCATTTCCTACAAATTGATAATACAACAGATGGTGGAAACTTTGGAAAAAGCTCAGCTTTTTAGAAATACAACATGCATTTCTCAAATAATACAAAGAGATCAGAAAAATCTTTTTGCATATTGCTCAGACAAAGACATAACAAGTTACAGTTATTATCTGAAGCCTCCATTTTTAAAACATTATACTGTCAGTTCTAACACTGACCTGTTCCCGTCTCTTCTGTTCTGCCAGCAGCTGCTTCTTACTCTTAGGTCTGGGTTTCTGAAGAAGATTCTGGTTTGCTTTCTTCTTTCCTTTCTTTATGTACCAGAAAATAAAACATAAATTATATATACATTGCTGTTGATTTATAAATTTTCAAATTTGAATCAAACATGAATTACAACATACTAGACAATTATATATCAAAGATCTTTAACATGGTGGTTTAAAATCCTCCAGTTTTGACCTCTTTTCAACCTGTAAGCCTGACTAACATCCATCGTGTAGGATTGACTTATTTGCATCTTACAGGCTTGACCTACCCCCATCCTGAAGTTGTTTGAAATCCTACAGCCTTGACCTACCCCATTCTGTGGTTGTTTGAGATCCTGTAGGATTGACTTACCCTCATCCTGTGGTTGTTTGTAATCCTACAGGCTTGACGTACCCTCATCCTGTGGTTGTTTGAAATCCTATAGGCTTGACTTACCCTCATCCTGTGGTTGTTCGAAATCCTATAGGCTTGACTTACCCTCATCCTGTGGTTGTTTGAAATCCTACAGACTTGATCTATCTACATCCTGTGGTTGCTTGAAATCCTATAGGCTTGACTTACCCTCATTTTGTTGTTGTTTTAAATCCTACAGCCTTGACCTACCTACATCCTGTGGTTGTTTGAAATCCTACAGGCTTGACTTATCCCCATTTTGTTGTTGTTTTAAATCCTACAGCCTTGACCTATTTACATCCTGTGGTTGTTTGAAATCCTATAGGCTTGACTTATCCCCATTTTGTTGTTGTTTTAAATCCTACAGCCTTGACCTATTTACATCCTGTGATTGTTCGAAATCCTATAGGCTTGACTTACCCTCATCCTGTGGTTGTTTGTAATCTTACAGGTTCGACCTATCTACATCCTGTGGTTGTTTGAAATCCTACAGGCTTGACTTACCCTCATCCTGTGGTTGTTTGAAATCCTATATGCTTGACTTACCCTCATCCTGTGGTTGTTTGAAATCCTACAGGCTTGACTTACCCTCATCCTGTGGTTGTTTGTAATCTTACAGGTTTGACCTATCTACATTCTGTGGTTGTTTGCAATCCTACAGGCTTGACTTACTCACATCCTTTTGGCTTGACTTACCCGCATCCTGTGGTTGTGTCTTTTTGAAGGATGTCTAGCTTTCAACCATTCATCGTAGGAATGAAATTTCTTCAGCTAAAACCAGAATTATCTTACGTTAGAGAGTAAAAACTCAACACAAAAGGTGAATTAAAATAAGGCACAATTCCAAGAAGACAACATTTATTTCTATAATACAATCATGTTAGGGTGAATTCAGAAATGGGAAAAATGACTTTGAAGTTCAAGTATGGTGAGAGGGCAAAAATAACACTGTATACAAATTGTTTTTAGTTTGTTGCAAAAATACTCAAAAATAAAATTGAAAAACTTACATCTTCTTCAGTCAGCTCAACATCTTGTGGTGGTCTATATTTCTGAATGAAAATATAAAAATACATAATATATAAGCCATTAATTTTACTGCAGCAATGATACATGTGGAAGTTTCTTGCATTAATTAAATTTTAACCGACAATTTTTTTTTGTAAAACAAGAGGCCCATGGGCCACATCGCTCACCTGAGAAGCTTTGACCATTCCGTTCTTTACCAGATTTCCCCCTTGTTATACATAATGCATCCCCACCCTACCCCAATGATCATAATTTAGACATTTTGAAATAACACTACCCCATGATCCTTCCATGGGCACATATGTTTCAGCTTTTTTGGCCCAGTGGTTCCTGAGAAGAAGATTTTCAAAGATTTTTCCTATATATTTCTATGTAAAACTTTGATTCCCCTATAATGGCCCCGCCCTTCCCCCGTGGGTCATGATTCCTACAATTTAGAATTTACACTACCCCAGAATGCTTCCACATAAGCTTCACTTTTTCTGGCCCAGTGGTTCTTGAGAAGAAGATTTTCAAAGATTTGTCCTATGTATTTCTATATAAAACTTTGATTCCCCATTGTGGCCCCGCCCTTCCCCCGGGGGTCATTATTTGAACAATTTAGAATCTACATTATACCAGGATGCTTCCACATAAGTTTCAGCTTTTCTGGCCCAGTGGTTCTTGAAAAGAAGATTTTTAAAGATTTTTCCTATATATTTCTATATAAAACTTTGATACCCCATTGTGGCCCCGCCCTTCCCCCGGGGGTCATGATTTGAACAATTTAGAATCTACATTACACCAGGATGCTTCCACATAAGTTTCAGCTTTTCTGGCCCAGTGGTTCTTGAGAAGAAGATTTTCAAAGATTTTTCCTATGTATTTCTATATAAAACTTTGATTCCCCATTGTGGCCCCACCCTTCCCCCGGGGGTCATGATTTGTACAATTTAGAATCTACATTATACCAGGATGCTTCCACATAAGTTTCAGCTTTTCTGGCCCAGTGGTTCTTGAGAAGAAGATTTTCAAAGATTTTTCCTATATATTTCTATGTAATACTTGGATTCCCCATTGTGGCCCCGCCCTTCTCCCGGGGGTCATGATTTGAACAATTTAGAATATACACTACCCCAGGATGCTTCCACATAAGTTTCAGCTTTACTGGCCCAGTGGTTCTTGAGAAGAAGATTTTCAAAGATTTTTCCTATATATTTCTATGTAAAACTTGGATTCCCCATTGTGGCCCCGCCCTTCTCCCGGGGGTCATGATTTGAACAATTTAGAATCTACACTACCCCAGGATGCTTCCACATAAGTTTCAGCTTTACTGGCCCAGTGGTTCTTGAGAAGAAGATTTTCAAAGATTTTTCCTATATATTTCTATGTAAAACTTGGATTCCCCATTGTGGCCCCGCCCTTCTCCCGGGGGTCATTATTTGAACAATTTAGAATCTACATTATACCAGGATGCTTCCACATAAGTTTCAGCTTTTCTGGCCCAGTGGTTCTTGAGAAGAAGATTTTCAAAGATTTTTCCTATATATTTCTATATAAAACTTTGATTCCCCATTGTGGCCCCGCCCTTCCCCCGGGGGTCATGATTTGAACAATTTAGAATCTACATTACACCAGGATGCTTCCACATAAGTTTCAGCTTTTCTGGCCCAGTGGTTCTTGAGAAGAAGATTTTCAAAGATTTTTCCTATGTATTTCTATATAAAACTTTGATTCCCCATTGTGGCCCCACCCTTCCCCCGGGGGTCATGATTTGTACAATTTAGAATCTACATTATACCAGGATGCTTCCACATAAGTTTCAGCTTTTCTGGCCCAGTGGTTCTTGAGAAGAAGATTTTCAAAGATTTTTCCTATATATTTCTATGTAATACTTGGATTCCCCATTGTGGCCCCGCCCTTCTCCCGGGGGTCATGATTTGAACAATTTAGAATATACACTACCCCAGGATGCTTCGACATAAGTTTCAGCTTTTCTGGCCCAGTGGTTCTTGAGAAGAAGATTTTCAAAGATTTTTCCTATATATTTCTATGTAAAACTTGGATTCCCCATTGTGGCCCCGCCCTTCTCCCGGGGGTCATGATTTGAACAATTTAGAATCTACACTACCCCAGGATGCTTCCACATAAGTTTCAGCTTTTCTGGCCCAGTGGTTCTTGAGAAGAAGATTTTCAAAGATTTTTCCTATATATTTCTATGTAAAACTTGGATTCCCCATTGTGGCCCCGCCCTTCTAGCCCCGGGGGTCATGATGTGAACAATTTAGAATCTACACTATACCAGGATGCTTCCACATAAGTTTCAGCTTTACTGGCCCAGTGGTTCTTGAGAAGAAGATTTTCAAAGATTTTTCCTATATATTTCTATGTAAAACTTTGATTCCCCATTGTGGCCCCGCCCTTCCCCCGGGGGTCATGATTTGAACAATTTAGAATCTACACTACCCCAGGATGCTTCCACATAAGTTTCAGCTTTACTGGCCCAGTGGTTCTTGAGAAGAAGATTTTTTAATGACCCAACCCTATTTTTCTCTTTTCTTGATTATCTCCCCTTGCGAGGGGATATGTCCCTTCATTTTAACAATTTAAATTTTCCTTCACCCAAGGATGCTTTTTACCAAGTTTGGTCAAAATTGGCCCAGTGGTTCTTGAGAAGAAGTCGAAAATGTGGAAAGTTTACAGACGGACAGACAGACGGACAGACGGACGGACAGACAGACGGACGGACGGACGACGGACAAAATGTGATCAGAAAAGCTCACTTGAGCCTTCGGCTCAGGTGAGCTAAAAAAATACATTGTGAATACCCATTTTCACTAGAAAGCAATCTGACAACATTAGATTTACAATACATATAAATCTGTGAAAACTAGCTAATTTCATCACTGATTCAATATTAATTGCTTATTTACACTATTCCTCTCCTCATATACCAAACTACATGTAGTATCTTACAACAGGTCTGGAGTATTTTCCATTTTATAAAACAATTGCTGACCTTGAAAATGGAATCAAAAAAGCTATCCTCCTCTTTCTCATCAGCCGTCCATTTGGATGACTTCTTCTTACTGGACTGAAATCCTACAAAAATACAAGCATTTTAGTGTTTAATATCTGATGAATTTGATACAGTGAAAAGTAACTGTCTAATCGAATATCTGTGCAATCCATCTCACTGTTAATACCCTTGTAAATTTCTTTCCCTTTTTACACTGTGCAATCCAACACCCAGTCTATTCCAACACAAAATTTGTCTCCCGGTGCAGTTGGATTGAACAGGTTACACTGTATATGTTTTAAACATTGGTCATGTCTGTGACTATTCAGTTTTTTTGCAGAGTATTTTGCTTCCAGCGAAATGTGCAAAACAGAATTGCTTGATATGCTACCCAGTACCTTTGGTTATGCATGCACCGGCACAATGCACAGACATTTATAATTTTCTTCAAAAGTATCATTTACAGAAGAGAAAATTAACAGGAATCTTTTGTTCTTCTATAATTTTAAGTATGTACTAAAGCAGGCAAGATATTCAAACTTACGTCTCTCAAACACAAAGTCTGCAAAAACATCATAGAACAATCGCCCGAAAAACCATAGCTGAAATAGAGCGTAGTGATTGATGAATCTATAAAGAGTCTGGTCACATTGTAAATTAATGAATTGTGATTCCTAGTAAGCTGTACTAAAACAAAAGAAACTAAATCCCCCTCCTCCCTAAATTATTTACAAATCTTAATGTCACCCTTTTTTTTTATTTACAAAATCTTGTTAAAGCACAAATAAGCAGCAAATCTTACTACTGATTCTTCATCATCATCGCATGGTAAGTTATCGTAATAATCATCATCATCATCATCATTTTCAAAGTATTGGTCATCATAATCGTCGTAAAAGTCTTCATCATCGCTGTCCATGTAATGGATGTTACCACAACTTTTACAGACGTGGATTTTCCTCCTTTTGTCTTCTATAAGAAAAGAACACCTTAAACAATGTAATGGATTCATACAGCTAATATAGGACCACACAAACAGTTATTGAAAGATCCTTAACTTTTTATCTTGAATTTTAAATAGATTTTGCATTACAATGTACAAGTGAATAACCTTGACTTTGACCATGAAATTTGACCATGTGACCTCAAAATCTAATGACATTTCTACCTTTATTATCTTAGTAATAATTATGTAATGCAAAGAAAAAAAAAAAAAGAATTAACACAAGTACAAGAAAATATAAAATTCATTCTATGAATTAACATTTCCTTGAAACCACCACAAGACATACAACATATGATTCATATACACGACATCCTTCTCCCAAAAAATCTGTTTTATGGTTGCATTTGATTCTTGGTCTTTTTTGCAATAAGAAGCCTTACTTGCATATTTTGTTGTGAGAAGATAGTAACTTTCACTTATTTCTTGAAAAACTTTTGTGGCATCTGCATTATCAGGGTTCTGGAATTCAAATTGATATTAACTCAATTAAGTGAACAAGTAACATAATATTTTTGAACCTTAAAGATAAAACAATGTAGAGAGTTTATCATAACTAATAGAAATGAATGCAATATACATACCTTATCTGGATGATGCTTCAGTGCTAAATTTTTATAAGCTCTCTTAATTTCATCTACAAAAAGAATTTTTTTTACTAAATATAACATCAAAAAAGTAAATTAATATTCATGCTGGAAGTTTGGTACATCAATAATTTGCTACCTATAAATAATAAATGTAAGTTAATTGCTCTCCTTGGTAACAAAGTCTGTCTTTACTAGGCTAACATAAAGGAATTATTAACTTGTTTTCTGTCATGGACCCTAAACTAGTAGCTATTAATTTAATTGCTGACTTTGACTTTTTTATGTAAGAATATCCAACTTTGATAATTACTCATTGACCAAGATGATTTTGATATGAATTTGTGTTTTTGGTACAAGTTTGTTTCAAGAAATAATAATTTCATTTCAAAATGTGATTTCTGCATGACCACTACCATTTTTTAGTTGAACATATATGTTGAATTCGAATATTATAATAATGGATATTTTTATTTTTTGAGCATGAATTTTGAAAGAAAGTTTGTAGTTTCACATGTATTCTATCATTGTCTTTGTGCAACAGCAATGCTATGTTAGTATGTAAACATTGCATTATAAACACTGCAGAATTTTGCTACAATTTTGCATGACAACTCAAAATAACCTTGACCTTTGACTCCTAAACATATGTAGTGCTTTCTTTCAACATGCATTCATGAAATATTAGCTAATGTTCAGACAAATTGTATATCCATATGTCATTAAAAATATCAAATTTCTTCATTTAAAAATAACATAACTCCCCACCGACCCAGCGACTTCGTTTTCGAAAACTTATGACTTAACTACTTCTCGATAAAGCAAGGATAATGTTTTGAATGAAACGCATTCAAATAAGCAACAGTTAATGAGTATGCATATACCCTCGGTTGCATCTTCTTCTAACCCTAATGACTCTAAACATTTTAGGCGTTCTTTATTTTTTAGCGCCATATTATCCTCAGCAGCGTGTTCAATCGGAGTATACTAGATCTTTTCGGTCAAAGAGATGAGAAAAGTCCAAAAAGTTCCGATGGTAAAAAGCGACATCTATCTCATGCAAAGATAACTCTAACATGCATTATTGCACAACTTCCGTTTCCGAAAAGGAAAGTAGGCAGACGCGACCAATTTATTGAGAAAGGTGAATTAGTTTTAAATTAACATATTTATAAACTAAATCAATGATTAAATACCAATGTACATAATGTTTTTAATGAATGTTCATGTTTATAACATATGTGATTTAAATTTATTTACTTTTTTGATCCCCCAAAACATAAAATCTCTGCTCTTTTATGTTCACGACTAATCTCAGCGAGATGGATATAGTGATCATATTGCTAAAATTTTGCAGATCCAGAACAATATTGTCAATTAAATTTAAATACTGAAAGTCGAGTTCTAAGTTTTTGTCAGTGTCTCTACTCACTGTGCATGAAAAGCACTCTGGTATCAAAAAGACGGCACAAAAGAACGCCTCATAACACAACATGTTTTTATACTTATATTTCTTTATATTTACATTTCCAATGTCTTTGTCTGAGATAAAGTTACCAATTGTAAATGTAATTTTTTAAATTTTTTTTTGAATTTTCAGTACAAAAAACCTTGATCGTGTAGGGCGGGACAACACCTAGAGAGAAAGCTATGTAGCTTTATCAAGCTATATACCTTTATCAGGGTATTGTGCTTGACGTGATTTGTGGACAGTGAAGTGTACTCAATGTTATTTTAATATGTTGACGGTGCGACCGTTAGAGCGAGCGCAAACTCTTCTATTGTTTTAATTTGATCACTTCAAACCGCACGTGACATTTGTTGCTTTAAATGTTTGACTTGACATGCATGCTGTGAATTTATTGACAACAACCAAGAAAAAACTTTCAGTATAGAAATTTTCATTAAAAAAATACGTTTCAAGGTATCTGTAATACCTTGATAAGCTACGTCGTGTTTTGTGGGCTGTGAAGTGTTCTTGGTTTTTTATAATAAATGAGGCATAATATTTATGAGAATAGGGCTTTATTTTTGCTTCAATTGATGATGGATATTGATCAAACATCCAAGATTAGGTCTTATATTTACCAAGGACCTATATATAATAGCATATAAGTTCTGTGATTACTGTGAAATCACAAATGGCGTTGGGGTTAATTTTTGCAGTTACGAGCGTCAATCGCGACGCTCGCTGCGCACGAAATAAATGACTGAGGCACAAAATGTAAAATGTTACATAGATAAGTACTAATTGATTTTTTCAGTTGATGATGGATAATCCACACAACCAAGATTTTTATATTTACCAACCACTTATATATACTACGAAAATATGTGTTTGATTATCCTATATATATTTACAGAAATGTCAAAGATAAATGGAAAGACCCAACTTTCATCAAAGCGTTTTCTTCCATATGCCAGAGGATTTACGCCAGCTACCAAGAGAATTCAGCTTTCAGCTATTGGAAATGATAAAAACCTTGCAGAGTTTTCTCCAGGCGGAGACAGTGATAATTTTTTCTCACCGATACCACAACCCACAGACATTGATGACTGGCTGGCCCAGTATTGTGAGGAGGGACAAACCTATAGGGAATTCTGTGAGGAGTGTCCATGGCTTTCCTCAAGGAAGTGGGCATATATGAAACAAACATTCAAACCAAAGGGGGAAAACATCCTAGAGAAATACCCTGAGGGGAAAATCTATTTACTTCCCCTTGGGGAGTTTGACAGTGACCATTGTGTGGATTTCGATCAGCTTCGAGAATTTTCACAGATGTACCTTGGGATTGATGTTGTCTCTCTGCCTGGAGTCAAACTTGATATTAAAGACAGATCCGTGTCCTGGATTGAGGACAGTCAACCTGGGGTACCCTCCCGAGCTCAAAGATCCAGTAGCAGAGTTAAAAAGCACACACTGAATGCCCGATTTAACACTAAACCAAAACACTACCAGATATGTGTGGATGAGGTTTTATTAAGGCTGAAACAGAGAATCCCAGATGATGCATTGTGTATGATCGCCTTGACAATGTCTGATCTCTATGGTGATGACCGTGACCTTTTTGTGGCAGGGATGGCAGCAGGGAAGCACAGAGTGGCTATTTTTAGCTTTGCTAGGTATGATCCAACCTTGACCTTTGATATCGGAGACTGGTATGGAATACAACAGAATTTAAATGGCATGGATACAGAGGAGCGAAAAAAGATCATATTACAAAGAAGTTGCAAGCTCTTAGTGCATGAAATTGGGCACCTGTTGGGGATTGATCACTGTATCTTTTATGACTGCTGTATGAACGGCTCTGGACACTTACAAGAAGACTTCTGTCAGCCCATTCATCTGTGTCCAGTGGACCTCCATAAACTTCAGACCTTGGTAGGATTTGATGTCACAGAGAGATACAAGAAGTTACTTGAATTTTACCAAAAACATGATATGCATAGCGAGGCAGAATGGGTCAAAGCCAGACTTGAATACTTATCTGCCTCCAAGTGACCAATTGGTTTTAATTGATATAGTTTTTGAAATTAGTTATCTACCGTAATTTGGTAATTAAATCAATATTAAAATCCATTTTAATGATTTTTAATTTTTATATACATGTATATATAATAATACATATAAATAATATTTGAAGTAAAGAGATACCGGTACTGTAAAATTGATATTTTTCTGTGGGGGTTTCACTTTTGATGTTTTCATACTGCATACAGACCATGAAATTTTTGTCCTTTACAAAATGCAAGTTTATTAAACATCAATTTTCAACCATGACATCAAATTCCCTTGAACAATTTTGAAAATTTGACCCCATGAAAAGGAGTTATTATACATACTAAAATTATCCTTATTTTTTTAATCTTGTACTAACTGTGATATGTCAATTTTTATCAGGAATATATGTGATATATGTTTTCTACCTCAATCAGTTTTGCATTCAGTTTGATGTTTTTGAAAATATTTTAATAATATATTTATTAAATAAAACAAGCAAATTCAAAGAATTGTGGTCCCCCGCTTTCGGTGTCTTTGTGGGCGAGATATTATTTTTTTAGGTCAAAAGGAGATAATGAAAGCCACAAAGAATACATATATTTAAAATATGAAAGTCCTTGTTTTTACCGTTCAGAAGTTGTGACCAATTAAGGTTAAAGTTTTTAAAAAAGTAGTTAAAACTCCCAGGTCAAGGTCAAAGGGTCAAAGTTCTTGGTATGCAATGAAAGATCTTCTCACAAGAATTCAACTTAACTGTTTTAAAAGTTATGGTCAAGGTTAAAGTTTTGTCAAAAACATCTCCAAGGTCAAGGTCAAAAGGTCAAAGTTGTAGGTGTCCAATGAAAGGTCTTGCCACAAAGTATACATATGTGAAATATAAAAGTCCTAGTTTCTACCCTTCAAAACTTGTGACCAAGGTTATAATTTTTAAAAAGTAGTTAATACTCCAAGATCAAAAGGTCAATGTTCTTGTTATCCAATGAAAGGTCTTCCTACAGGAATAACATGTATATAAAACATAGCCCTTAAAAAATTATGGTAAGGGTTATAATAAACGTTAATTTTAGGTCAATCAAAATGTCAAAGTTGTTGGTATCCAATGAAGGTCTTGTCCCAAAGAATAAATATTGAAATATGTAATACCTACCATTCAAAAGTTATAGCCAAAGTAAAAGTTTGGAATTTTTTTAAAAGTTTCCCAAGGTCAAGGTCAAAAGGTCAAAACAAAGAAAGGTCTTATCACAAGGAATACACATATGAAATATGAAAATCATAGCTCCACTAAATCAAAAGTTATGGGCAAGGTTAAAGTTTTTGTGACGGACGGCATCACGGACAGGGAGATATTTCGCTTTAAAGCGGGGGACAAAAAATACATTAAAATACAGTTACATTTATTATTTTTACTGAAAGAAGGCCATCCTTAAAAAAAATGTTTGTTTGGAATTGCCACCTGAAGGGTTTCAGACACAGGAGGGAGGGAGGAAAATTATTATTTTTTTTTTTTTGAATTGAAGATAAATTTTAATTTTTAGCTCTACTGGTCATATCTGTCTGTCTGTCTGTCCGTCTGTCTGTAAACAATTTTTCAAAACGCTACTCCTCCTACAGTTTTGGTCTGATTTTAATATAATTTGGCACACAAGTAGACTACACTAAGATACATAAAATAGTGCATTGGTTTTTGATTTGATGAACGGTGTTGCTGTTGTTACTAAAAATAGAATTTTCTGTGAAATTCCTTTTAAATGCTACTCCTCTTACAGTTTTGGTTTGATTTTAATATAACTTGGCACACAAGTAGACTACACTACACTAAGATACATAAAATAGTGCATCAGTTTTTGATTTCGATGAACAGTGTTGCCGTTGTTACTAAAAATAGAATTTCTGTGAAATTCCTTTAAAACGCTACTCCTTCTACAGTTTTGGTCATTTCAATGTTACTTGGCACACAAGTAGATACACTAAGATACATAAAATAGTGCATTGGTTTTTGATTTCGATGAATAGTGTTGCCATTGAAAATATAATTCCTTTAAAATTTCATCCTTTGTTAAATAAACAATAAAGACAAAACTAACAGTAAATACATATATGAAAAAAAGAACAAAAACACCTAATTTTTTATATACATCTGACACTTTATTTCAGTGTTTTGTATGGTGTATGTGATACATGTAATGGGCAAAAAAAAAATGATTAATTTAAAAAAAATCTTTCTACTTTTGGTCAATAAAATTTTTTCAGGAGGGGGCATTTCAATGAGGCAGGAGGCAATTCCATACAAACTATAATTTTATTTTTGCCTAATGAAGAGAACTGAAATAGTTGATTGTGGAATGAATTAATAAGAGGAGACAACTAAATTCAACTCAACTGTTTTTTATTCAAGCATGTCAAAACTTGCACAAGACAGTCACAATGTATACATTTTCAATTAAATCTATACACTATACATATTATTTTATGAAACATATAAAAAAAAACAATGTTATATAACATGAATCGCATAAATTTGTGTCAAGTTAGGAGTTATTTCCCTTTATGAACAGAGTTTTTTTCCTGCATCACTGGGGAGATATTTCCCTTAAGTTTATAAATATGGAGTTATGTTCCCTATCACTGGGAGTTATCTCCCTTATCACAGTGTTTTGGTGGGAATCTCTCTCACTCCTCCTCCTCCTCTATCCAGAGGTCCAGCATAAGGAGAGACAACGGTCACGCTTAAAAAAGTAAGTACAGGATATGAATTAAAATCACACACAACAGAGATGTTTTAGGTCTCCCTGGTATTGGAGAAGAAAATTTAACTGATTGTTTTACAGAAATAAACAATATATAAAAACAAAGCTAATTCATATCTGAAAAGAAAGTTGCTGTATATGTTCTTTTCTTATAAGATTTTGAAAAGTAATCACTATGAACTTATTTATTTTTGCATTAAAAAAAAAAAAAAAAAATGTGCCAAGTATTATTTGCATTAAATTTTGGAATAAACATCAAAAATTTTGATGTGCATATGATGTGCCTAAAGTTCTGACATTTTAATAACACAAATGCAAAGTTTGGTGTCTGGAATTAAATGTGAAAAGGTGCATGACAGTGATAAAGACTGTAAGTGGAATTTCACACACAACAGTAGGTGATTGTGGCACTTCAAACAATGTAAGGGGGTACATGGTATAGAAACAAATTGAATGTAGCTGCTGTAAATTGTATTGATATGATGTCACATGCATTTCATACTGGTAACTGAAATATGACTCAATATTATCAAAAGACTTATCATTTTCAAAATTAAATTAATTCAAACTTCAAGAAAATAATTTTAAATACTATTTGGTATGAATAAATGACAATGTAGACATGCAGCTGAGAATTAAAATATGTACATGGTGATGAGAGATTTGAATTTCTTAATTAAGTTGTATTAATACACCATTGGGTGAATTCATTAAATTTTGTAAGTTAATTCTTTTATTTTTGTACACATGCTGAGATATAACAATGCATTATATAGATTGCCTTGATTTTTAAATAAAAGTGAGAACATGCAAAACAATAACAGATAAAAATCACACATTCGGTGTTGTTGGGTGCTCAGGGAGGGGGGTGGGGTGTTGATTACATAAAGAGAAGCAAACACACACAGTTAGCCTTCATACCTCTACCACTTTCATGTTCTGTAAGCAACATAACATTTACAAATTACTCTAGACAAGTTAGTAGACAGCTATTGTAAACAATTACATTTATTGTAACACAGAATATAGGCATAATGTAAACAAGAGGCCCATGGGCCACATAGCTCACCTGAGCTCTAAGGGTAGGAAAAAGTAGAAAATGGCTTTTTTAAATGTAAAGTTTAAATCCAAAAGTAGTCTCATGACCAATCATGGATTTGCTATTTTTTAGAGATTTTTAAAGAATTTTCCTATATATATCTTTAAAAACTTTGGTCGGCCATTTTGGCCCCGCCCTACCCCCCGGGGTCATGATTAAAAAAAAATTGAATCTACACTATCTGAGCATGCTTCCATATAAATATGATGAATTATGGCTTTGTCATTCTTGAGAAGAAGATTTTTATGAATTTTCCATATATTTCTCTGTTAAACATCCATCATACCCCGGGGGTCAATTTGGAATCTACACTACCTGAGCATGCTTCCACATAAATATGATGAATTATGGCTTTGTCATTCTTGAGGAGGAGATTTTTAAAGAATTTTCCTATATATTTCTATGTAAAACTTTGGTCGGCCATTTTCTAAGGGGTCATGATTTGAACAAATTTGAATCTACACTACATGAGCATGCTTCCACATAAATATGATGATTTATGGCTTTGTCATTCTTGAGAAGAAGATTTTAAAAGAATTTTCCTATATATTTCTATGTAAAACTTTGGTCGGCCACACCCCCCGGGGTCATGATTTAAAAAAAATTGAATCTACACTATCTGAGCATGCTTCCATATAAATATGATGAATTATGGTTTTGTCATTCTTGAGGAGAAGATTTTTATAGAATTTTCCTATATATTTCTCTGTTAAACTTTGGTCGTCCATTTTGGCCCCGCCCAACCCCGGGGGTCATGATTTGAACAAACTTGAATCTACACTACCTGAGCATGCTTCCACATAAATATGATGAATTATGGCTTTGTCATTCTTGAGGAGAAGATTTTAAAAGAATTTTCCTATATATTTCTATGTAAAACTTTGGTCAGCCATTTTGGCCCCGCCCTACCCCCCGGGGTCATGATTTAAAAAAAATTGAATCTACAATACATGAGCATGCTTCCACATAATTATGATGATTTATGGCTTTGTCATTCTTGAGAAGAAGATTTTAAAAGAATTTTCCTATATATTTCTATGTAAAACTTTGGTCGCCCATTTTGGCCCCGCCCTACCCCCGGGGGTCATGATTTGAACAAACTTGAATCTACTACCTCAGGATGTTTCTCCATAAGTTTCATCTTTCCTAGCAAAGTGGTTCTTGAGAAGAAGATTTTTTAAATATGCCACCAAATTTTTTAAATCTCCCCTTGAATGAGGGTGTGGCCCTTTATTTGTACAAACTGTATCCCCTTCACCCAAGGATGCTTTGTGGCAAGTTTGGTTGAAATTCGGTTCTTGAGAAGAATCGAAAATTTTTATGGACGCCGGACAAAATGTGATCAGAAAAGCTCAATTTTTAAAATAAACATGAAAATATAATTGAATGGGGAAATTTTTGCAATGAGAATAAAGTTTTGCAAAATTATCATCACATGAACTGAGGTATATAGTACTAAACAAAAAAAATCAACATTTTGTAAATTCAATATGTTCTGGAAAAATAACCATTCTTTAACACTGAAATATCAAAATTTTATGCTGTATACGTAGTTTTAAAATATCCATTTAATATAGCACTGAATAAGGATTTGTGCGGCTCACAATTTTGATAGATATCAATATACAATGCATTTTTTTTTTTATAAAGGTGATTCTTAATTTTTTGACAAATTTAGATTTCATTAACCATTCAATTGTGAAAATAAATGCATGAAATCATTATTAAACAAAGTAATTTTAAAATCTTAAAAAGTGCAGTGTCAAATTCCTCTCTGTCATTATCAAGTGTATCACAGATTGAATTAAACCTCACTTAAAGTGATAATAAGTGGTGTTTTTTGCCATCTATTCATTATGCTCTATATAACATACAAAAAGTTCAATATTCACTCTTTCAATGTGATTTACATCTTTAAAAATGTTTGAAAGTGACTACATAATAATTCATTACACGTGACTACACAATAATTCATATCATGTGACAGTGTCAGATATAATAAATGTCTACAAAACTCTTTAATACTTTGTTTAGTTTCCTCAGTAAAATGGGATCTTTGTCGTCCTGTTAAAGCAAGTCACAGAAAACCATAGAAACATTTAGCCTTGTTTTTAAAAACATTGAATTTCACAGAGTCCTACTTCTACAAACATAGGTGTTCGTTAGGTAACTCAGACAACTACTCTAAAACATGTACACATCATACAAAACAAAAAACACTAACCTCCCCACCCATCCCTTAAAAAACACTAATCCCCTCCCCTTCTCCTTTGAAAAAATCCAAGTACTTTTATCAAAAGTTATCAAAAGAATTAATTCACAAATTGATAAACTCTTCTTAACCTTTGCAATGAAATGTCATATCACTTTAAAGAAGAGCTTTATGAAATTTGTTTTCTACAATATTGATTCAGATTTACTTTGACATTCTCTTCCCATTTTTGATTCAATGATAAATCCTCCAATGTAAACTTGACCTGGTCAGTTCTTACCCTAATGGCCATGATCCGTTCGCTGAGTATTTTAATGTCCAGCGGGTTCTTGGTCATCATCAGTTCCCGCGTAATGTTACTTATCTCACGGTTTGTCTTGATCCTCTTCCTTTCAATCTCAGCAATGTCTTTATGGGTCTGATCGCAAATCCTACAAAAAAATCAATTTGTATCTTAAATAATTCAAACAATGTCCTTAAAATCTGATCACATAATCCTTTATAACAATCAAGTTATATTTCCCAAATACATGTAATTTAGGATGCAGAAATATTAATAAGTGTCTTCAATTTCAATTTAATTAAAAACTTAGATTTTCACAAGATGATATAAAGAAATTGTCCTAGAGAATAGGTCGATAAATTGTTGAATTGACTATACTGACTTTTCGTATTCCTTCTTTAGAGCCTCAGACATGGCCTTACGAGTCTCTATCAGCTGTTTGTAAGTAGGACCTGGAGGAGTGTGCGAGTTAAGGCAATAATTCATCCAACTTAAATGTTCTAATAATTATATCAACATCTATCATTGCCACGTATCACTAGAAAACCTTAAAGATGATTCAAATTTTGTGGAAAAAAATTTTTATTATAATGATTGAGGTCTAAAATACCTATAGTGTCATAAAAGTATTCAGTGAAATTCATATTAAAATTATATTACAAGTACTTGTTAACAGATTGTTTTTGATTGTTTTTCTTAGCATAGAATTCTAAATTTTTTAATTCCACTATCATATAAAGCAATGCTCAAATTGTCAAACTGATTTAAACAACATTCATATTGACTAAAATTCAGTCATTTTGAGAAAGGATATGGCATGGCTGATATCTCGGTCCTGCGGACTTTTTTGCCGGGTTGTTTACAGTCTCGGAGTTGTCGTAGGTGGAGGTAGTGTGAAATCAGTGGACTGCGACCGCTCGTGTTGAAGAGGACTCTCTCATACTCTGGTCCAGGTCCCAGCTGGTGGGACTAAAAATAGAACAGTAAAATGATTGTTAGAGGAACTTAGAGAGCACCTCATAAATGCACTGAAACAGATGCAGACATTTACTGATACAAATGCACAGTGTAGCAAAAGTGGTCCTTTATTTTTGCACTTAGGAAGAGTACTTTGAAGCAAATCCTCATATCAAAAGATTATTTTAGATGCAAAGTTGTATGTATTCAATTTGACCATAAGTCATTTGCATTAAAAAATCATCTGAATACTTGTGGATTTTAAAACAAGTAATTCTGCTTTATTTCAAATCACTTAAAATAAATGATTGCAGTTCTTACAACTAAATTTAAAGCAAAATTAATCCAGAAAGTAAGAGATGATAATAAGATTTTTTTCAAAACCAACCCCTTTTTTCTACTGTAAAATTGTTGATTTCATGCTAAACTCTACCTCTTTTTTCTCCACCCTGTGAGATGCAGTGCCACACGTGGCCAATCTAGAGGTGGACCCTTGAGACAGCGCAGTGGGAGGGATGTTAAAGTTGTGGGAGGCTATAGACAACCCATTTGTCATGTTGGTGAAGTTTGTCATGGTGGTCAGTTTGGTCATTTCTCGGGACACATTCTGGGGGGTGGGGCTGACAGAGGAAGGTGGCCCTGTGTGGTTCCCACCCAGAGATGCCATCATTCTGTTGAAGGAATCCATGTCCAGACTCAGATTCACTTAAAAAAAGGCAATATAATTAGGATTAAAAATTATTTAAAAGTTATTCAGTTTGTGAATAAAATGTACAATGCAAATTTATCCAACTTAAAGCTGGACATTAATCCTGCATTTTAGGCAAAATGTTTTAGAATATATTCGGAATCTAAATGACTGCCTTTTGTAATTTAGAAAACTAGTTTGGCGATAAAATCATGGAAATAGTAATTAGCTAGAAATATCATTTAGCGTTTCTATTCTTATTATTACATGTACCTGTATACAAAAACATATTTCTGATTAAAAATACTTCAAGTAATTTTTTTAATGTACAAATTCGCTAAAACAATATGTGCAGTTATGAAATAAAGACAAGTACATAGGTGTGCATTTAAATCTGCAGTTCTGCTATTGAAAAAAAACAGTTCGTCGTGATATATTGCCGATAGTAAGTAAAATGAATTCTTGAATAAATGTATTGTTTATGGCAACATTGTTAATTAAACATTCACAATTTATACCGTATAATTATTTTTTTCAGCAAACTTTGCATTGTTTAAAGCAGAGACCATCTAAATAATATAGGTAACAACGGTTTTAATCCTGACTAAACAAATTTTATTAAAGAAAACAAAATTATTATAACAGTTCAAGTTAAAATTATTGTTTATTTAGTTCTTGTTAAATTACTTAATTGCTTGTACCTTGTCTGCCTTTGCATGCTTTACAACAGGGATAGTGAAATTTTTGACCACACGCACCTGTGGCCATTTTAATTGACACTTAAAAATGGACGTTTGCTCTCTTATGCGAATTTGGCGTTATAAAGAGAATTTTATATAGCAGGAAAAATGGGAAATCATATTGCGAAAATGGCGATGAATCGAATGGCAATAATTTGAGAATTGACTGTAGTCAGGAAAAAAGATAATACATTTGTAAATAGTATTTAATTTTTTTCCTGCACTGATTTTTGCTGAGTTTATCCCTAATTACACTAGATGTTAACAATTCTATACACAAGTTCCTTACTTTCTTTATTGAGAGCGGCTGCCTGCATCAGTTTTGTGGTTGCCTGGTTCGATTCCCTCTCCAGTCCTTTTGGTGCTTTAGCCTCCATCTTTTGTATGTTCCATGTTTTCCAGGTTCCAGGAACAGGTTTTAATCCTACAGAAAATTAAAAGTTAAAAGTAACTGTTACAACAATTGACAAGGCTTAACTGACTGCATAGAAATTCTCATGCAACAGTGCTTTGTGTGGGTAAGTTTGTCTTTCGCAAGAAACGTATAGGAGTGACAATATGCTCTTTGCGAGGGGATGCTCCAATTTGCAGTCAGTGCCCTTGTTCCTTGTTAAATTTATGAAATCAAAGAAGTATTATTCTCTATAAAGAAATTATTTTGTGTTTTTTGCTATTTGACTTGCCTGTAACCCACTCATGAACGACATTCAGTAAGTCTTGTTTGAAGGATTCATCCATTTTAGCATGGGATTCTGGGAATGCTGTCCAGTAAGCCATGTAGATAGCCTGAGCAAGGCAGTCTGGGTATACCTACAATACAAATGTTGTTCTTAAATCTTACATCAAGGGTAAAGCATTTCACAGCAACTAGCTCAGATTGTAGATTAAAATACAACATGTATAAGAACTTCATGATCAGCTATTTTATTTGAATGTACATTACTGACTTTATCCTTTATCTAAATAGTTCCACTAAAACATTATTATACCGGTATATACACAGATATGGGTTATATTGTGTAATAAGTAAAATATTTATAATGTTATGCATCTTTTTAAAGTAATTAAATGTGACCTAGTATTTTCGTACTGAAAGAAACTTGTCCTTGACATCTTTGTGGATACTGGCAAACAGACCAACAAAACTGTCAGCAATTCTGTCATATAAAAGATTCTTCTCATCTTCACTATGTCGCTGGAAAGGAAACAATATTCTTATATGAGTATCTGTAATTGTATTCCATTATAAAACTTATCAGAAATATTATAATAATAGTTAAATGTGATGAAAGTGAAATAATTTACATGTACATATTTCTTAATCTTACATGTAGATAATTGTAAATGAAGGAGTGGTGAGGACAAGGTCATTGAAAATATCAGGATAAAAAAACAACACAGTGAAATTGCTCTCAACAATATCTATCTTAGTAAGTGATTTAAGAAAAAATCAGACGTCTTAAAAATGAAAGTCAAGATCAACGGAATCAGAAAGTCACAAGGAAGGTCAAGGTTAAAAAAATATGACAAAGTTACAATGAGATTGTTCTTACCATTTATGTAACTTTGTACAAAATAGGGTATATTAAGATCAAGGTCACAATGAAGGTCAAGGAGAGAAAATTATGCCTCAGGTAAAAAGTTCTTACCAGCATGTAAAAATTACCGGTATGAATTTTTATCAACACATTTTTTTTTTTATGGTAAACTAAATTGCAAATGTGACAGATGGACAGAAAGAGGAAAGGATAGATGGACAAAATGCTAAAGCCATTATTTATGGCAGGGCATGAAGTTTTAAAAATTTATTTCTTGATTAAAATTTATTTACTAGCACTCTGCAATTTGTTAGCTTATATTAAGAAATAAAGACATTAAATGCTGACAAAAATTCTTACATCAAATCGGTTCAAGAAGAACCACCAAAATGTGTCCTGCATTACAGCGACCGAGGCCTCCGATAAAAACAGCTTCTTCCAGAACTTCTTAAACCCAGGCTACAAATAAAATGTAGGCCCTATACAAATTTACTTGAAACATTTAAGTTTTGGTTTGATTATTTAATTATATTATAAAAGGTTTTTAGCCATGGTGTCTCCATCTAGTTTGTTGATACTCACATTAGAGTTCTGAACCTTGGTGACCCTATATAGCTTGTAATAATACTTACATTAAAGTTTTGAGCCTTGGTGACTGACCCTATGTACATTTAATACTTACATTAAAGTTTTGAGCCTTGGTGACCCTATGCAGTATGACCCTATGTACAGTTAATACTAACATTAAAGTTTTGAGCCTTGGTGACTGACCCTATGTACATTTAATACTTACATTAAAGTTTTGAGCCTTGGTGACTGACCCTATGTACAGTTAATACTTACATTATGTTTTGAGCCTTGATGACTGACCCTATGTACAGTTAATACTTACATTAAAGTTCTGAGCCTTGGTGAATACAGGTAATGAAATCACAAGTAAATACAGTTGAGTACAGGTGCTGATATCACAGGTAAATACAGGTGAATACAGGTACTGAAATCACAGGTAAATACAGGTGAATACAGGCACTGATATCACAGGTAAATACAGGTGAATACAGGTACTGATATCACAGGTAAATACAGGTGAATACAGGTACTGAAATCACAGGTAAATACAGGTGAATACAGGTACTGAAATCACTGGTTAATATAGGTAAATACAGGTAATGATATCACAAGTAAATACAGGTGAAAAGAGTACTGAAATCACAGGTAAATACATATGATTACAGATACTGATATCACAGGTAAATACAGGTGAATACAGGTCCTGATATTACAGGTAAATACAGGTGAATACAATGGGGTCATCACATGTAAATAAAGTTACTGAAATCACAGGTGAATTCAGGTACTTTTATCATGGGTGAATACAAGTACTGACATCACAAGTAAATACAGGTGATTACATGTGCTGATATCACAGGTGAATACATGTACAGATATCACAGGTAAATACAGGTACTGTAATCAAGGGTAAATACAGGTGAATACAAATGCAGTCATCACATATGAATAAAGTTACTGAAATCACAGGTGAATTCAGGTACTGATATCATAGATAAATACAGGTGACTACAGGTACTGCTATCACAGGTAAATACAGGTGAATACAGGTACTGATATCACAGGTAAATACAGGTACTGATATCACAGGTAAATAAAGATGAATACACGTACTGTAATCAAGGGTAAATAACAGGTGAATACAAACACTGAATTCACAGGTAACTACAGGTACTTGTTTCAAGTGTAAAACAAATATTGTAATAACAGGTAAATACAGGTAAGCACAGGTACTGTAATCACATTCAGGTAAATACAGGTAATTGAATTACAGGTAAATCAGACGAGTTAAAGGTATATTTCTGCAATAAAAAATGCATGCTGAAAGACATGTAAATGACCTGGACTTAACCTTGATTTTCAATTTTTCATAATCTATATGTATGTGGTAAATAACAGGTGAATACAAACACTGAATTCACAGGTAACTACAGGTACTTGTATCAAGTGTAAAACAAATATTGTAATCACAGGTAAATACAGGACCCTTTTTATTAAGAATTAGTAAAAAAATTCATCCTTTTTTATTTCTAAATTCTACTAAACTATGCCCAAAATGTAGCAAAAATAGCATTAAGTCTAGGCAAATCAACTCTTGAGTTTCATTCAGTCTCTTGACACTTAATTGCTAGCTTCAAGACTACTCTGGCGAACTATAAATTAATTTATGCAGCATCATGTTTCATTTAAAATAATGAAAATCCCATGGAACGTGATATTTCTTTGTCAAACAACAAAAATTTGACCCCATGAAAATAAGTAAACTTACAATATATTATCATGGGATGAGTATAATTAAATTGATCATGCAAATTTTTAAATTATGTACATGCAAATTGTTATACACACAGGCACCAAAAACAACATTTTCTTGCATGCTACATGAACCAGCAGTTAGGGGAATGACTAATGATTGATTAAGTGATTCATAGATAATACAAGTGAATTGTTAATTGCAAATGACTTCTTAGTATTCCATATGAACCAATTTTCTATTAATATTGTTATAATTATACTACTATAAATGGTTAAGCCAACACCAAATTAAACTTTTTTTTAAATATTTTTCCCCAAGTGAAAAATAAAGTGATACAAATTGGACCATGTGAAAATTAACGGAAGTGCTAATTATGTTTATAATATTTAGGTCATACTTAAAAATAATATTTGCTTGCCCTCTCCAACTCTGGGTAAAACTATTGGGTTGGTAAGTATAGGTGGGGAAAATCTTTTTTCCACAAAATTTCAGCATTTTTTTCAACATTTTTGTTGAAGAATAAAATGAGAAAAAGAATCTGTCCTGGAATGTAAAAAAAGGTTTTGAGTCATGTAATTTTTAGTCAGTTATTCTGGAGAGGGCAACCAAATAATTTTTTTTAAAAGATGGCCTTAATATAATATTATACCGAGTCTTCTTTGTTCTGAAAACAATACATAATCATGCAAACTTTGTTAGTCCACAAAAACACTGATTATTGACTTAGAGGCACAATGACTAAAAAGTTACTTGAAAGCTTTTAACCAGTTTTTAATTTATATTTGATCATGAATTACTATTAAAAACAATACACTTTTTAACAATGACATGATAAAATTACAACATTTGATACATTAAGTTAATATTTCATGAGATTTAATTTAGTTTTTTATTACACATACAAGTAATGTTAATATTTTTAATATAATATTAGCTTCACAGCATTACATGCCTCGATATATATACATTGTATTGTTAATGGTACTCAAGCTAGTACATTTTACATGTAATTAACATCAAGATGTGAATAGGACCTAGCACGCAATATATGGAGAGGGCTTGTTAACATACAGTAAAATTACTTTTCTAGTGTGTAAATTTAAAATGATAAAGTGATTATGAACACCTTCAATGTAATTGTTTTTCATTTCTAGATATGATGAAAGTTAATTAAGCGTTAATTACTAGATCCATACCGTAAATCTGGAAATTTTTACTGTAGATAAATTTTTAGCAAATTTGCGCATGCATTGCATTATATTAAAAACAAATCAACATGTGAAGAATTTTTTTTGAACTCGTGTCTTTTTTAACTCAGTGAATAGGCGTCGGTAAGCACTGGTCATTTTTAAAAGAAACCTGTTTACACTAGTCTACTATATAACTACAAGTTAATTACCCGTGCGTGTAAATTGTCCTCATTATATGCCATATCGTCCGATGATTTGACAAGCACTGAGGCGGTATGCCCCTTTTTAATTATTTTCATCAATTAATTTGCCAATAAAGACAGAACTGTCATTTTATCTAACGGTGTATCAACACGGGCGATAACTTAAACTCAGTGTATTTACTAGAAAGTTCCAAATGTAAACGCGGCGTGTAAATTTTAGGTGAGAAAAAACCAAACCCTGAGGAAATTAGTTATATTTTTTCTTCAATTGGATTATTCTTAAGGTTAAAAGGCAACCTCTAAATGTTTGTTATAATTGATTTAGATCTTTTTTCAGTGCAAATCCTTTTGTATTTTTATCAAAATTGTTTAGGCTATAGTTACGTTTCAGTATATTGGTGGTTTAACTGGGCTGAAACATAACCTGTTATGAAAATCTTCAGTGATTTTTATTTTTAGCACCAGTGACAATTCGCAAAAAATTGAAGCGTAAAAATTAATCAATAGCTTTTTGACTCAAATTCGCAAAAATAAATTGACGTAAAAATTTCCAGATTTACGGTATATGATTGATTCTACAGGTTTATATTTCATTTTTGCTGGCTAAATTTAGATAATTTACCATTATTACTTTTAGACGAGTTACCATTATGTTTAGGCTGGTAACCATTACGTTTAAGCTAGATACCATTATGTTTAAACTTATAGTTAATATTATGTTTAGATAAGTTACCATTATGTTTAGGGTATAGTAACCATTACGTTTAGGCTATAGTTACCATCATGTTTAGGCTATAGTTACCATTAACTTTAGGCTATAAGTTACCATCATATTAAGGCTATATTTACCATTAATTTTAGGCTATAGTCATCATTACTTTTAGGCTATATTTACCATTACATTTAAGCTAGGTATCATCACTTTTAGGCTAGTTACCATTATGTTTAAGCTAGTTACCATTACATTTAGGCTAGTTATCATTATGTTTAGGCTAGTTACCATTACATTTAGGCTTGTTACCATTACTTTAAGACTAGTTACCATTACGTTAAGGCTAGTTACCTTACATTAGTTAGACTAATTACACTTACCATGGTTCTTCTTCCCCTGGCACTATGGTGACTCTTTACAGCATCAGATTCAGCCATCTGGGTTATAAATGCTGTAAACAAAACCGTAACTGTAAACAGCATTTAGTCCTGACAAGTTAATCACATACTTCTTTATGACATGCAATGAGGAAATTACTTTCCCTTGTATATACAATTAATTCAGTTCAAATCATTTATTGACAACACCATCATACATTGGCATATAGTCATGAATACAACAATTAACAATTAACTGCAACAGACCAATGTGACTCTTCATGGAGTAAAGCAATAATCCCTGCATCGGAGATAGAAGATGAATAAAATATTTTAAGGCTGTGCCCCTCGAAGATAGCATATTTATATAGAATTAGTTTCTAGTATTTCCATATATTCCATTTGTTTCATCTGAGGCAAGTATGCTAGAGTATTTATAGAATAGAGAGCATACATCACTTTTCTGAAGCAATACTGTCTCCTATACCTTGGATGACTCTATAACTAATGTCCTTCTCCGGAAGATATACCTGGTCCACTTAACACCAAAGATTGATCTTACCTCGACTGACTCCATAAGGAATGTCTTCCTCACGTTGTAGTTTCTTCTCCTCGGTGACGACCTGATCGGCATAGAAACGAAGCTTGTCCTCGAGTTTATCCAGTCTGCCCTCCAGGTCCTCTAACATGTGTAGACCCAGGGCTGAAAGGGCAGCTCAGGAAAACATAAATCAAATAAAATTAGCCGGATTGTTCTGATCACCTATGTCCTTTTTCTGTTTAAATTACATTATATCTGACAGAAAAGTTCTCTTTCATAAGTATTACTAATTTTATAGCAGTAGTTTACAGCTTTTATTTACATTAGTAACTAAACTCTGGACTAAAGGATACGAGCAGACTCCCTTAAGATGGCTGCTATGTCTTCTTGACTCCCCAGTAGAAACGCCTCATCTGAGATATCCAGAGCCCCCTCTGAGGTTAATCTCTGGGGCCATTCCTCCTGTAAAATAAATATGATGGGTAGTGCATAAGACCGAGGTACAGGGGAACTTAGAGAATATGGAAACACACCAAGTTTTTGCGTCTTTACTCAGAAAAACCTTAATTATTTTGAATATAATTGAAAACATTATTGGTCTCAATTCACTTTATCTTACTACTAAAGAAACAGCCAAATAAAAAAAAAATGAAGGATCATGGAACTGAAATGAAAATCGGCCACTAAATTGAGATGTACCAGTCCTTCTGCATCCATGAACTCCTCGTAGTTTGTGGGTGGTTTGGGTTTCTTCTTCTCCTCCTGAACCACCCCCTGTTGTTTATCATCCTCTTTGGGCGTGTCGTACTGAGCCATGATAGCTGCAATACGGGGATCCATGACTGACACCATGTTTTTTTTACCCCTGGCTAAAAAACCCGGATTAAAAGGCATGATAAGCAGACGGTACAATATTTTACATGCATAAATTAGAATAGAATTTTAAAATTTCAAAGAAAAAAATATTAATGAAATAAATAAATGATACTGTAAAGTTCATGTTTGATGAAATTTGAACACAATGCTGTATTTGATAATTCCCGAGGAAATTCGAAATGATATTTTAATGTATCGTCAATATTTTATTGCTTTGTTTTGTATAAACCATTCCAAAATAGATCAGTATATATATTTAAGTGTTTTCTACAAAATAAAAACTTAATATCGCATTGTTCAAGCTAGATACTTACTATATTACATCTTTTCCGTTGTCAAGTACGCAAACTAATTTCCTTTGAGAGCAAAGCCTAGATGAGTTCCGATAAGCAGAGATGGAACTCTTCTGCTTTCGAAGGTAACAAAACGAAGAAAGGCGCCATTTTTGTGAAAACTGCAAGATAGCAGAACTTGCCAGAAGCTCAAATTGATATGATATTTAACCTAAATCATCTAATGAATAATTTTATTTTTGTATGGTAAGTCAACCTAGGGAGTCTAGATAGAATAAATACTAAGTATTTTCAATGTCTCGAAATCTCTCCAGGTTGGGGCCACTTGAAGTTGTCAAATATTGAAATAAGCTGTTAATTTGGGGTACCTGTAAAGTGCGAAACGAAATAGAAACGAAACGAAACGAAACGAACTGAAACGAAACGAAATCTGCCGAAACGAAACGAAACCTACCGAAACGAAACGAAATCAAGACGAAACGAAACGAAATCAAAACGAAACCTGCCGAAACTAAACGAAACAAAACTATCAAAATGTTTTTTTCTTCAAATCAAGGTACATTTATGTAATTATATATGTGTAACTGCATGTGAAATTTTTTTTTAACTTCAAATAAAATTTATATAGTTCAAGCACTTGTTAATATAAAATTTAATTACCGATAAATTATGCTCCCTTCTCAGTCTAATGATGTATTTACATGTTTGCCAGCTGCAAATATGCACGAGCGTACTATGCATGTATAATTTCAATATGTGCAGTATTTTCTAATTTTTATATCTTACTCTTATTTTCAGTCCTTATTAAACTAGATACAACATATCTATCAAAATTGATGTGTTACATGTAAAGGCTCGATTATGTATGGGTCGAAATAAAGTCACTGTACTGTTGTATTGCGAGTGCCTTAAAACATAGGATAAACAAGGATAAACATAGGATAAACTTCGAGTATTTAGTATTCCATTCCGAGGTGTCTGGTTTTATCGTTCAATTATACATGTAACTCCTTGTGTATCCTTTCTACATACGTACGGTCCTATTTTTATCAACTAGAGGTAATTTTCGAGGAAGAAAGGAGTGGTTTGCAATAAAGAGGCTCGATCAGAGACGTCTACAACGATTTAAATGACAAGAAATAAGTCTCTCGAAGCGAACGATGTCATTTTTAAGTAGGTAAATTATTCAGTAAGATATTAACAAAATATGACAAAGGCGGCGGAAGCGGGGGGGGGGGGGGGGGTTTTTTTTTTTTTTTTTTTTTTTTTTTTTTTTTTTTACAAATAAATATATTATTATATAGGCAGTGAAAATTGGGGTTGACCTTTTTTGTTGGTTAAGCCCCCCCCCCCCACTTTCAATTTCCTTCCGACGCCTTTGTATGAGCTTGAAGAGAAACAATTGCCTGTGGTGCTTGAACTATATAAATTTCATATGAAGTAAAAATACACCATATGCTGTTACACATTATATATAACTAAATGTATATAGCTTGATTTGAAAAAACATTCTGAAAGTTTTGTTTCTTTTCGTTTCGACAGGTTTCGTTTTGATTTCGTTTCGTTTCGTCTTGATTTCGTTTCGTTTCGGTAGGTTTCGTTTCGTTTCGGTAGATTTCGTTTCGTTTCGGCAGATTTCGTTTCGTTTCAGTTCGTTTCGTTTCATTTCGTTTCTATTTCGTTTCGCACTTTACAGGTACCCGTTAATTTGAGATGGCAGTTTGAAAAAACACATCGAAATAAATTGAGAAAGAGCAAACTTTTAAAGACCCAAGTTTTTTACCGTACGGTCACCTGAGGTGGGGGAGTGGTCTAGGTAACAGTGGTGTTATTTACCTGGAGACCCCGAATACCCAAGATGTCAAAAATCTGTGTATACACAGCATTACACAGGAAGACTGTGTTTTGTAATCAGGGTAAACATTAGGTGTTTTGTGTCCAATTTTTAATGAAACTCCTTAAAATAATTAAATTATTTCCATATAAAATTATTTGTTAACTCAATGCATTCAGTAATCTGTTGAAGGATAAAATCATAAAGAAATGTTAATTTATTATTTTTTGTAAAAAAAGAACGATCACGTGTAAAACCTAGAAAGCAACCAGTTCTACATATTTTTTTTTAAATCTTCAGTAAGATAAATCTCCATGATTAAAAAAAAGTGTATAATATGTTGAAATAAAAAAAAAAACTCCATTCATCTGTCGCGTGAACATTTACCGCGATCGGAATACCGGTGTATTTTTTTAAATTTTCTGATCATCATTGTTGTCCATATTATTCAATATTTCCCAGTGTATGTGCGTTAACAAACTTTTATTATTTGAAAGATTTTTTTTTAGGGTTGAACATAAAATTGGGTGTTTAAGCATACTTGCCAACTCCCAGCATGTAAAAATCTGGTCATGACCAGATTTGGAAAGTTAAAAATCTGGTCATAACGCGTAATGACATTCATGACGTATTTACCATGATTAAATTTTATACATATATACAAAATATTTGTGTATTGAGAATTCTTTTATTGAAAAAGGCTTTAATTTATAATGACCAAAAAAAAAAAAATACATAATTTGATTAATAAATTTAAATGTTAAAAAAGAGAATTGAAGGTTTCATATTTCAGTATTGACCTGAAGTAAAAAGTGTAATTTAAAAAAAAAAAAAAAAAGCCTTTTCAGTTTCTGCTAAATTTGAAAGTATACAATTTCAGTTTTGAAGTTATTTTTCCTCCCTCTTAATTAATTAACTACTGCAATATGTATTAAATGTGAAGTTAGGCCTACACTGTCTTTGATCACTTTATTTTATCTGGAATTAATTTTTTTTTTCCAAGATTCCTTGATATGTACATAAATATTGTTTCTCTTTTTCTTGGTTCAATCAGAGACATGTGTTTGGTTCAATTTGTTCCTGCTGGCCCTGATAACGATCTAGTTCTATCGGAAGCCATTTTAATTGACTTCAAACATTGATTTGTCAAAACAACACCCAGTTAATTGTTTACACCTGCACTGATAATTAATCCATCGGCATTGTTTACGTAGATCTAAGGTTGGGTTGTTACTGGAAGTTAAAAGTGCAACCTAATTTACGAACCAAATCCAGAAATCGGGAGATTTTCGGGTTGTTCGTCAAAAATCGGGTGAAAAGTATGACCCGCCGGGTCATAAAAAATAATCGGGTTACGGGTTGAAAAATCGGGTGTGACCCGACGAAATCGGGTGAGTTGGCAACTATGTGTTTAAGTGTTCAGTAAATATACTTTATTTTCAGTGGCTGTCACTGTAGCTCTCCGGTCCGTCATATTATTTCCGCAGAGCTATATGCAGTTCTGCTAGCTTCAGCACTGCACATGCATGCACTCTTAAGAACAAATCTAAACCTTTTTTCAGGTTTATAATTATTTATTTTCTTTATTCAAGAATTAGTGCCTTGTTCAGGACCTTGTTAAATATTTCCTTATTCAAGGAAAATGGTTCATCTCAAAACCAAGGAAATTAAGTGACGAACAAAAATATTCTCATATGGCTATGCAAAAACAAATTTGTTTGCTGAAATGGTTCATCTTTGGAGTTGCTTTTCAATAAGCATGGATAAAAAAATCCCTCTCTTTCTCAATTCTAATTTAAAATTGTACAACTGTTGCTCATCATTTAATTTAATAAGAACATCATCTCAGACTAGATGCTTGATGGTAATTACTGTATACAGGGATATTTTCGCCCCGTCTTATTTTCGCCCATTCACTCTTGCAAACAATTTTGCCCCATTTTAGATTCGCCCAGTCATAGTTTTGTTTAAGAAATAATAATGTATTCCTTGAATTCGCCCTGTTTTAAATACGCCCAAATGAGGGTAGGGCAAAAGGGGCGAAAATAAAACGGGGGCGAAAATTTCCCTGTATACAGTAACAGTTTCTTTGGTTTCCGTAAACAGATGATTTTATTTGTATTTTCAAGGAAAACAAAAGTTTAACAATATTTAGATACTGCTGTACTTTGTAGTGTAGATCTAGTAAATAACAATACTAACATGTAGAAGTTTAAAAATTATTATAATTATAGGTTATATTCACAAATAATTAATTCAAAATATTGTTCTTTACAGGATGTGAACCAAGAATGTCAAGGAAGCAGTTAGCAGAGGTTCTTCAGTTACTTCAGGGGTATTTATACATAGTTCAAAAAAATTAAGCTACATAGATTCAGATAATTTATAACATAAAATGTGGTCCTGTTCACCCCACTGACTGAAGAAAATCATCCCAACCCTAAACTTTGTTAGGTCACTGAGTCACTCAGGTGATTGTAGATAGAATGTTCAATCGTTAAAATGGTATTGTTCTATGGACACGATTTAGCGATAGGATTCATTCCATGCATTATGTATATTATATCAAAAGAAACATAGGTGATAATTCGAACTCCGTGAAATTACGTCTAACAAAAAGTTAAAATCCACCTGTGATGTCATTCTTTTGTTGGAGTGATCCATTTTTAGCTCACCTGAGCCGAAGGCTCAAGTGAGCTTTTCTGATCACATTTTGTCCGTCGTCCGTCCGTCCGTCTGTCTGTCCGTCCGTCTGTGTCTGTTGTCCGTCTGTAAACTTTTCACATTTTCGACTTCTTCTCAAGAACCACTGGGCCAATTTTGACCAAACTTGGTACAAAGCATCCTTGGGTGAAGGGGAATTTAAATTGTTAAAATGAAGGGACATATCCCCTCGCAAGGGGAGATATTCAAGAAGACAAAAATAGGGTTGGGTCATTAAAAAATCTTCTTCTCAAGAACCACTGGGCCAGTAAAGCTGAAACTTATGTGGAAATCCTGGGGTAGTGTATCATTCTAAATTGTTCAAATCATGACCCCCGGGGGAAGGGCGGGGCCACAATGGGAAATCAAAGTTTTACATAGAAATATATAGGAAAAATCTTTGAAAATCTTCTTCTCAAGAACCACTGGGCCAGAAAAGCTGAAACTTATGTGGAAGCATACTGGTATAGTGTAGATTCTAAATTGTTTAATCATGATCCCCAGGGGAAGGGCGGGGCAACAATAGGGAATCCAAGTTTTACATAGAAATATATAGGAAAAATCTTTTAAAATCTTAATTTCTTCTCAAGAACCACTGGGCCGGGAAAGCTGAAACTTATGGGGAAGCATCCTGGTATAGTGTAGATTCTAAATTGTTCACATCATGACCCCCGGGGGAAGGGCGGGGCCACAATGGGGAATCAAAGTTTTACATAGATATATATAGGAAAAATCTTTGAAAATCTTCTTCTCAAGAACCACTGGGCCAGAAAAGCTGAAACTTATGTGGAAACATTCTGGAATAATGTAGATTCTAAATTGTTCAAATAATGACCCCGGATGGGAAGGGCGGGGCCACAATGGGGAATCAAAGTTTAACATAGATATATATAGGAAAAATCTTTGAAAATCTTCTTCTCAAGAACCACTGGGCCAGAAAAGCTGAAACTTATGTGGTCAAGCATCCTGGTATAATGTAGATTCTAAATTGTTCAAATAATGACCCCCGGGGGAAGGGCGGGGCCACAATGGGGAATCAAAGTTTTATATTGAATATATAGGAAAAATCTTTGAAAATCTTCTTCTCAAGAACCACTGGGCCTTAAAAAGTGAAGCTTATGTGGAAGCATAGTGTAAATTCTAAATAGTAGGAATCATGACCCCCGGGGGAAGGGCAGGGCCATTATAGGGAATCAAAGTTTTACATAGAAATATATAGGAAAAATCTTTGAAAATGGGCCAAAAAAGATCTTCTTCTCAGGAACCACTGGGCCAAAAAAGCTGAAACATATGTGCCCATGGAAGGATCATGGGGAAGTGTAGATTTCAAATTGTCTAAATTATGATCAGGGGGGTAGGGTGGGGATGCATTATGTATAACAAGGGGGAAATCTGGTAAAGAACAGAATGGTCAAAGCTTCTCAGGTGAGCGATGTGGCCCATGGGCCTCTTGTTTTTTTTTTGAGAAATTTTTGTCCTTTTCTTTTGTAAAATTGCAGGAACACTAATTTCAATTGCACAATTCTGTCAATCACACAAAATTTAAGTGTACAAATTATTGTCATAATTTTCTGCAAATTAAGGACATTGGCAACGTTTCTAGCTTTCGTATAGAATTTTTCAAGATTTTTTGAACAGGTTTAATGGTACCAAACATGTTTAATTCAGGTCCTTTTTACCCATCAAGCCAGCCTTCCTTTAAAGATTTTGTCAAATCAATGTCTTTACAATTTTCAATGCATTTCCTATGTAAAATGTTGATAAAATGGGCCTATATTATTTTTAACCATACATTTTCTCTAAAACCCATTTATTTCATAAGGTTTATACATAAAACACATTGTTGAAACCTTATTTCCGATGACATGCATATACTTTGGCTGAAAATGCGAATATTGAAACAAAACACAGAAATACCAGCACTGTTCTTTAATTTTGAGTTACTTCCCTTTACTGTAATAACATCTAATCAATATTCATAATGATCAAGACTTTTAGAGTGGTTGGTTGTTTCTATTCTATAATTTACTTAATTGGAAACGAACTGTCATAAAACATTTTTGCAAGAATTTATAGTAATTTTTAATGGTGCATCATTCTAATAACCTATAGAAGCGTTTTCATTCGTTCCACCTAGCAATCAACACTTTCAGCATAATTATTTCACATCTTTGCACCTTCCACTTCCAGCATTCATTTACCTATTCTAAATGACAACCTGTTAACTGTCTGCCCCCTCAACACAATGTAAACAAACCCATTGCTGCTTTTCTTTTAGTACTGTAGAGTTGAATATATCCGATAAAAAAAACACACGTGCTTTTGTTTACCTCTCAGACTGTAACATATGCTTTATTTGTTTTCAGCGTCTAGAGAATTTCATACGGGAGATCACTCTCAATGACTTTTTTTCATAAGTGAAAAAACCTGGGTATAAACCTTTTTTCTCCGGAAACCCTTCGTTGCCAATGATCTTAAATGCATTAGTTGTGGTTTCACTGTAAATATTTGATTTTCGTCACTTTTCCTTCACACTGGGCTACAAACATAGTGTCATTTGTATCTGTACAAAGTCCCATGGGGTTACTAAGAGTACAATTTATATAGCGAAGGAATTGTCCATCCTGGTCTATGATGTGGATGCAATCATTGTTATAATCAGCTGTAAGGATGTGACTTTCACTGTCTGTGGCGATTCCTACTGGACGGAATGGTTCATTCTTTGGAGCAGGAGTATGTCCAGTGTACCTGAATCTCAGTTTCCCGGCCTGATTGACCACCACTACTGCTTTAGCTCCACTGTCAGACATGCAGATATCCAGGTTCCTGTTCTCACTGATGTATTTATATTCAATTAAAAAAATACTTCTTGATGATGAATAAAGTGGTTTACCTTCATCATCAAACTGAATGGTTTGTTTCTTTGTGGAGCCATAGTAACGGACAACCTTTGATTGTTTGTTGTCATAGGTGTCCATGACAACCAGGAGGTCACCAGATGAGGTACTACAGACACCAAGAGGTTCCCAGTTCTGTAGTCTGATCACCTCCTCTATCTTCTCATTTTTCACAATGTTCACAGTTCTATCGCTATCATCAATATAAACCAGATCTCCACTTTTTGTCACTGTTAAGCCCTCTGGTTCGTTCCCTGACTTGGTTCTGATTGACTTGAGTAGCGATCGTTGAGTGAAGCTGAAAAGCTTCATGGTTTTATCGTTTCCACTTGCCCAGATTTCTTCATTTCTCAGACAGGCTACATAATAAAGCCTCTCATACCCTGTGACTGCGGAAATGACACATTTTGGTTGATCAAGCAGCTGTTTGACTGGAGGAGAGGGTCCAGCTTCTGTTGTGATCTGTGTAGTCTTCATGCTGTAGCCTTTCTGTGTTGTCTTTATGCTGTCGCCTTGTTTTTCTGAAGTAAAAGGATTTGATGATAAGGTTCCGAACATATTAGCAAATTCTTCTCTTTGCATTTTTCCTGGAGTAAATTTGGATAGTGAAGGCTCTATTTTCTCTGGAATATTTCTGTATTTTTGAATACCACTGGCAGACATAATGCTGAATAGTTTTGAAATGTCATTAGATTCCATAGCAACATCAAATGAATCAATTTCATCCTTTATGTCAGACATTGTCTTGTTTATTTCATCCAGATGTCTCTGTAGAGTTTGTAACTGTGTGTTTTTCATCTCATGAGCTTCAGCTTTAAGTTTCTTGACAAGTTTGTCAATTTCTGTATGCCAGTCTTCTCCATGTTTTGTTATGGCTGTTGAGAGATCTCCATATTCCTTTTCTAACTGACTCATTCTGCTTTGTACATCAGAGGCAATGTTCTGGTAGGTGGGATATATTGTCTCATTTAGCTCAATTTGTTCTTTTTTGATCGTATCCTTTTTTTCATTAAAAACTTGTAAGATTTTTAGTAATTTATGACCTAGATGTTGATCAGAAGCAAGGCAGGTGGCACACACAGGAACGTCGCATAGCTTACAGTACATTTCACATTGTTCATGGACATGAGATGAACAACCCGGATAAAGAATAGTAGATTTTCTTAAGATAAATGGAACAATTTTGTGTTTCTTGGATTCTTCAGAGATCATATGTTCTCCCACACAAGCTTTACACAGGTTGACAAGACATGTATCACAGTGCATCTGTACCACAGCGGTCTCACACAGGTCACATCTCATCACGTCCTGGGCACTGGTACGGGGGTCCATGATTAATTTAGGCCCAAGTATATTAATAAAAGTTTTTTTTTTTGTATGTACTGTAAACGTATTACATTTGGCTGCGTATTCTTTTTAGTGATTTTGGTGGAAAGCAACCTCCGCAAATTTAAGTACAACGCTTTATGTCTTGCACTTAATAAGTTATACCGTACATATAAAAAAGAAAATAAAAATACGCACTAAATTAAATCCACGCTAACTTGTTCAAAATTCAATTTTGGACAAATATTGAAAACGCTAAATATAATACATTTACAGAATTTCTATATCATTTTTTTAAATCATGAAATCAAACAAGGATTTATTTGTAATAGGACGTTGATGGATTAAAAAAAATGCACATGCAAATTTTAGCTTCTTAAAATGAAATTGCAAGTATTAAATAAGGTCTAATAAAAATTAGTTGTTTGATATAAGATATGAAAACACTGAAATCACACTTAATTTTTTCCTTGAATCAGTATTGTGCAGCGAGGTTGTTTCTTAGGATTTTATGCCCCCTGCAATTTTCTACTTTGGTTTAATTCATCATTACTTTATCTAGAAGTTTTCTTCTCATCTTTTCTTTCTTTTTCAACCTCCTTTATGATAATCTTGATATGATTTTTATTTGTAAATGTAGTAGTAGTACGTACAGTTACTGTAGTAATTTTATAAACTGCAGACATACTTTTTTCCATGTGGTCATGATTTTGTGGAATTTCAATTTCTGTTTAATCCATGGGTTGAAAATTACGCAAATTTCTCAGACTGTCACTGTATGCCTTGCATTTACATTATGTATGCTTGCCAAGGATAAATTTCTTTGGAAAATTTGTAACTGCGTACATGGCGTAAATTAATACCACGTGGAAAAAGTACTTCTACAGTATCTCAAGTCAACTTTCTTCTTTTTTAATAGAATTTGCATACAAAGATCATTGCTTGAATCTTGCTATCTCCTCTTTTCCACCAGATTCAATCCTCTTTTCAGGATCTTGATGTATATTTTTAAAATCTGATGTCCTTCCTTTATTTATCTCCCATCTGTTAAAATTACAAGGATGGTCTTCCTTCCTTCATTCATCTCCCATCTATTAAAATCACAAGGATGGGCGATATTTATTGTCTTTATTTCCTTCCGTTCAAATATCTTCTGTATCAGCTATCTTTTATTAGCCATTTTTTCCCTTCCCTATTTCTGAGATTGGATAGAATGCTATTAATTTGAACTTTGGGGGTGGGGGGGGGGCTGCTGTAATTTTCATTTTGTTTCTTTAAAGGTACTTGGACACAGATTTGAAAGTAATTTTTCCTGTATAATATTACAACTTATATATTTTAATAGCTCTTCACACAAAAATTAATAAAAAAATCTAATTTTTTTTTTTAAATTATTAAAACTTCAAATTTTTTGGCGGGTTTGATTGACACATCCTTGCACTTTCACAAATTTTAAGTTAACTCTTAATACTTAAGAAAAGTAGCAATCTTGTTGTGTATAAATGAAAAATATTAAATACTATAATCCAGAAAAATCAGAGTAGACATGTTCGAAAGCAAAACAAACACACAATATATTCTCAGTCCGTGCAGTTGTGGTGAGCAGACTTTGACGATTGAACGCACCCGGTGAAACATAAACATCAAACAATAACAGAGCTCGTACCCTGTTTACAAAAACTGTGTACATAACACGAGTGTGATCGATTTGCACACAAGACTTAGTTCGGAATGACGGTACTTGTGAAGGAATTTTGCTTTGTAACATTTCTACTCTAAATGAAATTGTTTTTCTGGATTAAAGTTTTAATACAGGTAAATTCCAGTATCTTGGACATGGGATATCTCGAATACCCCGCTTATGTCGAAGTCGATCGCCAGTCCCGGCCGTTTTCTCTCTATATATGATTTAAAAAACACCTGATATCTCGAACACAGTAATCTCGAATACCCCGCTTATGTCGAAGTATATTCAAAGTCCTAAGCCCTTTTTTACCTGGCTTATCTCGAATTGCAGTGAATTTTTCGGTCTACTGAACACACCTGGCATCGTGACTTCACACACTCTCGCCAGTGGCTATTAATTAACACCTTCAAACTTGGGGAATCTTAATTAACCCCAAGCTCATGTTGATGTCGGGTATCTGTGACAGGTTAATTGGTTTGACAGCTTGGGTGTTTGGTGTAGTCTGCGACGGATAAAACAAACCACTTCACAGCAACTCAGAAATTAAATTACCGATATTACATTTAATAATATGCTCTGTGTAATTAAATTCCTAAATTCATAAAACAAAAATATATTTCACAATAAACTTAAACAGTTAAGTTGCAGTGCATAATGCACAGTGATTGATTACATTCATGTTTATCTGCGTATAAATAGATAACCTTGACCGCCATTTGCATTGTTAGTTTCGTAAACTATGTGTTCCTTAGTAGTACTACGTAATGTTATACTTGTAAGCTATTAATATCAAGTACACAGTCTCAATACTGATTTCTTTTTTTTATAAACATTTTGCATTAAATTTCATCAAATTATGTTTTTAAAAAATTTGTCTTATTCTTTTCTTACGGAGAAGCTTCTTCAACTATAACACTAATGATATATCCCGTTTGACCACGTAAGCATGGCCTGGAAAATGTAAATTCGCTGAATATGCTATAAGGCATGCATATTAAATTGTTTTACAATTATACACGATAAAGAAAACAACAGCATTGTTTTTCTTAATATTTATTGCGAATATGCCTGAGACTTTACCATAAAGACTGCATGTTTTGTAATACAGGATAGTGTTACGCATGAAGATATACGAAAAAACGGGACATCGTTGATTCGACTTTGGAAGATAACTTCGGATATCTCGAACCCCCGGATATCTCGAAGTCGTGTCCAGGTCCCCTCAACTTCGAGATACTAATATTTCACTGTATTTCTCATTAAAACACAAAAAGATTGCCATTTTTCCGAAGGGTTAAGAATAAAGTTAAAATTTGTGAAAGTGCAAGGATGTGTCAATCAAACCCGCCAAAAACTTTAAAGTTTTAATAACTTTTAAATGAAAAAAGATTTTAAATTAATTTTTGTGTGAAATGCTTTTAGAATATATAATTTGTGATATTATATAGAAAATATCAACTTCAAATCTGTGTCCATGTACCTTTAAGTTTCAAACAGTTGTCCTCAGTTATAATTTCCTTAACATTTTAGGTCACCTGAGTCACTCTTGACCCTTTAGTCAGGGGTTCTGGTAAAAGGGCAGGGCTCTTCGCTGCTCCTGTGTTTTTAGCAAACAAACTAAGTGCTGGTTATGATGAGCAGGAAAACATCATTGAGTTTGGGTCAGAGTTTGAAGCTGGTATCGGGATGGGCACTACTGATCTTGTAATGAAAATGCATAAATTCTTTTGTATCTTCATAACTGCCTCTTATTATTTAGTAGACAGTCTAATTGCATGTTTTCAATGTGGATTTTGCCTCTATAAATTGTGAAATTCTTGGGGTAAGATTTTTTCTGTTAAGGCTCTGTTATACAATGAAAATGAATTAGTATACATGTAATAGAACAGGTATGAACAGGCACGTAAATAAATCGGTTCATTATGACTTGCAGCAAAGTAATAAATCTTCTCATTATGTTTTTGCTACTGAGTAATAGACCTGCTCATTATGACTTGCTACTCTGTAATAGATCTGCTCATAATGACTTGCTAGTGAGTAACAGATCTGCTCAATATGACTTGCTATTGAGTAATAGACTGGTTCATTATGACTTGCTGCCAAGTAATAGATTTGCTCATTATGACTTGCTAGCGAGTAATAGATCAGCTCATGATGACTTGCTATTGAGTAATAGACCGGTTCATTATGACTTGCTGCCAATAAGAGATCTGCTCATTATGACTTACTACTGAGTAATAGACCGATTCATTATGATTTGCTTCCGTTTAAAATGTCTGCTCAATATGACTTACTACTGAGTAATAGATTTGTTCATTATGACTTGCCATGGCGTAATAGATTGTTTCATTATGACTTGCTGCCAAGAAATAGACCTGCTCATTATGTCTTGCTACTTATATAATAGTGTTTTGTTTTGCGTGCACTATGCCTAAATAGTAGTCAGGGTTTTTACACATGGTGCACGAGCCGGAGGCGAGTGCACTATGTGTCAAACCCTGACTACTATTTAGGCATAGTGCACGCAAAACACAACACTATTGTTATTATTATGCTGACTGTTGTTGCTGTAGAAAAACGGCAGTATTTTCTTCTTTCCCAATGTTTCATCACCTGTAACATTCGTCTACTCTATTATGACGTCACCTTATGCAACGTGTACGTCATAATCTGTTTTCTTTAATTTTTTAACGTTCCATGCTTTAGGTATAATCTACAGATAGTTTTAGAGAATATTATTTGAGTGAAGGAAGGGGGGTTGCAAGAAACTATTTTAGAAGAATTATTTTGTTTATTTTTAATCTTAAGTGTAAAATATTTGAAACTAAGTTTATATATATTATAGTACAATACTATAGATAACGGCGTCTGTGGCGTAATCGGTAGCGCGTCGGACTGACAATCTCGGGGTCGTGAGTTCGCTCCCCGGTATGGGCGTTGTCGGATTTTCCTCAAAAATGGAAGCCGTGCACTATTTCGGCATAGTATGCTTACGCTATATAAATCCTTAGAACACTATGCGAGAATAGTAGGGTATGGGTTATATAGAGACAAACTGACAGGAAGCATAATAGTGAGTAATAGACCTGCTCATTATGACTTGCTACCCTGTAATAGATCTGCTCATTATGACTTGCTAGCGAGTAATAGATCTGCTCATAATGACTTGCTATTGAGTAATAGACCGGTTCATTATGACTTGTTGCCAACAAGAGATCTGCTCATTATGACTTATTACTGAGTAATAGACCGATTCATTATGATTTGCTTCCGTTTAAAATATCTGCTCAATATGACTTACTACTGAGTAATAGATCTGCTCATTATGACTTGCCATGGCGTAATAGATCATTTCATTATGACTTGCTGCCAAATAATAGATCTGCTCATTATTCTTTTAAGTATTCCTTTCAGACACTTTGTGGGGTAAACTCCAACAGATACAATGTGCATGTATTACATCATTTAATATCTCTGAAAAATCATTTGACAAGCAGTTGGAAAAATTAGATCATACACACATAAGGTATACATTGCTTTAATGTGGTATAGATTTTATTAAATGATTGGTATTTAATACTTTGCTTTTTAATATGATTATGTTTTCATTTCAGATATTTGATTTTCTTAATTACTTGTCTATTTTCGTATTGAGCAACAAATAAATTGTTTCTATTATTTATACTCAGTCTCCAGGGATATTTCAGTCCACAGTCTATGTAACCAAGGAACTGTCCATCCTGGTCTATGATGTGGACACAGTGATTGTTATAATCAGCCATAAGGATGTGACTCTGACTGTCTGTGGTGATTCCTTGTGGATAGAATGGTTGGTTCTTTGGAGCAGGAGTATGTCCAGTGTATCTGAATCTCAGTTTCCCAGCCTGATTGACCACCACTACTGCTTTAGCTTCACAGTCAGACACACAGATATCCAGGTTCCTGTTCTCAATTATATTTCTGTGAAAAGCTCCAGATGAATAGAGAGGTTTTTCTTTATCATCAAACTGAATGGTTTGTTTCTCTGTAGAGCCAGAGTAATGGACAACTTTTGTTTGAATGTTATCATTGCTGTACATGATAACCAGGAGGTCACCAGAGGAGGTACTACAGACACCTTGAGGTATCCAGTTCTGCAGTCTGATCACCTCCTCTATTTCTTCATTCCTTGCAATGTTTACAGTTGTGGCATCACTATAAACCAGATCTCCACTTTTTGTCACTGCTATGTCACATGGCTCATACCCTGACTTGGTTCTGATTGACTTGAGCAGTGATCCCTGATTAATGCTGTATAGTTTCATTGTGTTGTTTTTATGGCCACTTGTCCAGATTTCTTCATCACTCAGACAGGCCACATTGCAAATGTTACTGTTATACCCAGTGCTTATGGTGGTGACAGTCTCTGGTTCATCAAGCAGCTGTTTGACTGGAGGAGAGGATCCAGCTTCTGGTAATTTCTGTGTTGTCTTCATGCTGTAGCCATGTTTGTCAGAAGTCAAAGAACTTGATGATAAGGTGCCAAAGAATTTAACAAGTTTTTCTCTTTGCATTCTTGCTAGAGTAAATTTTGGTAAGGAGGGCTCTATTTTCTCCGGAAGATTTCTGTGTTTATCTATATCAGTTGTTATGCTGAATAGTTTTGAAATTTCATTGGATTCCATAGCAGTATTAATTAACTCCAACATATTCTTGATTTCAGAAATGTTCTTTTTTATTTTACCCAGATGTTTCTGTAGAGTTTGTAACTGTGTGTTTTTCATCTCATCAACTTCAGCTTTAAGTTTCTTGACAAGTTTGTCAATTTCTCTGTGCCAGTCCTCTCCATGTTTCGTTATGGCTGTTGAGAGATCTCCATATTCCTTTTCTAACTGACTCATTCTGTTTTGTACATCAGAGGCAATGTCCTGGTAGGTTGGGTATATTGTCTCATTTAGCTCAATTTGTTCTTTTTTGATCGTAACCTTCTTTTCATTAAGAACTTGTAAGATTTTTAATAATTTATGACCTAGATGTTGATCGGAAGCAAGGCAGGTGACACACATAGGAATGTCGCAATACTTACAGTACATTTCACATCGTTCTTTGACATGAGTTTTGCAAACAGGGTAAATGGGTGTAGTTTTTCTAAGAATAAATCGTACAATTTCATGATTTTTTGATTCATCAGATATCATGTGTTCTCCTACACAGGCCTTACACAGGTTGACAAGACAAGTATCACAGTGCATTTCTACCACAGCGGTTTTACAAAGGTCACATCGCATCACGTCCTGGGCACTGGTACGGGGGTCCATGATCAGACTTGACCTAGTAGAATAAATTTTACATCTGTTAAAATATTCTTTTGGCACCTTTGGGATTTTTTTTTTGGTGAGGGGGTTTGAGAGGGGGGTGATAATGAGAATCTAAAGGCTGGTATACATTTTAAAACTTGCATTATATTAAGTCATGGAACTTAAGACTTGCGAATAGAGCACTGCTCTGTTTCTCAATACAAGACTTAGCTTTCATAGCTGACCTTTATTCTCAACTGATAAATACCATTCCCCCACATGCCAATCTTTTTTTTTTTTTTTTTTTTTTTTTTGTCAAATCATACTGGTGGGTAGATTGAAGTGAACACAAAGTATTTTTGAATGAGATGATGAGTTCACAATTTTTTTTTTTTCAACCTCCCCCTTAACATTTTTCTCTCTCTCTTCATTCAGCTATAACCTTGATCATCTTGATAAAATGACGTAGAATAATGACACATTACTGTTAAAGATCAAGATGTTGAAAAGATGGAAAATTTATGGAACTTGAATAAAATTATAATACTGACTTTAAAAAAATCTTGTTAATAGTTTGGTCTTGCAAAAATTTTCACAAATTGCAAAAAATTATCCACAAATTTTATCAAAAATAAATTCAGTCTTTAACTTACTCACTAAATTAATGGTGCCTGTGTTGTCCATCAAATGCAGCCTGCCGCTATATGTACAGAGTTGACATGACCAGCTGACTGTCAAGTATTCAACTGGCAAATATATAATCACATCCCAATTTAAAAAAACAAATTATTTTAAAACTTCCTGGTGAACTGAGTTGATGACTGGCTTGATCTTCATCCTTTAATTTTAGACTATTGATGATGTGTTATCTGATAAACTGTAGTCATGAGACTTGTTCAGATGTAAATAAGGACAACTACTGGTCCATCTCTAGCAAGTTATGAAAAAAAAAGTCATGAAAAACAAGAGTTGCATTTGCATTGATGATACGCTTTAATTTATATTTTTCTTTGAATGATTTTTCAGCTGCATACCAAGTTTAGACAAGTTTGTATTATCTGATTTTATTTATCAACTTGTTTCCTTCCTCCTTTTATTTTCCTTCATTCTGATTTTCTTCATTCTTCATTTCGATTCATTTTAAAGATAATTTACAGAATTCTACTTATTCGAAATTTGTTTTTCTTCCGTACAATATCTTTTCCTCAACTGTACAATATCTTTTCCTCATCTGTAACATACATAACCATATTAACAACAAGTAAAAATAAACAAGGCTGTTCTGGGTCTCTCTAAATGTTATGGAGAACAGATAGTTATAATAAATCACTTTTTATTCATAAAAACAATATTTAAATGGATACTTGAACAATCTGATGGTGGATCATAGGCGGGCGCGTTTGCGGAATGATATTTCTTGCGCCAAACCTGTTTTTAAAAATATGGAATGAAGTTGTGTAGCTCCCCGTATCTAAATTGATTAAACTAATTGCATTTGAAAAATTACAATAATAGTTTTATTGAATTTGAAATTAAAAAGGAGTGTTATAGGTGGCTTTCAATACCTGTTTCATTGTCTTGCATGAAGGTTAAAAATGTTTGACACTTTATGAACGACACTTAGATCTCATTACCCTCCCGTGTTCTTAAAAAGAAATACATACAAACATCTCTAAGCGGCACGACTTTCACTTACTGAAACAAAACCTGCCTATGTTTTACAGTGAGCACTTCTGAGGAATGTTTACCTGGATAGAGCTCACGTGACTATCAGTATTTTAAATAATTTATTCCACACGTGGGTTCAACATGGGTCATACAGGTAAATAGCTCTCACTTGCTATAGGAAAAACAGTGTACTTTTTATACATTTTTAATATTTTAAGTACGAGCCTAATCGTGTGCAAATTTCATACTTTCACACAAGTTTTATATATGTAATATGCGTCTTTTGTCAATCGCACAAGGTTGCACAACGTTAGGCTCATAGTTAACAAAGGCTTTGAAATGAATGACCGTTCTCGATTTACTATAGAAAATCGCAAATGTCGGCTGACCCCTACCACATTGTATAGTTTTGTTCTTTGTATATTCGTGGATTTCAGCGGTAAAATTTGTTGAATCGTATGGTTTAGATGTCAATTAATGATTTGAGATGAAAATTTTTGCTTAATTTGATTGTTTATTTTTTCACATTTTACCGGGGCCCATAAGTGCACTCGTTCTTTAGTGATCTGCAGTACTATTTGATTTGTTAACTTTATCTCAAACATGTACAATGGGCATTTTTATGCACGCTGATCGATAGATCGGGGCAAATATTGTTTTTATCCTGTTTGTCTGCTTGTCTCTCTGTCTGTCTGTTGTCAACTTTAACCTTTGCCATAACTTTTGAACCATGAGAGATAGACACTTCATATTTTATATGCATACACCACTAATTAATTAAGGTCTTTTTTGATGGTGACCCATATGCTAAAAATAGCTTTTTCTAACTTTCACCATAAGTTTTGAACCATAGAAGATACAGACTTCATATGTGGTATGAATAATGTATAAAGGGAAATGTTTGCCTCGTTTAATTTTTACCCCTTTACCCTCTTCGGAAGTGGGCGAATTTAAAACAGTATGAATTTAAAACAGTACGAATTAAAAGTAAATAAGATCTTAAACCAAAAATCTTGTTTGGGGAATTTTAAACAGTGCAAACTTGTTTCCAAATGTGCAAGGGCAAAAATAACAAGGGGGGAAAATAACCCTGTACACAGTACTCCACTAATTATACCCCCCGCAAACGAAGTTTGGGGGGGTATATAGGAATCACCTTGTCCGTCTGTCTGTCTGTCCGTCTGTCCGTCTGTCTGTGCAATCGTGTCCGGTCCATATCTTTCTTACAGAGGGACATTAGAATCTACTACTCCACATTAAGATTGCTCATAACCTAAGGGTGTGTCATGACCTTGACCCAAGGTCATTTGGGGAAGTTCAAGGTCACTGGAAGAAAAATTTAATAATTCGTGTCCGGTCCATATCTTTCTTATGGATAAACTTGGTAGGTTCTCATTTCACACAAAGATTGCCCATGACCCAAGGGTGTGTTGACCTTGACCCAAGGTCATTTGGGGAAGTTCAAGGTCACTGGGAGAAAAATTTCAAAATTCATGTTTGACACATATCTTTTATGGATAAGCTTGGTATGTTCTCATTTCACACAAAGATTGCCCATGACCCAAGGGTGTGTCATGACCTTGACCCAAGGTCATTTGTGGAAGTTCAAGGTTACTGGGAGAAAAATTTCATAATTCGTGTCCGGTGTATATCTTTCTTATGGATAAACTTGGTAGGTTTTCATTTCATATAAAGATTGCCCATGACCCAAGGGTGTGTCATGACCTTGACCCAAGGTCATTTGGGGAAGTTCAAGGTCACTGGTAGAAAAATTTAATAATTCGTGTCCGGTCCATATCTTTCTTAAGGATAAACTTGGTAGGTTTTCATTTCATACAAAGATTGCCCATGACCCAAGGGTGTGTCATGACCTTGACCCAAGGTCATGTGGGGAAGTTCAAGGTCACTGGAAGAAAAATTTAATAATTCGTGTCCGGTCCATATCTTTCTTATTGATAAACTTGGTAGGTTCTTATTTCACTCAAAGATTGCCCATGACCCAAGGGTGTGTCATGACCTTGTCCCAAGGTCATTTGGGGAAGTTCAAGGTCACTGGAAGAAAAATTTTATAATTCGTGTTTGATACATATCTTTATTATACAAAAACTTACTTCTGAAAAACCCAGCGGGGGGTATTTTGTCCCGATTGGACAGTTCTAGTTCTTTCAAATGACACCAAGGTCAGTGAACCAAGGTCAGTGACCTTTTAACAATGACCTTTTAACATTGAATGCGATCTGTATGCTAGAAATTGCTTTGAACTTTGTTGCTGCTGGGCACATAGTGTTTTACAAACACATCTTGTTTAAGTATTGAACTTGTCTAGGTTAATGACAGAAGTACTCTCTTTTTCTCTTCCAGTAACCAGACCAAGACGGTGTTTGAGGGTCGAGTTCTCATCCTGAAGATATTGGAGGGATGTTTATCAGACACCAAGAGAAGTAAGAATTTCAGTTCTCCTAACAATTGATATCACAATTCATAGAATCAGGGTCTTTGTCTAACATTTTTTTTCAAGAAAAAAAGGCTTAGAGGAACGTGTTAACTAGCAGTAAATCTTGGATAAAAAGAACTTCCTTATATCTCATATAAAAAAAATTCTGAACAAATATTTACAATCCTGTAATTGTTTTAAAAAAAACATTTCACTACATGAGAAACTCAGTTATATGGAAGCAAGCTTCAAGGTCCTAGTTTCCTAAACACCAAGTTTTACTGTACAATAAATTTTCATTACAGTTGCAGAGTCACTGACCAGTAGCGGTGAGAACAGCGAATGTCACACGGTGCTACAGTGGTGCCACCACCATGTGGTCAGTAACAGAGAGTACTTTATCCCCTCCACCCACACGTCAGGGGACGAAACCCCCACCCTGGGCAACACCCGCAACACTAGGTCACCGCAGGAGGAGTTACTGTCCTTTGGTAAATAGAAACAAGCTTTCTTGAACACTAAGAAGGATACATGGAAATTTGTTGAATAGATGCAAGATCCCAAGAACTAAATATTCGTAGTTTTTCATTATTTTGTGTAACATATATTGAAGAATAATCTGTTTGCAATTTTCACAAAATGGCTTTGCCCCTCTGGTCATATTGAATTAATTGAGGAATGGTCTATATGTAGCCTTCACTTGATGGTTTTTGTGCTTCTGATTATTTTGAATTAATTGAGGAATGGTCTATTTGTAGCCTTCACTCGATGGTTTTTGCTGAAGATGATATGGCTGCAGAGTAAGCCAGAGTGTGCAGGGTTACATGACAAGTGTCAGAAGATTTCTGTGGAGCTTCTGCAGGTCATCAAATGGGGCGACCTCTTCTCCTTTTCCCAACTCCTGACTGAACTTATTTATACCATCGCAGGTACGTGGACATTTACATTTTACATGGTTCACCCATCACTCATAATAAGAAAACTTGATTATTTTTTGTTGTTCTTTGTTTGAATTAGCTCTAATTTCTAAGCTTGACTCGTCAGACTAGTTCCCAGGAATTAATAATTAGTTTTAGTTTGTTAGCTTGAAGTGAAAATTAGCTAAGTTAAAAATAATAATCAATTTAGCAGCTTTCAGTCTAATATGATGGTTCCTTAGAAACTACAGCCTACTCCGGATATATTGAAATTCAGGGGACCATGCAAATCATTTCAATATATCCGTAATTCAATGTAAGCGAAATCGTGAAGCCGCCATTTTTACAAGTTCAATCCCGATCTAAATTAAAGAGGAACAAACCCGAACAAATTGATTTGTCATCGTTTGTCCACAACAGTGAGCAGATTACCTAGAATATGAGTCCTTGAAAGTTTATTTTTTTTAAATTTCTGTTTTATTGAAAAGACAAACTTCAACCCCGTTATTATTCCCCGATCGCATTTATCATGTTTAGTTACGTTTTGGAAAAAATCACCGGCCTTAAACGGTTGAGTACTGCTGAACGCTGTTTGTATCTCATCGTAAGTGTACTCGGTCTAATCAATCCCTTAGTTATTTCGAATTTAGGCATAGCAATAGCCATTAACAGTACGTATTTAATTTCAAAGTTATGTTTTTTCCCTAGATCTGTGGGGGCTACTATGTTACGTTTAGATGTTTAGTCTCGACATGTTATATACGTGGATGCAAAGAATTTAACAGAGAATAATTTTATTTCGTAAGAGCATGCAGTATAAAAACACATAAGGTGAAAACTTAATTATTCACACCTTTGTATATCAACTGGTCAATCAGGCATAATTACTGTCACCAACCGTAACGACAGCCGCTAGGGAGTACTTCAATATAACCGTTATGAAAACAACTCATTATCACCTTGTTAGTGGCTTCAATATAAGCGAAATTTCAATATATCCGATTTCAATATAACCGTTATTTTAATGAAAAAGAATATTAGAGGCAAAAACTGGGGATTTATTTCTATTTCAAAATAAGCGGAATTTCAAAATAAGCGAGTTCAATATAAGTGGAGTAAGCTGTAAATACATAATTTTTTGCCTTTTGTATGTCTGATTTATTTAACATTATTTTGAATTGTTAAATAGAACTGGTCAAGATCAATGAAAACCTCTACAATGGAGATGTGGGGAGCACACTGCAGAGATTTTCTGTAGACGAGGAGACGGTGAAGAGGAGCTTAAAGGACCCAGTGAAGGTAAGAGTAAATACACAGTACACAAACTAAAAAAGCCTAATGTTAATATCCCATTGAAAGATAGACATTCATGATCATAATAAATTCCAATCAATTTTAACACAACATTTGAATTGCGATGCTTATGATGCTGTATTTTAATTGGTCTGTTTACCATGATTCTTAAAGTTTCAGATATGCTGGAAAAATTTAGATTGTTATTTATGATAAATTCACTAAATAGTGATTTTATGTTAATTATTTATGTTTAATTCCAGGATGAAGGTGAAACTGAAACAGACATCATCACTATACCAAGTTTGGACATATTTACTGTAGAGGAGTGTGAAAGTTTACAGATGAACTTAACGTAAGTATATTGAAGGGGGGGGGGGACAATTTACATGGATTGCTGAAATTTAACAGGTTTATTATTGTCAAAGTACACCTGCATGATGCATAACTGTAAACTTTCAGCATTGAATTCTACTAAGAAAATTTAGTCAGTTTAAAAGTTTTTTTTTTTGAATTGTTGAAATAATCTTAGGTTTCTATTTTTAGGAAGGTATTGCTGTCCTTGTGTGATGACCTTGATTTAGTGGGGAATCCCCTGTGTGACGTTGTTTGGGGAGCCATGTGCTGCCATCTGGAATTTTATGATATTGAGATGAAAATTGTGAGTAGATTTCTAATTCCACTAAAAATTCTTTGAAAGTTAGCATTCAAACTGCATTTAGAATTATTGCCATTTTTTTTCTTTTCAAAATCCCATTCCTGCAATGGCAAAGAAATGGGATTTTTAAAAAAAAAAATTTTTTCTGTCTTTAATATTTTGTCCGAACTCTACATTCCCAGTATTGCTGAGTTAACTTATTACATACTATAGCTTAATAGTTATATATGACTGTGTTTGATGACCTGTATTCCTGTAGGAGTCACTGAGGGTAATAGAGAAGCTGTTGTTAGCTGGACTTCCACAGATTCACATACACGACTACTTCATAGCCTGTCTGAGTGCTCTAGTAGAACTGCTCTGTGAGGGCTGTAAGGAGGCAGAAAGCAGGTAATACTGTATACAGGTTTTTTTTTGCCCCTTGTTATTTTCGCCCTTGTTATTTTTACCTTTCACTCTTGTGAACAATTTGCACCATTTTTTAAATTCACCCATTTATAGTTTGTTAAAGAAATACCGTATATACTCGCCTATAAGTCGGTTGTATTTTTGAAGCTCATGTTAGAAAGACTGACCTTCTAAAATACCTATCTTTTTATATCTCACCTATCGGACATATCAAAAATATACAGTAATAATTTAATTTCACTTGTATCAAGCAATTTCATTGGCTGAATCATTCAGAGGAACATATAATATTTTGGATAACATAACTTGCCTACGTCACAATGAGTTCAAAAACGTATTACTCCGCTTGACGTTACTTTTGAAAAATGCTCAATTTGAAGTCTTTTTGTAGTCTCATTGTCTACACAAAAATATATTTCAACTTATGTTAGATATACTCTTTTTTATAAACCGCTTCGCGGTTTATAAAAAAGTGTAAACTGCCCCAAGTTATGTTATATCGGATAACATAAGTTGAAATAAGCTTCATTCCTTAAATACTGTACTCTTTGAATTTGCCCTGTTTAAATTCATCCAAATAATGGTAGGATGAAAGGGGCGAAAATAAAACAGGGGCAAAATTTTCCTTGTATACAGTAGCTGAAAAATTGTGACTGAGATTCATGTTAAAATGACAGAATGTACAGTGAAAACTGTCTTCTCCGACACCTGTTCAATAGATTTACATGTATATGACTGTGTTCCTTAAAATTACATGTAATTTGTATAGGATTCCCTGAGAGCTGAATAATTGAGACTGAGTTTCATATTTAAAATAACAAATTCAGTACATGTGGTCTTATGCAGGAAAATCATTGTATATATATCTACTTGTTTTATAAGCTCAGTATGTCTTACTTCAATCCTGTGTGAAGAAAATAAAACAAGGACGATACAATTCCCATGTAAACAATGTGCTTTCTGATTCTACAGAGAAAGACAGGAACTAGAGGAGAGAACAGCCCAGGTTCTGTTAAGTGTGTGTCTGGCCGACAAGAAGCCCCTGGCCCCCAGTCACCTATCAGACTTCCAGCATCAGAACATCCTACAGAAAATGTGTCGCCACATCCAGCAACATGGCTTCCACAACCTGGTTACTGTTGCCATGGCAATGTCCTTGTCTGACCTCCTGAGTCACTGCTTAGAGGCTCTTACTGTAGCTGGTCCCTCAGAAGGGGAAACCAAACACATCAAAGACCAAGTCTTCTCTGTACTGTTACAGGAAGTTGGAAAGAATACTAGGTCACAGGTAAGTAGAATTATGAAAGGTCAAGGTTGGTCAGGTGACATTAAAAGAAATTTAAAAATTTATTTTTGAATATAACTTGAAAAAAAGAAACAGTTCTCTGATTGTTATTTTCCTGTCGACGTTTTTTACTTCTCTGTGCAGTACCTGGTCAGGCCTCTGGTGATTTTGTTAATGTCTGACATCAAACAGGCATATAGTGGACTAACAGATACATCAGTTACCATGGCAGTGGACAAGACAGATACAGCTCCATCACAGTTCAAACGCAAAAGGTATTTTATATATGTTACAGTTACATGTACATGTAAAATTCATCACCGCATCTTATTGAATAATGTAAGAATTTATAATATAGACTTGCTTCAATCTTTTTTTTAACAGAAAGGCAGATGAACAGCCTACTCAGCAGAAGGCAAAGCCACCACACAGATACCTGAGGCTGAAATCAAAGATTAAAAAACTGATCAGCAGCCTAAAGGACCCGAATCAGGTAAAGGATGGGGTTAATTTACCACACCACACTGGAATATCGTTGGAGGATCTACATGTATTTGACACTCTGGAATATCATTGGTGGTTATGTTTGACCTTTTAACCTTTTATTTACTATATTTAGGACAAGCATGCTGAGATTTTGGAGGGGATTCACACAGCTCTCAAGGTGATCAGTGTGGGCGTCATGACAAGTTTTGAGGCTTCATATAACCACAAAAAAATGTATGTTCTTCTCTGGAAAAAAATATGGTTTTGTGTGATTTACAGTGTCTGAAAATTAATCCAATAAATGTGACCATTCAATTATTAGTAATCATAAAAAAAGTATCTAATTCTCTTATTTAAATTACTTACCTGGATTATTTAAAATGAACGTTTCTCTTTAATAATAATTTTTATGATGGAAAGGTTTCTATCTGCATTAAAATTTTGTTTGTATTATCAGTCTTCCAGAAGATGCAAGCTCTGTGTTGCTATGGTTACAACATGACCTTGTGGAGAGTGTCCTTGACACCTGGAAGTTGACCCTGCAGTACAGTCACCACTGGAACCCTGATGAACTGAATGTAAACACCCTGTCTATTGTTAGATCTATAGTGGCTGTGCTGGACACACAAGGTACTACTGTAAACCAACTTTTATTCGCGACGACTTTATTTCACGATTTACCGGGGATAAACTAGTTTGTGACGATTTATTTTCGCAATCAAGCCTATTTTAGCTCTGTTGTTAATAGGCACATAAACCTTAAGGACCAGTTCGCGGCGTGAAATATTCGCAATGACGAAGCTCTCGCGAACATTGCGAAAATTTCTCGCACACGGAAGATTAAAAATCCAATACATTGATCTATAAACTTCATTTTTTGTTGACCAATCTATGTTGTGTACATTTTATTGCTAAATTATGTTTATATGTAAATACATGTATTAAAGCATGTTTATATTAAATGCATGGGTGTTAAGTCCTCTGTCTGTAGAATAAGACACAATCAGTTATAGGATGTTGTGAAACTGAACATATCAGATGATTTAATCAGTTTATATTTCAAAGATAAACAATTCATCTCTCTCTTTTAAAACCATTTTTATTCAGTGAGTTACATGTTTTATGTGTGCTTTTTGTTTTAAGAGAAACACTATAGTTTTAAATATTGTTTTGTGTAGAGTGGACCGATCATGAGGATACAATGTGTTGGATGTTGTCATTACCATGGTTACTAGTAAGTACACATACATGTAGATATAAAGATCATGAACTATTTGATGTCTTGTTTTGAGTTATATTTAAAACCTTAGTATCTTGAGCATTACATCATGTTGTTAAAACTTTGAGATAAAGAAGATGAAGTTGAAACTCAAATCCATTCCAAGGATGCAACTGCCAATTGAATTTGACTTGAACTTGGTAAAATTTGACTTATCCATGTCACAGAAACCTTGTTCTTCCTTTGAAAATTGCATATGAAATCCATTATATTCCCCACAGAATGATCCCTCCTGGATGGACCTGAAACCCGTCGAGTCTAAGACAGTCAGCAAGATCAGTCAGGAAATCTCCGATAAATTGGGTGAAAATTATTTTGAAAATTTAAAGTATTTCAAAAATAGCTTGCAATTTAAAGCATGCTTATATTAGATATGTTTGCCTGGAGAGAAATTTATCATTGTGTTGATTACAGATAATGAAGTCAGATGTGAGTGTCTCAGGGGGCTGTCTTTGTTGCCTAAAGAGGTTTCTCCTCAGTGGAGGGTACATGTGTACCGACAGGCATGTGTAAGTAAAGCAACCCCTACAGTAAGTTACCCAACCCTGCATGTAGATATGTAATAAATGTGAATTTAGTATATTAGTTAAACAAATGTGACTTCTGTGTTTACAGACAGACTCAGATACTGAAGTCAAAATAGCAGCTGTACAGTGTCTGCCCATGTTACTCGTTCATCTGGGACCAAATGCAAATCACCTGGTTCATGACCTTTTGCTGTATGTTTTTTGTTTGCCTTTAACCCTTGAGTGAATGATAATTATGTGAAGATTTTCAATTATATGTTGGTTCATGGAGAAATTCTTCTTTATGTATTTTTTACTTTTTTTTGTAATGACAGACCAATGGTCAATACAACTGATTCTGTAACCCAGGAAGCCCTAGTCTCCATAGCAGGGATACTGGCCTGTGTCATCTGTAGAAAGGCTGTACTCAGGTGAGTCATGCAGGCCTATTGTTCACAGACCAAAAAAAACACAATTATTATTACATGTCTTTTAATATACATGAACAGTGGAGCTTTGTTAATTGGGATGCCAGTAATTCAGACAAAATCTTTGCTTGGGAACACAAGCATCCAGACTAAAGAAGCATGACGGAATAGTCTATGAAATGTTCATATAGGCAGTTTGTAGAAACAAATATTTTAACTTCAATTTAAATTTTTTTCAGGAAAGAGAGAAATAAGTTTGGTTTGGTGGAACACAGTCGTAAAATCCAGTGTTTATCCTGTGACAATCTCCTGGGTGGGTATTTGACAAGGTCACGAAAGTCACTTGACCAATTGCTCTGACTTCTCTCCCCAAATTTAGTTCTTATTCTCATCAACAAAAGTGAAAGTAATAAAGATTTGATACTTAGTGTACATATATATATACTCTTCAAAAAAAGAAACGCATAATACGAACAATGCCCTGAAAAACGTATGATAGCTTTGTCATACCTTTTATTTTTGTATGGATACGATGTATTCGAGTGAAATGTATGATTTTTTAATACAATTGTTAATTTTACAGCTATTGTACAAGTCTCACAGACAAAAAGACCTGATTTTGCAAAATTTCCCCCAAAATTTTGATCTCGATTTTCATTTGTTGAATTCCGATGCAATTCCTCCAGGTACAAAGGGGCTATCAAAAGCAGGGGTTCTCGATATTTTGAACCTGGTTTTATCTGAAAAATGATGCTTCCTAAAAATGCTGCATCTGAATGTTGCGTAGCACAAAAAGGAAAAATGGGTGACTGGAAGTAGGGGTACCGCAATCTACAATTGCAAGAGGTTTTAATGATACACACAGAACATATCTAACCTATAAAACATAAACCATTAACATTGAACACCCAATGCTCGCAAAAAATATGGTGGACTACGTGTGACATCAGCAGCACAGCATCACTTCCGAGGATTACGTAAATTGCATGAATGTAATGCAAGGACGTCATCTAAAGCATTAGCTATCCATGAACTGAACAGATCATCTAACAAGACCGTTTTCAGTTGACTACGAATTATTGCAAGAGGATTATTCATGCCATTGTTCCGACCCCACAACACTCCAAATATCGACTTCAAAGATCTCAGATCAATAGAATATGACCACAGCATCACTGCCAAACAGTTTGGTTAACCTACTAGTCCAGAATGTTTACCTGAAAGCCTCTTATAAGTTTAAGAGTGCTAATGCTTTGTAATGAATGTTAGACAGATAACTTCCTCCAGGACGTAAAAAAAGTTGGTGGTGGTAGTGTAATGATATGGAAAACGGTATTATAAGAAAGTAAGATTGATTTTGTTCGAATTCAATGGACTTTGATGGAAAAAGGTACTCTAACCATGTTCTACCTACACATACCCATTCAATTTTGCAGCATCCTAGAGCCGTATTGCATTCTCACAATACACAGCCACATATGGCTCGTTTGACACACCTATTCTTGCAAAGAAACAGCAACCTGTTTTAGCCACAGTCATCTAAATCGCTAGATTTAATCCAAATTAAGCAGCATAGGAAAAAATGGATTGACATGATTTGCCAAAGACAATCGCATCCCCAGACTCTGCAACAGCTGACCAAAGTTTTTCATTTGGAGTGGGAGAGTATTCCTATACAGTTTTTATTACACACATTTGCTTCCATTTGATGCTGTTTGTAGCTGTCATTTGTGTCTGCGGGGGGCATACCAGATATTGATCTTTAATGGTCTTAAACTGACTATAATTTTAAAATTGTTGAATAATTATGACATTTAGATAGTATTCCTGTTGCTTACCACATTTCTGTTTTATCAATGCGTCATTTTACTAAATAATCTTTATGTTCAATGTGTCACTAAAATTCTACTATGGGTTTCTTTTTTTGAAGAGTATATGAGAATATATGTCCAGTATGTTTTAGGGGGTAAATACATGGTAAGTAACAGCTTGAATTTGCCTTATTTTATTTGTGAGGTTGATTTCTGTTTTCAGATAAACATGAGAATGCTTCATCAAAAGAGAGACCTAAACTTGTAGATCCAAACATGTTCTCACCATTCCTGAATCTGATTGGTCGACACAACACCCAAGTGAAACTTAGTCAGTATTCAAGTTTTTTTTTACAAATAAAGATTATGACAATTGAAATTTGGTGCTTTTTAGCTCACTCAACAAAGTTAGGGGAGCTTATGTGATACCCTCGGCGTCGGCGTCCCAGGTTAAGGTTAAGTTTTTTGGAACAGTTTTCTTTTTAAGTACTTCTATGCCCTATATTGATTAGACATGCATGGAAGATGGTTCTAGTGTGTTTCATTGTACCAGTCAAAGTTTCAGATGCTGCAATTTCAGCAAAGGACTGACCAGGTTAATGTTTTTGGAGCAGGTTAACATTTTTGGTGCAGTTTTTGGTGCAGGTTTCATTTCCAAGTAACTATAAGTCCTATGTTGACCAAACTTGCATGGATGATACATATAAGGATGGATACTATCAGGCTTGCTTCGGATGCTGAATCTGACCTACATTTTCCGGTTGAGTGAACAGGTTAAAGTTTTTGGTGCAGGTTACATTTCCAAGTAACTATAAGCCCTATGTTGACCAAATTTGCATGGATGATACATCTAAGGATGCACACTACCGGGCTTGCTTCGGATGCTGAATCTGACCTATATTTTCCGGTTGAGTGAACAGGTTAAAGTTTTTGGTGCAGGTTTCATTTCCAAGTAAGTATAAGCCCTATTTTGACCAAACTTGCACGGATGATACATCTAAGGATGAATACTACTGGGCTTGCTTCGGATGCTGAATCTGACCTACATTTTCCGGTTGAGGGAACAGGTTAAAGTTTTTGGTGCAGGTTTCATTTCCAAGTAACTATAAGCCCTATGTTGACCAAACTTGCATGGATAATACATCTAAGAATGCATAATATCTGGCTTTTTTGTGATGCTGAATCTGACCTACATTTTTCGGTTGAGTGAACAGGTAAAAGTTTTTGGTGCAGGTTTCATTTCCAAGTAACTTTAAGCCCTATGTTGACCATACTTGCATGGATGATACATCTAAGGATGCATACTACCGGGCTTGCTTCGGATGTTGAATCTGACCTACATTTTCTGGTTGAGTGAACAGGTAAAAGTTTTTGGTGCAGGTTTCATTTCCAAGTAACTATGAGTTCTTTAATGACCAATCTTGCATGGATGATACATCTAAGGATGCACAATACCAGGCTTGCTTCGGATGCTGAATCTGACCTACTTTTTGTGGATGAGTGAAAATGTTAGTTTTTGATGCATGTTTCATTTCCAATTAACTATGAGCCCTATAATGAGCAAACTTGCTTGGATGATACATCTTAGGATGCACACTAATGGACTTGCTTCGGATGCTGAATTCGACATACGTTTTTCAGATAATAGACCAGGTAAAAGTTATGGTTGCAGGTCTATTACCAAAAAACTATAAGGCTTAATATATAACATTGTATAAACCAAACTTGCACAAATGTTGCATCAAGAGATGAAAACTCTCAAATTTGCTTCAGATGCTGGATTTTGATTACATTTTCATGAAGAAGAACTTGTTTAAATTTTTTATGTAGGTCTATTTCAAAGTATCAGATCAAAATTGCTTAAATATTTTCATTTTTGGAATGTACAACTTTTGTTGGTTAATTGTGTGACTTTGCCTTACTTAAAGACAACATTCGTTGAGGTGAGCTCTGTAATCTCTGATTACCTATGTTTACTTGTATGAAATAAATATATGTATAACTTTTATTATGGAGTCGGGCTTGCCCGATCGTCATCTAGCGATCAGTCAGGTTTACGCGACCGCACATGTCAGTGGATGCATCCGCAATAGAAAATAGCAACAGCTGTAAACCAATTTCTTTTAAAACGTTCACAATGAATAATAGCTTGAATATAAAATTAAATCAATTGTATCTTCAATTAATACTACTACAAAACAACGATATTATGTTTAATTTTTACGCAAGAAAAACGTTATGGTTGTTGCGGATAAATTTCTACTGAGAGGGTGCGTCGAATGACATGAATCACATTTTGGGACCGATTACTGTAATACAAACAATCTTAAATACGGTAAAGTAATTACAAAATAAACACGAATACAACAAGACTATAAAGATTGAATTTCTTAATCTTAGCTTTACTTTTACGATCTTCAATCCAATTTTAGCCGAACAACCTACGATATTGACCAGTAATGCCAGTATTACTGTATTTATCCATTTCCTCCATTTGTTTACCGCGCCTTATCATAAGTCGATCGTACTTGTAACAGTAGAGTCATAGTTGTAGTTAAGATGCAATCACTATACAACAGAACAACACTCTGACAATGGCAATTAATTAAAATAATTTATGAAACCCTTCATATGTCTTCGATTGACTGAAAAGAAATTAGATTGATATAGAGGATGGACATTTCTGACGATGTCTGGTCAATTCGAACCCTGACTCATTCGGACCAGGACATAAGGCTATCAGGCCCTATTCTGTATTTGTGTTAAGACTATTTTTTAAAATTTTATTATTATGTTACTGGAGTCACTCACTTGACCTATTTGCAGATCTTTTGAAATTGTTTTTCTTGTTCGACGCCATTGAAGCCTTTCAGGCTTTTGATTTAAATAAATGTTTAGATTTATTAAGAGAATTTTCAATGATAAATTGTAAATACATTGTCAACAAATAAATTGGTCATTATATAATCTAGGTATAAATTGTGGTTTTCAGTATCATAAAAACAGACTGTAGAACTATGATAGAGTGGTTTACTCTAAATCAAAAAGAATTATTTAAGAACACTTGCTTCCCTGATCTGTTTTAATTAAATATGCTGAAGTATTTAGTACCATAAGAAGGAAAAACTCTATTCAAATGTTCTGAAATTAAACATATTGTACAGAGAAGTGAAACAGGTATGTAATATCAGATTCCTTTTCTGTCTGTAGAACTGATTAACTGTAGTCTAGAGAGGATCTTTGGACACATTGGAGTCCGTTCTAATAATAGTTCTACCATACAGATGTTAAAGACGTGCATGTCCCTCATCCAGGACCCTGACTTCGGGGTCAGAGAACAGTTCAGGTATCAAATAGTCTTCTAAACCATCATTTTATTTCATTTAAATGAAAAATGGACATTGAAAAGAGACTTATAACCTTTGAAAAGGATTATAATTTTTCTTTGCTTAAAAATAATGTAAAGCCATGTTAAGTAATTTTGGATCTGCAGTCTTGTACACAAGCACATGCTTATAGTTACAATGATTTTTGTTCTCTCTCTCTCTCAGTAAGATTATTGGTTCCATGGTCGGGGAGGGAAACAGTGACTCCAATCAGCTGATTGTTCGAACGCTGAAAGAGACGCTGGAGTCAGCAAGGGTCCAACAGAATATACGACTCCAACAGACCGTGATACTAACTATAGCTCAGATTGGCAGGTAAGATTTACCGCAGGTCCAACACAATATACGACTACAACAGACCATGATCCTAACTATAGCTCAGATTGGCAGGTAAGATTAACCAGGGGTCTAACAGAATATATGATTACAACAGACCATGATCCTAACGATCTTACAGATTAGTAGGTAAGATTTACTGTGGAATCATCTTGTTGGGGGGATCAATTTTTTCATGGATTTCAAAGATCACTCTCAACCAGAAATTTTTAATGATAACTCCGTCATCAGATCAGTTTATCAAATCTTCTCTATGTAAAAGTTTCCACAAAGAATGTCTCAATGAACATATTGTAAAATTTTAGTTGCCTGCTCATTAGACGATAAACTAATCCAGGAAATACTGACAAAGTGTGATTTATTAAGGTCTTCCGTCTTCAGCGGAAGACCTTTCTGTTATTCTTAGGTTTCTTTTTCACTTTTATTATTGTTTTTTTTCTTACCGATTTTGTGCACGCGATTTCTCGAAAACGGCTCAATGGATTTTCATGAAACTTTCAGGACTCATGTATCATCACTTGAACCTTATGCGTTTTTTTTTCTTTTTTGATGACGTCACTTCCGGTCTGAGATATTGCCGATTTTATGAATTTTAAAGGGTTGTGTTGTCCAGAGTTTTTCTGAAAAATGAGTTTAGATAGAAACATGAAACTTTCAGGCATGATAGACCTATGTCTGCAGATGTGCCTTTCGTATTTGGCTTTTTCCGGAAACGCCGTACGTCGGCGGTCGCTATGCTCCGAAAAATGGTCTATCATGAATTTGAAAAATTTAAACACTTTTTCAACAGCATCTTTTTACCTGTAAATATTTTATCAAAACATATAGAACAAAAGTTGTTAAGAATGTCACGATCTTTCAACGGATATCAACGATAAGGGACTGGCCCCTAAAATTAAAGAGGGGCCGAAAGTTTTTTCCTTCTATCTCAAAACGTATTGAGAATTTGTAATACGTCAGAGAAGCAAAGTTGTTCAAAATGTCAAGCTTAATCTATTGGGGTAATCAAAAAACGTCCGGCGTCGTCACTTCCGGCCAAACCGGAAGTAGTCGGAAAATGCGTGTTTTTGCCTTTCTTGACAACTTTTTTGGTAAAATATGACTCTGGGAGCATAAAAATTAATTTTCATTCCGTCGTCGTCACTTCCGGTTAAACTGGAAGTACCAAAAAATTGATTATTTTTGCATTAATTAACATAGATTTAGAGGATTCAAACCAATTTTGTGCGTTATTTCTCATTTTTGTTAGAAATGAAAGCTACTTCCGGTCAAACAGGACGGAAGACCTACTCGTTGCTTTGCAACGAGCTTTGCTGTAGTTGTTATAATAATTATACAAATTAAACTGCAGACCTGGCACTTTTTAATGTGAGCTTTATGTTGACTTTAGGGTAGCTGAGGATGAGCTGTTACTTGTGGTCATTATTAGTTTACTGGAAAACATGCTGTCTAAAGTACAGTTGATCGCAGCAATAGCATACCAACAGGTAGGCATTGTCATAATGACATTATATCTAATATTACACTTTTATGTTGGGATGGATTTTGAAGGTACCAAAATCATATTTTAACAAAAAATTAAGTGTGTAAAGTTAAACTTGTTGAAAAGATGCATATAACAAGTGGGCTCCATCCTATATTGACCTAAACATCATATGGATATTTTTGAAGGTTAACAAGTATTTCTTTATTGGTTTTCAGCTTAAATCGGTGGCCAAATACAAGAAAACCAAAACTCAGAATTTGTTTCTCAACTCGAGACAGCAGATTTGTAAGGTAGATGAAGGACTATAACAGTATTCTTCATGATGTGAAAGCATGTTATTAAATTAACAACATAAAAGCACTGGAAAGCTTTAATTAAATCTGTATTTTAGTTTCTGGTGACAGCAATGTTAGACTCACAGAAGAGCAATGCTGGCAGATCGGCAGATGAGATATTAAGAGATGTGGCTGATGTTTTGGATTTCAGAGACTGCAAGTCTTTTCTGAAGGTAAGTGCCTATTAATTCAGATAAACATGTGGTGCTAATCTGTAATTTCTTTTTATGCCCGTAGGTACCAGCATTTTTAATGTCTTGACCTTGAACTACATTTGGAAACTTTTATCTTGGCCATGAGCTATCGTAAGGGAGCATCAATGTTTTACTAACACGTCATGTTTCACTTATATCCCAGTCTGTAATAATTTTACAGTTGGTAGAAAATATTGTTTAATGTGCATAATTGTTCAAAGTACATTATAACAATGCACCCTTTACATTATCTGTGTATTTTTATAACAGGCGGCGGGGAAGTGTATGATCCCTCAATTGGTCAGTACAGCATCATCAGAAGCCTCCTCCCTCATTAAAATGATCGCCACCATCCTAGATCTACCAGTAAGTCTGTGTTCCATAATAAGTAAATTCAGGGCACCCCATCCATATCTCCAAACAGCCTATGCTCTGATGACGTATTGCAACATTCTAAAGCTTCTGATAAATCTGCTTTATAGGTTCATTATTAATTTATACATGTTTATCATCAGAGCCTTCTCATTTAATAGAATGGTGAAGTTTTTTTTTAAAGAAATGAGAAGTACTCACATTTTATAACACAGTTAGAAATAAAAGTTACAAGAAGAAAAAAAGGGTACATCTATTGCATTTCAAAATTGTTTAGACAGAAATTGACATGTTTACAGTTATATACAGTATGTTGGTAAAATAAAAGATCTATGGTTATATAAACTATTAATGTTTCAGAGTCGTATGAAACTGTTACTGGAGAACATTAAGTATGTGTTTGCATACCTCGTTTGTTTCTGTCAGCGCAGTGAAATGGAGCGAGCCATCATTTTTCTTCAGGTTAGTGGGGTGTTAAATACATGTATATTCCATTTGTTCACCTTTTTTAAAGACATTGTGTAAATATATCCTTTTGACTGGTTTGTTTAGGCATGGAAAGCTTATGGACTCTTCCCATATATATTTCGTGTAAATATTTAGATTTTAGGTGAAATAAATTAAATAATCAGGTTCTCTGATTTTGTAACATTATACCAGAATGAGACTGACCTTGAACTTGCCCAGCTGTTGAGGATGAATTTCCAGGTGGTACATCAGGAACTCCTTCTGTATCTCAGTACCCACTATAACCAGGTACTAAAGTCTGTAGTTCTTTATCATAGCAGTGCTTTATATATACACTTTTGATCGATTGTAATGAGTAAGGGGTGGGGGAATTTGGTACAGATCGATACATGTACATGAAATTTTATAGGGGAGAAATTACAAATTATGATGGGAATAATTTTTATACCCCACCATGAATATAGCCGGGGCATATAGTGTTTGTCATGTCCATCTTCCGTCTTTCTGTTCTTCCATCCTTCTGTCCTTCCGACCTTCTGTCTTTCCGTTACAGTTTGCGTTTAGCTCTGCTCAAAGCTAAGTTTCAAAGAAACCATCCAAGACATTTTCATCAAACTTCATATGCTTATAGATATTGAGGAGAGCTATGCAACTGCATCAACATTTTTTTACCTTGACCTCACTTTTGTTAAATTAGTGTTTAGCTCAGTTTTAAACATACCATTCAAGATGGATTTATCAAACTTCACATGTTGATACAAACTTGCATGGATGATGCATCTAGGAATGAACACTACTAGACTTGCTTCGGATGCTGGATCTGACCTACATTTTCCAAATGAGTGACCAAGTTTAAGTTTTTGGAGCAGGTCTATTCCTAAGGAACTACATGTATAAGCCCTACTTGGACCAAACTTGCATGGATGATGCATCTGAGGAAGGACACTACCAGCCTTGCTTCGGATGCTGGATCTGACCTACATTTTCATTCCCAAGAAACTATAAGCCCTACCTGAACCAAACTTGCATAAATGATGCATCTAGGAATGGACACTACCAGACTTGCTTCGGATGCTGGATCTGACCTTTAATTTCATTCCCAATTTACTATAAGACCTGCCCGAACCAAACTTGCATGGATGATGCATCTAGGGATGGACACTACCGGACTTGCTTCGGATGCTGGATCTGACCTATATTTTCATTCCCAAGTAACTATAAGTCCTGCCCGAACCAAACTTGCATGGATGATGCATCTAGGGATGGACACTACCAGACTTGCTTCGGATGCTGGATCTGACCTATATTTTCATTCCCAAGTAACTATAAACCCTGCCTGAACCAAACTTGCATGGATGATGCATCTAGGGATGGACACTACCAGACTTGCTTCTGATGCTGGATCTGACCTATATTTTCCAACCAAACAATTCAGCTGCATCACTATTCAAGATATTCTGATCAAATTTTATACACATACAAATTTTCATGTTGCTTTACTAATACATCCTCGACGGGGCATTCATTTCCTATGGACATATTTCTAGTTGTAAATTAAACAATGCACTGAATGCAGTAGTAATAGAAATCAAATATTTCAATACTGAAAATAAATTGAAAAGGCTTTAAGATTGCTGCTGATTTTGTGTTAATGAAGGTATTCAATGGACTGCGACATCTTTCCACCTATGACCACAATTACACGGGTCCTAGAGATATCAAGACTTCAGAACAAATGGCCGATTACCTCCAGCCCAGACTTCTAGGGGTCATCGCTTTCTTTGATTTCCAGCTTCTCAACGCCAGCACTCCATTGTCCGACAAAAAACTGGTAAGTCAAGGTATTTGGGAGTAGAATTCATCTTTGTTTGAAAACTCAGTTCCAGTTAATTTTAGAATAAGGTTTGAGGTTTCAGTATTTCCATGGAATGCCTATGGGTGAAACAGACTTGTCTCTTAAAGTTTTTACAATGTTTTACCTTTCATTATGCAAATTGATCTCACAAGCGTACTCTCAGAGCTTCTTTTTTCTTTGTTCTGAGGTCACCTCTTTGAAATATTGTTTGAATGCCCTCTCACAATCAACTCACTAAAAATCACCTGATTCAATTTTTTTTTTTAATTTTAGGACATTTTTTTTTTTAAGGTTCATTGATACTCTGATAAGAGAGATAACTCTTAATGACATAAATTTCTATTATTCCTTTATACATTTGGCCTGTTGAAGTGTCTTTTTTGTCCAATTTTGTCCCACAAGCTAAGCTATAATTGTCAGTTGTGTGCTTATGAAATACATTTCTTTAGGAAAATCATTAAAGTTCAAGCAGCATTTTATATTAGTGAGCAGAAGGTTTATAAACCTTAAATTCGTCTGATCCTGTCAACAAATATTTGAAATTTTCTGAGGGAAAAAAAGATTTTTTTTCCACCTACCTAGTACCGACTCATTATACTGGCCATGAATAGGGAGAGGGCAAGCAAACATCATTTTGCAGATGGCCTGACTGTTCATTTTTATTCCAAGTTTATGTGAAGTAAGTTTGGCTTTCATTTTAGACAATGGAGAGCCTGACAGCCATTATTAAACTGATGGGGAAGAAACATATAGGAACAATTCGACACAAAGTCATCGGAACCCTCAGGTTTGTGTGACCTTGTTATTTACAGTTTGTAGACCTCTTACTCTTTGTAATTTATAGTTGTATGATCTGTATATATATATCTTGACTGCTCTGACTTTCGGAAAACAAGATATTTTATAAGGTTAACTGATTTATTACACTGCATATACATGTACATCATAAGCAAGTAAAATAAGCACAACTGTTCTACAAATACATCATGTGTTTAAAATTGAAACATGGAAGATGAGATACAAATTACATTTAAAAAGTTATCCCCCTTTAGTAAACAATACACTTGGGGGGAGAGCACTAAATGAACATTTTCTGAAAGTTAGCCTCCTTTCATATAAAAGACATCTTTGGGGATAAGGTACAAAAATTTGAGTAAGGTTTGTAGTGCGTTTGCCCTTCATTCAGTTTTTAGCTCACCTGAGCCGAAGGCTCAAGTGAGCTTTTCTGATCACATTGTGTCCGTCGTCCGTCCGTCCGTCCGTCTGTCTGTCCGTCTGTCCGTCCGTCTGTCCGTCCGTAAACTTTTCACATTTTCGACTTCTTCTCAAGAACCACTGGGCCAATTTTGACCAAACTTGGTACAAAGCATCCTTGGGTGAAGGGGAATTTAAATTGTTAAAATGAAGGGACATATCCCCTCGCAAGGGGAGATAATCAAGAAAAGACAAAAATAGGGTGGGGTCATTAAAAAATCTTCTTCTCAAGAACCACTGGGCCAGAAAAGCTGAAACTTATGTGGAAGCATCCTGGGGTAGTGTAGATTCTAAATTGTTCAAATCATGACCCCCGGGGATTAGGCGGGGCCACAATGGGGAATCAAAGTTTTACATAGAAATATATAGGAGAAATCTTTGAAAATCTTCTTCTCAAGAACCACTGGGCCAGAAAAGTTGAAACTTATGTGGAAGCATCCTGGGATATTGTAGATTCTAAATTGTTCAAATCATAACCCCCAGGGATTGGGCGGGGCCACAATGGTGAATCAAAGTTTTACATAGAAATATATAGGAAAAATCTTTGAAAATCTTCTTCTCAAGAACCATTGGGCCAGAAAAGCTGAAACTTATGTGGAAGCATCCTGGGATAGTGTAGATTCTAAATTGTTCAAATCATAACCCCCGGGGATTGGGCGAGGCCACAATGGGGAATCAAAGTTTTACATAGAAATATATAGGAAAAATCTTTGAAAATCTTCTTCTCAAGAACCACTGTGCCAGAAAAGCTGAAACTTATGTGGAAGCAACCTGGGATAGTGTAGATTCTAAATTGTTCAAATCATGACCCCCGGGGATTGGGCGGGGCCACAATGGGGAATCAAAGTTATACATAGAAATATATAGGAAACATCTTTGAAAATCTTCTTCTCAAGAACCACTGTGCCAGAAAAGCTGAAACTTATGTGGAAGCATCCTGGGATAGTGTAGATTCTAAATTGTTCAAATCATAACCCCTGGGGATTGGGCGAGGCCACAATGGGGAATCAAAGTTTTACATAGAAATATATAGGAAAAATCTTTGAAAATCTTCTTCTCAAGAACCACTGTGCCAGAAAAGCTGAAACTTATGTGGAAGCAACCTGGGATAGTGTAGATTCTAAATTGTTCAAATCATGACCCCCGGGGATTGGGCGGGGCCACAATGGGGAATCAAAGTTATACATAGAAATATATAGGAAACATCTTTGAAAATCTTCTTCTCAAGAAGCACTGTGCCTGAAAAGCTGAAACTTATATTTAAGCATCCTGGGGTAGTGCAGATTTTGAATTATACAAATCATGACCCCCAGGGATTGGGCGGGGCCACAATGGGGAATTAAAGTTTTACATAGAAATATATAGGAAACATCTTTCAAAATCTTCTTAATAACAACTGGGCCAGAAAAACTGAAACTTATATATGGAAGCATCCTGGGGTAGTGTAGATTTCAAATTGTCTAAATTATGATCAGTGGGGTAGGGTGGGGTCACAATATTTATTACAAGGGGTAAATCTAGTTAAGTACAGAATTGTCAAAGCTTCTCAGGTGAGCGATGTGGCCCATGGGCCTCTTGTTATTATGGATTGTTTCCCAAGTCTTGTACTGCTGTTTTAACTGTATCTTGGTCCAGTTTGCTGGATTTGAGAAAGTGTTTGAGTTCTTCACCTGCATCTTGATGCCATATTTGAAAGCAATTTTCCAGTCACATAAACACAAAAATTCAGTTACAAAAGTACATGCAATAAGTATGTAAAATGCATTCACATCCAGAAGTGAAATATATCTACATGATTTGTTAAGACAAAATCAGTATCAAAAGGCTTGAAATCAAAATACAAACAAGAAATTTTGGAAGCATGCACTAGCATTGAATTTGATACAAGCAGTGATGTCATAAAAGGATGCTAAAATGATGCTGGATAAGGTAATAAAAAGCTAATACATTTTCTTGCTATAACAAGAAAAATACAATTGATAGATTATGAATGAAACATGCAGATAAAAACACAGATTATATACATCATTTTAATGACATTCACAAAACCTAAAAAATTATTTCTATTTGTAAAGATTTCTGATTTTCTTGACTATAAAGTTAAAACATTATAATCTTTTAATCTTTTAAATTAACATGATTTATTACATTTTTTTTTTCACAAGTAAATATATTTAATTTTGCCGCCTCCCCAATGCAATAGTATTTAGAGACACATATTGAAATGACCATATTTTATAAATGTAAAAATTAATTTTGATATAAAAGATTTTGACACATATGTTTATAGTTGTGTTTTTTCCCTACAGAATTGGACTCCAGTTCACGGATCGAGAGTTCATCGAGATTATTTGTCAAGCCTGGAACTGTTTTGTTAAGAGGTAAGGTACACTAAAACAGTTCTGTAAAAATTTATAAGTACATGCATGTACTAACGTTATTCTATAAGATTGCATGTTCTTATTAAACATTAAAATTTAATTGCTTTGATTAAGTCATACCCGGTACATTTTTTTTTTTTACTGAAGCTTACTCAATGCATTGAAATGCGGCAAATTGTTTCAGCTGTAAATTTATATCTTTCTATAATTGGAAGAATATACACATTCTATAAATAGTTGTGATTTATTTTTAGCCTAGAGTTGCCTTTCCTTGGACAAATGATGTCCCAGATAATTGCTACTCTCCTACCACTCCTTGAACACCTGCCTAAACAAGTCGCGGAAATCATCAACTTTATCATCGTAGATAAGAGGTACCAAGTTTATACAGAGAAGCTGTTTGTTCTTGGTTCTCTTTTCACTCTCTATAAATTCTCAAAATGTTACTTTGTCTCCTAAACAATTTTCCTTATTTCAATTTCATCCCTTCTTTTCAGAGGAAATTTCATCAACTTTGCATATTGTGACTTTTGTTTCTGTACAAGGTGTATGTAAAAAGAAAAAAAATGTTGATTTCAAATTTTGCCTAAATATTGAATATAATATACACTGTATCTGTAAATTAAAATAAAATCAGTTACATGCACTGACATCTTCTAGAATATGGATCACAATATATGGATTTTACTGATGCATGAAATAGATTTTCTTCAATTCCTGTTACCTTCAGTTATGCAATTCAGAGGTACAGTTGTATCATGTACTTTCCACGTAATAAACTCGCATACAGTAATAATGGTAAATTTCATATAGGAAGTATTTGCTTTCATTATTCGTACTCTATAATGTGGTAATTTTTACTGCAGATATTTGATTTTCTTCACTAGACTGTTTGTCTGTTGGGCAACAAACAGATTGTCATTTGTATCTATACACAGTCCCCGGGGATCTCTCAGTCCACATTCTATGTAACGGAGAAACTGTCCATCCTGGTCTATGATGTGGACACAGGCATTGTTATAATCAGCTGTAAGGATGTGACTCTGACTGTCTGTGGTGATTCCTCGTGGACTGAATGGTAGGTTCTTTGTAGCAGGAGTATGTCTAGTGTACCTGAATCTCAGATTCCCGGCCTGATTGACCACCACTACTGCTCTACCTACACAGTCGGACACACAGATATCCAGGTTCCTGTTCTCTGTTATGTGATAACTACTAGATGAAAAGAGAGGTTTACCTTGATCATCAAACTGAATGGTTTGTTTCTCTGTGGAGCCCGAGTAACGGACAACTTTTGTTTGTTTATAATCATCACTTTCCATGGTAACCAGGAGGTCACCAGAGGAGGTACTACAGACACTGCGAGGTTTCCAGTTCTGTAGTCTGATCACCTCCTCTATCTTCTTATTCTTCACAATGTTTACAGTTCTATCACCGTAATCAGTATAAACTAGATCTCCACTTTTTGTCACTGCTATGTCAGATGGATAGAGCCATGACTTGGTTGTGATTGACTTGAGTAGTGATCTCTGATTGATGCTGTAGAGTTTCATGGTGCTGCCATGTCCACTTGTCCAGATTTCTTCATCACTCAGACAGGCCACATTGTAAAGATCAATTCTATACCCAGTGTCTATGGTGGTGACAGTCTCTGGTTCATCAAGCAGCTGTTTGACTGGAGGAGAGGATCCAGCTTCTGCTGATTTCTGTGGTGTCTTCATGCTGTAGTCATGTTTATCTGAAGTTAATGAACTCGATGATAAGATTCCAAATAATTTATCAAGTTCTTCTCCTTGGATTTTTCCTGGAATGAATTTAGGTAAGCATGGTTCTAATTTGTTTGGAAGCTTTTTGTATTTTTCAGCAATGGATGTGACACTAAATAGTTTTGACAAGTCACTGGTGTCTATTGCAGTTTCTATTGAATCGATTTCTTCCTTGATGTCAGACATTGTCTTGTTTATTTCATCCAGATGTTTCTGCAAAGTTTGTAACTGTGTGTTTTTCATCTCATCAACTTCAGCTTTAAGTTTCTTGACAAGTTTGTCAATTTCTCTGTGCCAGTCCTCTCCATGTTTTGTTATGGCTGTTGAGAGATCTCCATATTCCTTTTCTAACTGACTCATTCTGTTTTGTACATCAGAGGCAATGTCCTGGTAGGTGGGATAAATTGTGTCTTTTAATTCATTTTGTTCTTTGACAATGTTGTTCTTTATTTCATCCACAACTTGTAAGATTTCTGATAATTTATGACCTCTATGCTGATCAGATGCAATGCACTTAGGGCAAACAGGAATGTCACATTGGTTGCAGAACATCATGCATTGTTGTTTATCATGAGATTTACAGAGGAGAGTGGATTTTCTGGACTGAAATTTGACGACTTTGTGGTCCTTGGATTCATCAGATATCATGTGTTTCCCTACGCAAGCTGTACACAGGTTGACAATACAAATATCGCAATGCATTTCTACCTCAGCGATTTTACAAAGGTCACATCTCAGCACGTCCTGGGCACTGGTACGGGGGTCCATGGTTGAACTTGTGACTCTAAAGTATAAATAGATATTTGTTGTTCTGAATATCTAGCAAGATATAAATAAAAGTTAATATACAGTTTGCAGGGTTCAACTCTAATGGTGGACCAGCGGCTCCAGTGCAAAAAAACATTGGAAGATACACAAAATGTTCTGGACTAAGTGGAGTGTCGGTCCACTTAAATTTTTTCTTTTAATTGATTTCCTTACCTCAAATTATTAAATCCGCCTGTACTTTACAAGAAAAAATATAAAATCTGATTTAGGTAATTGGCTGAACCTAGCGACTAGATATATTTAATATGTAATATTGATGACTAAAATATTTTACAACTAGATACAGTGCCCCCTCCTCAGAAACGCACTTATTTACACCTTCATGGGAAATGCACTAGCAAACTTATTAATTACCATTTTCTTCTACAATGATTTATCTACCACTCTGTTGTTGAGTTCGACTTTCCAAATAGGGCATAGGGTTGGGGCCACAGTAGGTTTCACAAGGGGGGAGAATCTAGTGAGGAAGCTAGGGCAAGGTCAAATTTACTCAGGTGAGCATTACCAGTATTACCCATGGGCCTTTTGTTTAGAAAGATGACAAAATCAAAAATATTGTACAAATCCTTCCAAATTAACAACAATATCTTTCTTTAAAAAGTCACCACATTTTCAGTAATTCTCTTTTGTCTTCAACAATAACACTGTCAAGGTTAATTAGAACTCCAATTTCAGGAGGATTTGGGTTCTAAAACCTGTACAAAGCCTGTAATAAGTCAAACAATCAATTCATAAAAAAATTTACAGTTTATTAGGACATTTTAGAAATAACAGGAATTTGTCTGTTGTCAAACTGTATATTTACTATGATATTTTAATACAGAAACCTGTAAAGTGAGCTTTGATGCACTAGCAAAATTTTCATTTTTGAAATTTAATAAATTCTGAAACCTTGAATCAACCTCTATACACGTAACCGTTTTCAGGTAGGAAAAATTTTCTTCTCTATTTTTAGATTATTTCATCCTTAAATTTGAACCGATTTTAAAATTCTGAATAGATTTAAAAATTCTGGCATCAACTTTTTGTATTCAGAAGCATTGTTCTGTAGATCGAGATTGATAAAGCTGAACATGACCCATAAAAAAGCATATGCCATATTGAATTCCCTACCTATCATATTACTGGTATATTTAAACCCCTGGCATTCGTCACACTTGATAACTATTACCTTGTCGAGTCGTGCACATATGTGTTTCAGCTTTATTTTACTTTTTATGCCCCCTTTGCAGAAGGGAGGGCATATTGCTTTGCTGCTGTCTGTCTGTCTACCATCAATTTTTGTTCATTTTCTTTGCAGAGGATGCACATATTAAAATGAAATTTAGTATATATATTATATATCTAGGTCAAGTTCTGTTTGGGGTATGATCGAGCCCCTTTAAACAGAATTATGCCCCATTGGACTAAGTAAAATTTTAATTATATGGGGAGGGGGCATAAGTGTTTTACAAACACCTGTTTCACATTGACCTGTGCAATTGATATCATATGACAAATAGTTTTGGTAACTTTTTACAGAAGCAAACAGAGGTCATTTTTTTTAAACCCCCCCCCCCCCCCCCCCAAGTTAAACACAATGACAATGAAGGAGACATTCTCTCAGGTGTACCATATATACTCACTTATAAGTCGATCCGCCTATAAGTCGGTTGTATTTAATAAACTTATATTTCAGATGGACTGACCCCATAATATACCATTCTTTTTATAGCTCGCCTATAAGTCGGACACAGAGTTTTGGACCAGAGATTAACTCCCAAAAACAGACTTATAGGCGAGTATATAGGGTAGTTCATAAAGTAAAATTCATTGAAAGTGCCCGCATATATAGCTGCCTGAGACCTGAGATCTCGAGAAATTAAATATGGGCAGGCAAAGAGAACTCTCCTCCTTTTAGGAATCATGTTCAGCTTTTATATACCGTATAGCGGTTTTCTTGGCGGTTTCCCGTGGGGATCCGGGTTAGAATAGGTCCTCAGTACCCCCTTGCTTGTCGTAAAAGGCAACTAAATGGGGCGGTCCTTCTGATGAGACTGTATAAACTGAGGCCCCGTGTCACAGCAGGTGTGGCACTATAAAGATCCCTCCCTGCTCAATGGCCCTGAGTGCCGAGCATAGGCGGAAATTTGCAGCCCTTCACCGGCAATGGTGACGTCTCCATATCAGTGAAATATTCTGGAGAGGGACGTTAAACAGTATACAATCAATCAATCTTCCCGGTTGTAAAATTTGGCGTTTTACCTGTTCAAATGTATGCCATTAATTTTGGCTTCATTTATTTTAGTGGACACAGACTTTTCGGCTCTTTGCAGCTAAACACTTAGAAAGGAACCTGCTATATTAGCGATTAAAATTTTAGTGGTCTACCATCAAAATGTCGAAATAAGCCAAAATGAGCACCCCACTAAAATATCCCGCTTTATGGTAATTAATTATAAAAAAGGATATTCTACTATGTATTATGGCAACAATTATCAAGGCAAATACAACTTTTTTTAAAGCAATTCCTTATTGTCAGCAAGATAGCAAAATGTCTATTGCAATTGAATATCAAAAGTTAAAGTTTGATAACAAGGTCAGATCTATTTCAAAGTTTTCTACAAAAACATTACAATTATGGCTGTCAACCCATTACCTAGTATTGGAATTCAGGTAAATATCAAAATTTTAAAATGAAATAAACATACCAGATGTAAGACCGTCCACAGTAATGGCTGCTGACTTGCTGTGTATTCCAGTCACATGACCCACATACCTGTAATTTCTACCTGCCACGTATTTTACTTCCTTGTCTGTATGTAGTGTGTATTCAAATTATAGGCTTAATTTTTGAACTGTGGCTTACTGTTTTTAAAACTTTTCAAGTATTAAATTTTGTGCCAGTTACTGATGTGTAAATCACAGTCAGACTTGTCACGTAGGCATATTTCATGAAGCATGCTAGCTAGTACACACACGTAGGAAAAAAAAGAAAACCCCTTTCTAAGTCAGTTCTAATTCAGGATTTTTTTGGGGATGAATATATTAATACAAGAGAAGTTTGCAGTTTCATGGGATTTTATATTATAGTCATACTCAAATTGTCTATGATTGGAATCCTCTCTTTTTTGTCTGTCATAGAAAAGTTTGTGCAATTTTTTTAATTTGAAAAATTATATGTAAAACTTTGAATGCCAATGCTGAGTGTTTTACACCTACCACAGAAATGCATGAGAATTCATGATAATAATTTAATTTCACTCGTATTAAGCAATTTCACTCGCTGAATCCTTCAGAGGAACATGTAATATTTTGGATAACATGACTTGCCTATGTCACAATGAGTTTTGTCAAAACGTATCACTCCACTTAACATTATTTTTAAAATATGTTGTATTTGAAGCCTTTTTCGTAAAGAAAAAATGGAAATATTGTCTCATTGTCTACATTGAAATTAAATTATAAGAAATGAAGCTTATTTTAACTTATGTTATACGATATTACATAACTTGGGGCAGTTTACACTTTCTTATAAATCGCTTCGCTATCATTATATATATATATATAAGCTTCATTCCTTAAATAACGTTAACATTTCAGCTACAAGTAACTCAAGTTATACAGCTTACGAGAATATTTTGAACAATTTCCCTGCCTCTTATTTCAATGCACAAAGTAGCTTGGAAAATGTGTTGTCATTACCCATGGTACCATCCTAACAATTAAGCCACGAATAATCATCGATTACTAAAGTTAGATCTTCCACATTTTTACATTGATGTATTACCTGTACATTTTGGGATTCTTTATAATCAACAATTCATTGCAACTGTACTTAATTGACACCAATTTAACAGTTACCTATCTCAAGCCTCAATTAGCAGGCACCAATGTACACTTACATGTACAAATGTCAGTTACGATTCAATGGCCATAGACCTGCTCAAAGAACGGTTTTGGTCAGCCACAGAAAATTATTATTAACGCTCATATGAGAACTCTCATGGAACTTCCTCCTCCCAGAAATGATGCCCTTAGTTTAAGAAGTTATGGATATTTCTAGGAATATCATGTTAGGAACTTTGAGAGTCCAGGGCAAAAACAAGTGATTATGGAGCTCTACTTATTCCAATCATAATAAACAAGTTTCCAATTGAAATTGGAAAAATATTGTACCTATATAAGTACGATATTGACAACATTTTAATACAAAATCTTTGTAAGGTTGACAGCAAAGACATCAAAATCCTTGAATCACGCGAGATCGAAAACAGCAATCGATTCCACCCACCAGCAATCTTTCTTACGGGATCGAGCCTCAAAGAAAATGCAATGTTCATTTTGCACATAATCACAAAACAATAAAGAGTCAACACCTAGCTCAGATGAAGAGCCATCAATGCATTTACTGAGGCATAGGGAATCACTTTCTAAAGGATTGTAAGAAAGTAACAGAATTTTAAAGTGCTAAATTTGACATCTTAAAAGATGGAAGAAATTACTACTTAGTAAACCACTATGCCTCAGATTGTAAATCCTGGAACAGGTGTAAAAAGTGTAAGAAGAACACCATACAAGTATATGCAGCCAAATATCACAGTACTGAATGTTGAGGATTGACCTACAAATGTTCAACTGAAAACTGCTACTGCCCCAGTGAGCCATGAGAATCAGACAATTGATCCTAGTATCTTTTTTGGTGAAGGATCACAAAGATCGTTGAACTTCATAACAGAAAAACTTGCAAATGAGTTGGAAATCACCCAAAGGAAATCTGAAGCAATTAATCTTTCTACTTTTAGGAAAAATGAAAGTGTCCAGCACCATTTACTACTGTAGGAGTAACTTCAAGGTCTGGATAATCAGAATACTATTTTAAACCACTTTTGGAGCCGCTGGAAGAGAGAATATTTTACATCACAGAGAGAGTACGAAACAGTATCGACTTTGATCGCATAAAATTAAAGTTCGTGACATTATCCAAATATGAGAAGAAACCTTGGATTATGTGGAAACTAGCTGATTTCAATAGAGCTGCCACTTTACGGACCGAAAATGGACTTTGATACCTACAGACCAATTTTTGAAACCATATCCAATCAAAGTGAACGAGAACACACTTAATATACAATCTTCTGATTGAGTATCAAAAACAAAAGCCAAAGGCAGAATCTTTGAAAGGATTCAAGGGATGTATTGAAAGCAAACAAACTATCTGCCATAAGTTGTCTTTCTTTGGACAAATGATGTCACAGATTATTGCTATTCTACTCCCACTTCTGGAGCACCTGCCCAAACAAGTTGCAGAAATCATCAACTTTATCATCGTAGATAACAGGTAGGAATTTTATACAGAGGAGCTGTTTGTTCTTGGTCCCCCTTTCCCTCTCTTTAAACTCAAAAAATGTAACTTTGTCTCCTAAACAATTTTCTTTATTTCCATTTCATCCCTTCTTTTCAGAGGAAATTTCATTGAGTTTGCATACAGTAAATTTTGTTTCTGTACAAGGTGTATATAAAAAGAATGTTGAATTCAAATTTTGCCTAAATCTTGAATATGAAGTACACTGGATCTGTAAATTTGATAAAATCAGTTACATGTACTGACATCTTCTGGAGTATGCATTGGATTTTACTGATACATGTAATTCATTTTCTTCAATTCCTGTTACTTTCAGTCATGCAGTTCAGGGGTACAATTGTATCATGTACTTTGCACAAATTAAACTAATATAATAATGGTAAATTTCATCTAGGAAGTATTTAATGCTTTCATTATTCTTAATCTATACTGGGATGATTTTTACTGCAGATATTTGATTTTCTTCACTTGACTGTTTGTCTTTTGAGCAACAAACAGATTGTCATTTGTATCTGTACACAGTCCACAGGGTTTACTCAGTCCACAGTCTATGTAACGGAGGAACTGTCCATCCTGGTCTATGATGTGGACACAACGATTGTTATAATCAGCTGTAAGGATGTGACTCTGACTGTCTGTGGTGATTCCATGTGGATTGAATGATTTGTTCTTTGGAGCAGGAGTATGTCCAGTGTACCTGAATCTCAGTTTCCCGGCCTGATTGACCACCACTACTGCTCTAGCTACCAAGTCAGACACACAGATATCCAGGTTCCTGTTCTCAGTTATGTAGAATGTGTTATGATAACCAGATGAATAGAGAGGTTTACCTTTATCATCAAACTGAATGGTTTGTTTCTCTGTGGAGCCAGAGTAACGGACAACTTTTGTTTGTTTTATATCATCACTGACCATGATAACCAGGAGGTCACCAGAGGAGGTACTACAGACACCTAGAGGTACCCAGTTCTGTAATCTGATCACCTCCTCTATCTTCTTATTCTTCACAATGTTCACAGTTGTATCATAATCAGTATAAACAAGATCTCCACTTTTTGTCACTGTTATGTCAGATTGTATGTACACTGACTTGGTTGTGATTGACTTGAGTAGTGATCCCTGATTGATGCAGTAGAGTTTCATGGTTCTCTCATTTCCACTTGTCCAGATTTCTTCATCACTCAGACAGGCCACACGGTAAAGTCCATAGTGATACTCAGTGTCTATGATGGTGACAGTCTCTGGTTCATCAAGCAGCTGTTTGACTGGAGGAGAGGATCCAGTTTCTGGTGATTTCTGTGTTGTCTTCATGCTGTAGCCATGTTTATCTGAAGTCAAAGAACTTGATGATAAGGTTCCAAATGATTTACAAAGTTCTTCTCCTTGGATTTTTCCTGGAATGAATTTAGGTAGAGATGGTGCTAATTTGTGTGGAAGATTTTTGTATCTATCTGCATTGGATGTGACACCAAGTAGTTTTGACAAGTCATTTGTATCAGTACACATTTCGACTGAATCGATTTCATCCTTGATGTCAGACATTGTCTTTTTTATTTTATCCAGATGTTTCTGTAGAGTTTGTAACTGTGTGTTTTTCATCTCATCAACTCCAGCTTTAAGTTTCCTGACAAGTTTGTCAATTTCTCTGTGCCAGTTCTCTCCATGTTTTGTTATGGCTGTTGAGAGATCTCCATATTCCTTTTGTAACCGACTCATTCTGTTCTGTACATCAGAGGCAATGTCCTGGTAGGTAGGGTAAATTGAATCATTTAGTTCATTTTGTTCATTGACAAATTTACTCTTTCTTTCATTCACAACTTCTAAGATTTCTGATATTTTATGACCTTGATGTTTACCGGATGCAATGCATTTAGGACAAACAGGAATTTCACATTGGTTGCAGTACATTGTACTTAGTTCTTTGGAATGAGATGTACATGCAGGATAGAGGGGAGTGGATTTTCTGGCCTGAAATTTGATGACTTTATGGTCTTTGGATTCATCAGATATCATGTGTTTCCCTACGCAAGCTGTACACAGGTTGACAAGACACGTATCACAGTGCATCTGTACCACAGCGGTCTCACACAGGTCACATCGCATCACGTCCTGGGCACTGGTACGGGGGTCCATGATTTCTGAAATATAAATAGATCTTTATCTCAACAGGATATCAATAAAAGTAAATCTAGTGGTGTTAAGAGGTATATTTGGGTTTTTGACAAGTATTGAAAAAAATATTTCTTTTTGAAAGTCAAGTTTTTCAAATTAATTTTTTTGTCTTCAAAAATTACGCTGTCACACACGCTTAATGGGTAGAGCACTAAATTAGAGAATGGATGGTCGTGGGTTCAAGACACATGTACCCCAATAAACTAAAGTCCATAAAAATAGATAGCGCTTGTTCCTCATTCATTCTTGCTTATTGAGGGTCTTTCAGATGAGACGTACCTTAAAAAACTGAGGTACTGTGTCACAGAGGGCATTGACATTTTGAGGTGAAAGTTGAGGGTCTTTAAGAGTCACAGTAGGAGTTGACACAATAAAGACCACTCCCTACTCGATGGCTCTGAGTGTCAAGTAAAGGTCATGATGTGAAGCCCTTCACCAAATTTTACATGAGTGTGATAATCTCGCAAGGGACATAAAACAGCAGTCATTTAATCAAAAAAATTACTGTAAATCACTTTTTATTCACAAGAATTTTATTTTCGCGTAATTATGCGAGACAGTGTGCTTGTGAAAATTTTAATTCTCGCGTACAGTAGTATTCCTTAAGATTATATAAAGCAATAACCATAATTCGTGAAAATTTTGTCTCGCTAATCAGGAGTCAATGTTTATCACGCAAAATTAAAGTGACACAAAAATTTAGTGATCTACAGTAGTTTATATTAATGGCATGGTGGAAAAGTAGGGGGTTTGTCAGTTGTCAAATTGTACATTACATTAAATACAAAAGATGTGTAAAATGACCCTTTGAAGAACATTGTTGATTCCACTTTATAAAACCATTTCCAGGTTTTAATTTTTTAGGTTAGTCCATATATATTTCACAACTCACACTTACATTTGAATTGATTTTGAAATGTACAAATTAATTTTTAGCAAACCTCGACGAAGTCAAGTTGAGCTTATGCTATAACCCTGGCGTTGGCGTTGGTGTCAGCGTTCCAGGTTAAAGTTTATAAGGTGCAAGTCCATTCCCAAATAACTATAAGCCCTACCTGAACCAAACTTGCATGGATGATGCATCTAGGGATGTACACTACCAGACTTACTTCAGATGCTGGAATTGACCTTCATTATCTAGATGAATGAGCAGGTAAAAGTTTTTGGAGCAGGTACATTCCCAAGGAACTATAACCCCTATCTGGACCAAATTTGCATGGATGATGCATCTAGGGATGTACACTACCAGACTTGCTGGTTCTGACCTACATTTTCCAGATGAGTGACCAGGTTAAAGTTTTTGGAGCAGGCCTATTCCCAAGGAACTATAAGCCCTACCCAGACCAAATGTGCATGGATGATGTATCTAGGGATGGACACTACAAGAATTGCTTTGGATGTCCCCAGTTTTATTTGAAAGTTATTTTCTGTTACTGGACTATAATACTATAATATTTTCTGTACTAAAAAAAAGTAATCAATTTATGTACAGCTGATTACAAAGTGTGATATGAATGTTTTTAAAATCTAACAACTATTTTTTTTTTTTTACTATTTATTTTTGTCAACGAAATACCTACAGCAATTTAATATTTAAAAGTAATATAGCTTTGGAAATATCAAAATTTAAAAGTAAAGTAAACATTACCTGGTGTTAGATAGTAAAATGGCTGCCGACTTGTTAATGACTGTTGCTATGTATTGAGGTCACATGATCTACACACCTGAGCAAATGACCTGTCAGGTATTTTACTTCCTGGTCCATACATAGTTGGGATTTAAATTTTATAACTGTGGCCTATTGTTAGGCTTTAATTATAATGGGGACATTAATTATAATAACAAAGAGCAGCACATGAACCTTACATTACCTTCAATAACGAGAAATAAAACTTGGATTGAATTCAAAATCTTTTTTGTGATTTATAAATAATGTAACAATTTACATTTGATAATGTAAGACACTCAAGTTGTCTTTGAAAGCAATTTTTTTATATGCCAGTTTCAAGGCTTTGTGTCAGTCCGTCTGTCCATCGTGGACTGAGGTCTTCATCCAGGGTACCAGACCTCGAGGTACCAGCTCCATTACTGTGTACTCCTTTCACATATCTTGTGTTTATAGGTGTGTCATGCACAAAATGTAGGTCGCTCTGACCTATACTTAAAAAGTTATAGCCAAATATGGAAAAATCCTTTCCGGACCATAACTAGAAAACTATTAGACTTAAAATCATCAAACTTGGCCAGTTTATGCATCTTAGATAGAAGGTGTCTTGCGACCTATCTTAAGGTCACTGTGACCTTTAAGTGAATTTTTTTTTTAAATTGTCTTTTTAGTGTTCATTTACACATCCCGATAAATGTAAGAGTATTGCACTATCCTTATATAAAAAGTATTAAATCAAGAAAATCCCTTATTTTTTTAGCATATACTAATTAACAGAAATCTATAACAAATATAATGTATATTAAAGAAATTCCACCTTTCCCATGAGTGTAATTATCAAGCACTGGTCAAGAAGAATTCTAATAGCAGAAAATTGCAAAGGAAATTCTTGTTAGTTGTCTTAGTTAGTCTAACTAAGGGATTTTTTCTTGAAAACCCCAAATTCCAATAATCAAAATAATTCCAATTTTAAATAATACACTGTTCATGTCAAATTAGAGAAAAATTAAAGGTACTTGGACACAGATTTGAAGTCAATATTTTTCAATAATTTTCTATAATATTACGACTTATATATTTTGATAGCGTTTTACATAGAAATTAACTAAAAATCTTAATTCATTTAAAAGTTATTAAAACTTCAAAATTTTGGGCAGATTTGATTGACACACCCTTACACTTTCACAAATTTTAACCTTATTCTTCATTCCTAGGAAGGGTGGCAATTTTGTTGTGTATTAATGAGAAATATTAAAACTTTTATCCAGAAAAATAGTTTTATTCTGAGTACAAACGCTAGAAAGCAAAACACCGTCACAAGTATCGTCATTCCGAACTACGGGTTGCGTCAAGAATTTGGCAAATCGAGCTAACCTGTGTTATGTACACAGTTTTTGTAAACAAGGCTCGAGTTCTGTCATTGTATATATTTAGAATTCACCGGGTGCGTTAATATCGTCACAGTCTGCTTATCTCAACTGCACGGACTGACAATATATTGTGTGTTTGTTTCACTTTCAAACATGCCTACTCTGATTTTTCTGGATTATAGTATTAATATTTTTTATTTATGCACAAAAAGATTGCCACTTTTCTTAAGGATTAAGAGTAAAATTAAATTTGCGAATGTGCAGGGATGTGTCAATCAAACACGCCAAAGAATTTGAAATGTTAATATCTTTTATATCAAATAAGATTTCTAATTAATTTTTATGTGAAATGCTATTTAGATAGATAAGTTGTAATATTACAGAAAATTATTGAAAAATATTGACTTCAAATCTGTGTCCAAGTACCTTTAATGAGATTAGTGTGAGAAGCATCGGCGTTATCTGGGTATTGGGCAGATAGGTCATCCTGTTGGATAGAAATAGCTCTTGTTTAATAGCCAACATAAGTTTTTAAAATGAATTTGATGAAAAGTAATTAAAACTTCTTTTATATTGCTTAACAAACTAATATTATATAATATTATTAATTTAAAAACTATTTTTAAGGGGGTGAAATCAGCATGTCCATTTGTCCATATGAGTTGCATATTTAAACCTGTCTGACATATCCCCCCAAAAAAATCATTAAGTTTTTTATGTTTTAAAAATGTTTTAGGGTAGAAAGTGCAGATCCATTCATCTCAGTCAAAGATTAATTAATGAGTTCAATGTAGGAAGGTTAGCTGTCTCAATAATTTCTTTAGAGCAGTCATATCTGTATCCTTTGGGAATTAGACAATAGAATCATTAGACAATAGAATCATTGGTCAGGTTATAGCATATGTCATTTGATGGAAAGCCTTTTAATTGTAATTTTTTGACGGGCATGTTATGCTGTGGCTTGGCACTTTTTTAATCTGTTATGGAAAAGAATGTGTGTTTCATCAATATCTGCATGCTTTTTAATATGTGTGCATAAATTCTAAATTTTTGAAAATTTTAATAAAGATCACCCAACTCATTGGCTCTGAGTGTCATTAGTAAAGGTCATGATGTGAAGCTCTTCACCAAATCTTACATGAGTGTAATAATCTTGCAAGGGACACATAACAGAAGCTAATTAATCAATAAAAAAAGTGTATATTAAGGACATGTTGGAAAAATGGGAGTTTGTATGTTCCCATACCGAAAAAAGTTATAACTTAGTTATAACTTTTGTAACTAAAAAAAGTTACAAAAAAGTTATAACTAAGTTATCGGAGTTTGGAATGGCATGTTTTAAGTGAGGTATTATTTAGTTATAACTTAGTTACAAAAAAGTTATAACTTTTGCATAACTTTTCACTTTTTATTCAACATAAATACAGCAAGATCATAAAAGTTATAAAAAAGTTATAACTACAAAAAGTTATACTTATTAAAAGTTACACAAAAAGTTATAAAATAGTTACAAAGTTATACTTTAGTT